AGATAGATAAGGTCGCCATCATCCTCTGCTCGGTAGTTCTATGGAGTAAACAATGCACAAACGAAGGGCCCGACGGCTTATCAACATGTATATCTCGCCACGAGGGCGTTTATCAAACGACAAACAACATTGACACGGTAAAACACGTATACATAAATTTAAGTACAAAAAAACAGAGGCCATTAAGCCTCCCAATTAATTTAACGACATTCTTCTCATTTCTCTAGGGTAGAATATAGCTCAATATTCAATAAGAATGTCAACGCATCTGCAACCCTCGGGTGTAACTTAACATCAGGTGAACCGCCTGCTCGCTTGGCAACCTTTCACATAAAAAAAAAGAATAACTTAATAGAATATACAAGTAGATAGAGTATAGTAGTAGAAATTATAGAGTTAAGATAGAGTAAAGAATAAGAAAAGTTGGCAAACTAGCAGGCGGTTGTTGTTAATTATCGCCACCCATGGAATGCCCATTACCTAACGGGATGCGGATGCGTTGCCAACATTAAAAAAGTGGGCCCTGGTTACCTCACTCACTAGACGGAACACGAAAGTACGCTACCGCCACTTTACGCCGGTCTTCTGTGAGACAAGCCTGCCCATCCGTGCAACAACAGAAACTGCTGCGTGGCCCTACCACAGATGATTAATACGAATTCAAACTAAGGCACACTATTAGCATCTTACTTGAACAATAAGTTTAGCGTAAAATCTACCACAACGAATATGGCTGTCAATATTTACCAACCACTTCAAACAAAGCTCGTTTGAGTAGACAATTCAGGTAAATGAGTCAACAAACGATTGCAGTAATGCTCATTACGGGTGTAATTTCGAACGAAATTTGAAATAAAAGCGTATCATAAACACTGGCTACATAATAGCTCTAGTATATCCCGGTCTCACGTTCCAAATATTATTAAAAAGAAACAGTCCCATGGCATTACGCAGATGACTGCACCCGACACAAAGCAACAATGGCATGCGACATTGACAGATATAAGAATTACGCCGGCGAGCCGGTCCAAAAAAAAAAGAAACACCATTTTGTTCGTACACAATGGCTCCAGAAGCTTACGCGTACCATTGACAAAAATTACTCGCGGATTGTGAAGGTCGAACGCATACAATAGACAGGCTGCGTCGGGGTCCCCAGGTGTACGATGTTTACGCAGACATTCCTTTGGAGTAGTGATACAAAATATAACAATTTAAAATAGAAGAGCAATTCTTTTAAGAATAAAATTCACACTAGTCATTGAAATAGGTGGCAATGAGACAATTGAGCAAACCTTATTTTAGAAAATGCCAAAGAAACTTTTGTTAAGTCAACTCTTATACTGTGGGGTACATATTAAAGATTACATTTATAAATCAATCAATAAATATTATACTACTTAAATGATCTTAAAAATAGCAGTAACAATAAATGAATATTTTAGCTCAAACGTTTTTGCAGATTCTTCACTGGACAAGTATGAAATGGTACAGATATCGTGATACAACATTTTTCAAGTTAATAAATAAATGCATTATACATAATCCTTAATTAAATAAAATAGTTTTACTTTGATGTAAGTTTGAATGTACAACTCATATTTCAATAAACAGTTTGTGTAATGAAAAAAAAATTCATTAGACGAACATGTTCCAAGGTCTTTCAAAATATCAATTAGCCCGATTCTTCTTTACTAACATAAAATTTAATTTAGAAGAGTAAAGCAGTAATGTTGTTTAAAAAACTTTAGGGTAAGGCTTTCGATCAGTTTATTCCTGTTTTGTACTGATACAAGGTCACCCTATCGCCAAATGACAACTACAATAATGGATTGAATAGACGTGTGAATGACATAAAGATCGCGCTCAGGGCGTAGCCGCGGTCGACGAATACGCGTGGGTTACGGCGCCATTGTCTCCCAAAATGCATATCGCTAGCAAGTGCTCGGACTTTTTATGTGGGCAATGCAAAAAGCCGGATAACGTATCAGAGATCCACTGATATAATTTTAACGTTTGGTTTACGAAAAATATTCGACACCGACTTAGCGACCACCATGCTCGAAAGTATTTGATATTAAATATCTTAGCTGTTTGAAAGTTTGAAGAAGTTATATTTATTTATTTATTTATTTATTTATTAATAGGATTACCAACATAAGATACAGTATCTACAATCTAAAAATTAAATGCTAAGAATCTACGTAACTGTTCTTACAATTAGAGGTAATCACATCATGCTTTAACAAAGATAAGAGGATAATAAAAAGTGCTATGGATAATAAAAAAAAAAATCTTAAAAAACAAATTAAGCTAACAGCATTCAGAATTTTAAGCAGATTAGCACTATAAACAATTTAAATTTCTTAAACATTCAGAACTTTTTTTATATAATAGCAAATTGACATAAGTTCTGACAATTTTGTGCATAAACAAATAATTTTAGGGTTGCGTTAACGTTTTTAATTTAGTTCTATAGCTTGTGAGACTGTCGAAATGTATGTCTAGATCAGGTGTTTGTGTTGCTTGTTCATTGTACAGACGGGATATGCGGACCACGGGAGAATCACGTCCCAAATTTGTCCTGCACAGTCTTTTATTAAATAGGTCACATGGTGTTCGTGGTATCTTGCGAGGAAACATTATATTGAAATTTGCTCAACAACGGAGGACAATCTATGTTATTATTCATAAGCTTGTGTAGGAATAATAAGTCTATGTGAGTTCGGCGTATCGATAGCATTTCGAGATTGAAATGTTATATGTTGTATTGTATTTGTATTTTCGGTGGAATGGTTGAATAGTAAGTCCCAACGAACACTGTGACCTAGAACATCTATTGTAGTCTTCCCTTCTAAAACATTGCTCCCTTACTATAGGATAACATTATCCTGTGTGTAACAAACATCCAACTCCGAAACAATTATTTGTCGGTCACACAAATAGCTATATCCTGCGGGAATCGAACCCACAAACGCCGGTGCTAAAGTCAATACCTTAGCAACTGCGCCATGGAGTCATCAAGACGTTACTTTCGTGGACCTATATCGATTTGTTTCGACAACTATGAAATGTATCTTGATACAAAATGTAACGTCAAAAGCATTTATAATTTCACTGAACACATTTTCGAATGAGATCGAGGATTCGAATCAAATCGATAAACTCAACTGCTACGGCTAAATATTGACATTTTCAGTTTCCGAGGTACAGTGGGTAGGCACTGTTCAATATTCGCGGTGAACGTAAGGTCAGGTCCTGAATGAAATGTCAGTTCGTTTGTTTAATGCATCCGCACAGACCTCGCAACAGTAGCGATTGTGCAGTCTAAAGGGAACGTTGATTACGACAAATGATGAAGTCCACCCAACAGGTACTCAAAGCTAAATGTTTGCGCTAGAATGTTCCAACGTGTGCCAATGTCCTAATTGTGAGATTTATGTAGCCCTCCTTGTCTGTCAGTGACGAAAATACATGCAACAGAGGCCTTTATACGTCAATTTTCGGTATAAATAATGGAGGTTGAATCAAGGTTCGTTCTGACATTTGTTTCTTATGAGATTGAAGTTTGGAGGAGATAAATACATTGTGAACCATTTTAACCTGCTTGCTGTTATTAACGAAATATAACATTTTAGTCGGGTGTTATCAAAACTTGAGTAGAGTACTTTACTTTTCAAATTCATATAATCTTCCAGGAAGTTGTAAAGTATAAAAAAGGGTCCATATAGCCTCTGCTTCACTTTGGACTAACATCGGTCACGAAGTCCGAAACTCCTTTATAAAGTGGTCAATACGAAGGTGTCACTTCCCGGAAATGGCACTTTGTTGCCGCTTCGGACGGAACAAGTCGGGCTCCAAAATAGTGTTATTAAAATTTTCCAATTGTTTACTCGTTCCGACATTTATTACGACCTCAACAGGTGACATATAAAAAGGTTCAAAGAATTCTTTATTTCGAATTCCAATGGCAATACGTCACGGCTATCAGATAGTGCTATGGGAAATGCAATTATAAAGAAATAGAAATATAACACATTTTATTTAAACAAGATTTTGTTGAGAAAGCAGTAAACATTTCACAAAGCTTTTTTTTTATACATAACATTGTATTCATTTAATATGTATAATGTTCGCGTAAAATCAAGAAATCAATATATTCATTCGTTCCAAGCGTGATTTTCGTTACTTCTATACCGGTCACAGAAATATCGACCCGACCTATTCAACCTCTTTTTGACCGAGATCCACCAACCGCATATAACCACTGCATACATCTATACAGATTAATAAAATTGGAGTGTCTTTATGTAATTTTAAAATAACCGTAATAATAATTTACTAAATGCATGTGGATGTATACACGGTACATTTACCAAAAGGACATTTTTACAATTTTTGTCTGTCTGTTCCGGTTAATTTTTGAAACTGCTCGGCCGCTTTTGACAGGACTTACAGGACTTTCAATTGCAGATAGCTCATGTAATAAGGAGTAACATAGGCTACTTTTTTTACAAAATTTTAATTTAATTAATATTAAATTCCACGCGGCACACCTAGTTTAAAAAAAAATATTGGATGCCGATATATTTATAATTTTTATATTACACTAAATTAGGCCTGCGAATCAACGAGTTTATTATTAGGTAGGTATTAATGGAAATGGAAGAGAAAATCCTCATATCTATATAAGAAAAGGCCTGCAAATGTTTCCGAACTGTACGCCGACGAGACAATAAAACAAACCGCACACAAATGCCTGGATGTTGACGAACAAAACAAACAGAGTTTGTAACTAGAGAGCAGGTTGATAAGGGCGAGTTTCCTTTCCGTGTTGACGGGGCAAATTCCGCGGCGTGGGGGCCCGCCGTGTTCCGAGTAAACAAACACGACTGAACACATCAATCGAGTCCCTTTCTTCCCTCTCGCTTCGACGAACTGCACTTCCCCGAAACTAAACAAACGCTCTCCGCTCCGGCTCGACGCTTTATTGCGACTAAATGGCCCTCAGAGTTTTGACCTACCGTATCGAGAGGCGGTTAGGTGATTGTATGCACGTCCGAAATGTATATTGAAATTACAATAGATATTTAATAATATGTTCCTTTGTATAATGTTTCAGTATTTCAATGTAAAACGATGATAACCACTATCAATTGTTATTATGAAAATAATTCGATGCACAAACGTACTCGGTGGTGTAGTTACTAAACTATTGGCTTCGTGGTCGGTGGTCGTTGTTTCGATTCCAATATGGGAACAGTATTTTTGTGATCCACAGAACTGTTCCGGATCTGGAAAAGAAACACTCTTTCCCAAGGAGGGTTGACCTCAGGCAGGCGGCCGGTCCTAGATAACATTCCAACACCGCTTACAACATGATGTGCCGACTCCACCAAGGTGGCATGAGGGCAGGAGGACGATGATTCGATGCACAAACTGAGCAAAGGTCTAACCTGGCGTTGTTCTCAACGGACACAGTTCAGTTGCCCCACCAACAACCCCCAGGGGGCATGTTCACGCGCCGACAATTAGACCGTCCGACGCACGCCCACTAGCAGCGGCTTGGACGTTTCAATTACACCGGCACCGGGCCCAGGTACGAGAAGAACCCACGCACAACCGTGCATCGACACGGCGAGGCAACGAGCAACAGTTCCTACCAATAAGATTGCCGATTATAGAATATCTCACGACCCTCGATATTGATTGTCGTCAGTTGTGTTTTTAAGTAAAATAAATTTTACGGATTTTTTTCCCAATTTAATTTTGATTTGAATCCTCGACGTTTGAAACTTTCGTTTTTCCGAACAGATTGAGATGTTTTTGTTAGTCCTAGCTGCAGCTTACACAGTATCTTGAATTATATTGGTATGCTAGAATTGTTTAGTTTAAATTAATGGTTTAACAATATGTGGTATCAGCGTAAATTCAAGAAATCATTACATTGCCAGTTATAATGAAAAATAAACACTATTAATTTGAGCAAGTCTTCTGGTGAACTACGTTTTCGTTCCAAGACGATCTACCATCGATAAGTTCCTACCAAACATTCTATATGACGCTAATAGCCTACGAAACGTAACTAGAAGTCAATCGTACGCATTGTTTTCCAGCGTCCGTGAACCGGAATCCGCTTCTAAATTATGAATAATTCAATGGCTTGTGGTATGAGGTTACATAAGGTAATCTGGGAGGTATCTATAGCGAGTCTGGTAAATTGTTGCGCAACAATTAACGAGGAATAGGGTCGACGCCCGTCAAGGTGATACCCATACGGGCCCAAAGAGATCGGGCGCGGAATTAATGTCACGAGCAATTGTACGAATCTCGTTTAACTCCCGCCGATCGCTTCCGAAATCTCTTGAACGACTTAAGGTCGACCGGCTGGCCGAATGATATTATTGGCGTATTATAGTCGTGCGTTTGGGATTATCTCGGTACTGGTGGTATCGTTTAACACCAAACTGTCGAAGCTTGGGCAGTAAAGGGATAAAGTAAGATGTCCTCTGTTCTTATCATACGACAGAGTTATATGTATGTCTATCTTCTTGAAACTCAATAAGCAATACCAGTAATTTATAGCTAACTATAAAAGTTTAATTAAAATAATTCACATAAAACAGTTTCTATAGGGCTGAACAAAATAATCTGTTTGGAAATAGTAACTACGTTTTAAATGTCACTTGATTCCTTTCGGCTTTTGTTGTGAATGTTTTTATAATAAAATTGTCTATATATATGTAAACTTTGAAGTCCTTTTTAAATATGGCGTAAAGTTTATATGGTTAAAATTATACACAATATGTGTTACAAATACACATTTCCCAGAAATATATAAAAGATAATAAAATAAAACGTCCAGTGTTTGCCTTCATACTGTTAAAGTCAACACAATAATCTGCTGTCACACACATGCAAAGAGCAAATACTGTCGCCTAAAAATTCCAAAATGTCGGATTGACTAAATTAATCAGAGTCCGAAAATAATAATGATTATTTTTTATAGTAATATTTCCACCAATAGGTGATTACTTGACTAAATTAACCTTTGATCTGATCTAATCAAAACATTTTCAAAAAGAACTGCATCCGATGCTGCTATTCCCGTTTAAAACATCCGTTTAGGGGACATCGATCCAATAAAAAGTCAATATGGAAAAGGGGCACTTACAGCGCGCACGGCGTTACGCAAGGCGTGGAAACGGCTCTGGGTTTGCACAAGGCTTTATCGCGATATGGCGTTGATAAGGCGCTTCTCACGAGAGCCGAGCGGTTGCGAAACTGGGCCAAAGGTATCGGGGCGCCTCGCCTTATCCGTGGCCAAACAATAACGCAATGCCACGATCTAACAGGTGAGTTGACGAGTACGCGACGAAAGCTGTTTGAGCATTGCTAAATTTATCTCTACCGGATTATGTCTTCGCTTTCATTCATAGAGATTATGAGAAGTCAAAGGATATAAAATATTTGTGTTCAATGCACAGCGTGGCACACAACTTTATTGTTGTATCTTGTAATGGATGATGTTATGCTTTCAGACCGAATACTGTATAAACTTCGTCGGTCGCTACGCCTCACGTACTAGTTTGATAGGCTCTGTGGTAGTAGAGAGACAACTCTAAGTGACAAACATAAATCAGATTTCCTGAATATGAAAAATATTTCTTTTTGACTATAACTCGGTTTTCCGACATAACAAGTACTTCGTTACTTAAGCTATCTATATAGGGGATAAAATATAGAGATTACAGAATCATAATTAAATGGTTAATCATTACCTTTATTTTCGTTTTATTCATAGTCACAAAATGAAATGCAAAGCTACAGGCCGAGCGTTTAAAATCTGGTCCGTACTTCGAATAATACCACATATAGAACAGTATGGGAGACGAATAAAAATGCGGAACACGTGCGTGTTTCGTTCCCAAATGAGTCACGGAAATGTACGACGAATTCAAATGGAAAAACGCTGAATAACAGTGGGCTTTGGTGTAGCCACTCGTGACAAACAAAACGTTAGCTTTTATGCGACATCTGCCGAAGGAAATTCGTCGAGCGTCAGCAAATCGGTCCGGGATGCAGAGTCGTGAGGCCCTCAGCGGCATTTGGAGGTAGCGGCGCTTTGCGCAAACGCTGGTGGGTGTGGGTCCGCATTCGCGAAGACAATAACTTGCGCCAGAGCGTTCGCTTACGTAAGACAAGAGCACGAGCGCTCCATCAACCGTTCACGAAGCCGCCTGTCTTCGTGCACCGTTCCAAAGTCGCCATTTGAATGGTGGCATTCGGAATACAGAATGGAGTTCAGAATTCGCGAAAGAACCACTTTAAATATGGCCAAACTAGATATGTTTCTGCGGTCGACTTTTCCAAATGTGGCATTTGACCGGATTGCAAAATAAACAAGAGGTCATGTTGCAATCGAAGAAATATCTTTTATTTATAATTCTTATTTCACATTTCCGAAAGATTGGAGCGAAGCGTTGCAGTATTTGAAAATTAGCACCGTTCTTAAAAGTCGTCGGCGCAAATGAGTTGCTAACAAGTTGTGGCAACCAGATAGAGATGGGGGCGACCGCATCTTGCGTATTCGTGTCTCTCTTATCGCCTTTTCGTTAAAGTGTGTGGGCGGGGCGATAACTCGATATTCGACATGGTTGCTTAGATGTTTTTCAACGCAGGTAAATTCTTGTATCTTAAATCTAGTCGTTATCACATATCGAAACGTTCAACAAGATTAACGATCCTCTAAAATACGACACGATTTACATATACATGTCCCAAAAAAGGCACGCTAAATTAACTTGTTAATATCAAAACTAGTCTCCTTCACAACGTTCAAGGCTTACGACATAAATCTCCGTGTCTTAGGAAAACTAATAACGTCACGCTCCGCCGCGGAACCGATCCGAGCACGTAAGTCTAAGCCCAACATCAACATGGCATTCCTTCGTCGCGAAAATTATCGCGTCAATGAAGAATCAATCGCATGGCGACCGCGATAAAATCGTTAAGCGATCGCACTAAGAACGCCGTGGGAACAAGCGAAAAGCGATATGCGACAATGCTCTTTGTTGGCCTCACTTATGCGCACTTCTCAGTATCGGCCGCGATGAAACGTTACGTCTGCTTTACTGCCGGCACTGGTGTCTTTCGGGGAATCTTTTGAGCCCATAACCGGGCAACTCGACGAGGTAAATTCGCCTCTACGCATCAGGACATAGGTCGCAACGATTTTCGAGAGCAGCTTTGTATTTTGCGTATTTTCGTTTTGGCGATAAATTGGCGACTTTGTTTCTGCCCAACGTGTTTTACGAAATGGGTTACGGGGACCAAATTAAAAAGACAGTAACGAGAATATATAGCTATTAAACCTGTTGAAAGAGAAAAAAAAAGCGTACGGCTTTTTTTGCTCTTTCAACAGGCGTACTCGGATCCAGGTCAGCGCGGCATCTACAACAGTAACCGATTTAAAAACACTTTGTTAAAATCGAGAGAGACGAAAACGGCATGCAAATGAATTGGAAAATGTAGTCGGACGGCGCGTGACTCATCCGCGAGGTTCGCAAGCAATTATCACCTTTGATGTGCTAAATGCGGTCGCGACGTATCTATAGGGGAAACACTTTCGAGGTCACGAGAAACACACCTCAGAGTGGAAGTGCTAGAGTAAATAAAAAAAATATTAAACAACAATAGGCTGTCGATTCGTTATCTAATGACACGACTATGTTAAAAAGATATTTACGACGAACGATCAATTATACTAACTGTACCTTAAACAATATTTATAAAGTCTCTTTCTATCTTGATGGTTTTATCTTAATAAGGTTCTCGTTAAACGTCTTTACTGATTTAGAGATTGAACAAAAGTTTGCATGTATGTTGTGCGTTATCTGCGCCGGGTCTCAGATAAGATCGCGCCGTTGTGAAAGTATTCACACGTAATTTTGGGAGCAACAGTCATTCTGACGGTAGAGTAAGTCGTGTTTTTTCTCACTTCGACGCTGTTCGACGGACTACGGAGGTGTAAACACCAAGGGGCAGACAGTGTGGCGCGATGGCGACGCAAGACAATTCGAACCGACACGCCGATGTTAAAGATGTTATATAATCGGAGGAGCTCTGCGTTGGTTTCACAAGGACCTTTTTTATACAAAGTGCCGACTTGTCCCGCTAAGGAATATCCCTACGTTCATATATACAAAGTTTGTATATATGAACGTCGGAACATTCCTATATTTAAACTTAGTCACGAACTTATGTAGTTTTTATGTAAAATTTCGACGTTTCAAAATACGCGCAAGCGTCTTTTTTAGTAAAGACATTTTTAATTTGAATAAAGAGTTCTACAGATCTGGTAACTTCTTACCGAATGAGGCCGTATTTACGTTGTACTTTTATATCATAGAGACGATACATCATAGCTAAGCTACAACACAGCGCCTCCCACCGGGAAGGGCTGGGGACATCTACTAGTCGTATTCACGTAACACACGCATATTCGAAATTGTTCGAGTTTTTATTAGTTTTTACCAGCTTACTTAAGCGCATCACAATTTAAGAAACGGGACAGTAATGCGTTCGTCGTTTATGTTTCAAACGAATGATATTTTAATCAAGGAGAAACATTCCGTAAGTTAATAAGACAAAACATACAATAATAATTTGACGAGGCACGCCGCGGTCAAAATGTACAACGTGATGGCAGCGACGAAGTTTTTTTTTTGCAAATGGCCGAACGTGGGAGTGGACGGCCAAACAGGCGGCGACCGTGACTTCGAATAGTGTTGTCATATGCGATTAGATGTAAATAAATAAGCTCCTTAGGAAAATTTCTAGTGTTGACATTAAATTCATTACATTACATTGTGGGCGAAAGAAGGTTTTCAAAAAATCAAAGCCTATTTCAAAAATAGATTTACTTCTTAAAATTAGTATTGCTAGCATATTACGAGGTACAATGCAGTAGAGTTTACAGATTTCGATGTTGCACGATCTCAATGTCCGGACCACATTCACCTTACCTATATATCAAAGTTATTTTATACAGGAAGTCCCTTGGAGACCGGACAGCGAATGAATTATACCGACGATTGAGTAAAGTCAAAGTAAAAGCCAAATATCTTTATTCAATATAGAAGCATTACACTTACTTGATTGTCAAAAACCACTACTACCGGTTCGGAAAGAAAGCCACTGACCTGAGAAGAATCGGCGAAACAAACTCAGCGGGACATTTTTTTCGAGTCTCGCGAATGTCCCATCACTACTCGAAGCGTATGCCCGCAGCGTGCGTGCCGTTGCGCGTCGACCCCGGTGACTCACGCCGCCTAATCGCCGAACCCGTTGGACGTAATAAAAATTCTAGCCGGGGACCACACGCCAAAGGGACGGGCGCATGCGGCCGTAACGGCTAATTGGCGACCGTTGCCAAATTCACTGAGCTCGGATGTGGTTTTTATGGTTAAACGTTACGCGCTTTCGGCTCATTGAGCACATAACACAGCTTAATGACGAATCTCGAAACGATGTTTTTGTTCAGAGATGAAGATTAAGAATTTTTAATAAACTAAACAAAAATTTTGTTTTAGGAAAATTAGTATTCAATGTTAGTAAGAATACTTAATTTAAAATGTATATAATGAAGAGAGGTGTGGAAATAGTATATCCTTATACCTGCAAGTCCCCTAAGTACTAAAGAATTTAAACACGAATAAGTAAAAATCACTCATTTTAAATTTTCATGTTTTGAACTATTTTTTTAAAATAAGTCTAAACTAAACAAAAATAATAATTAGAGTTGGTTAAGTTATTAAGCAATGAAATTATGTATCATCATATTGTCCACTGCTGATATTATAGTCCTTACATTATTTTCGTATAACATAAACAAAGCATGTAGAACACAAAATGCAAAGTCTATTAATGTATGTAATAAATGGTTTATATTACAAACGATGCCTATGTGGGGGTGCCGAGGTGAGCAATTCGCATTACTGTATTTAAATGAGGAAGAGAATCAGCTCTCGAAAGAACCGTAAAGGAGTCGGAAAGTCGAGCATAAAATGCAGAATTAATGTGGGTTAATTCCGAGCTTAATTAATACATCGAGAGCATTTCCTTGACATGAGAGCGGAAGGTTGCCTCATTAAGAACATTCGTGTAAACAGCCGGCCAGCCTTGAATACTGCAGGCTTTCTTGTAACTTCTATCAATTTATTATCCTTTTGAATGAAAGTGAAGAGATTCGAGTGAAACTTCGTATGGACATGTTCTACATGATTTTAAAAGTGTAGTAGTGTGCGTATGTCTCGACCGTCAAATTTAAATCATACTCCCGTCGCCAGACAGTCTTCTTTTCTTATTTCTTTTTTAAATAGTTCGTTGTGACAATCATAGTCTAATATTATTATTAATATTAAAATAATAGTCTAATATTATTAACATATAAACAGTAGATTTTGTATGAAATAAGTTAAAGTATTGTACTGTAAATCTATCATATGTTTTTACATTAACGAGCAATGTCATAGCTGTGAAACAAACTAAAAGAAACATTAGTTCTGAGAAATTAGCAGAAACTTTAAACCCGCTCATGAATCCTGCCAAACGCGTAAATCAGCCTCACTAACCAAGTCTACCCTTAAAGGTAACTGTTATGTCATACCAACAGCCAGTGCACCCGGATCCCCTTATTAAGGACCCATTGGACGTATCGCCTGTGTGGGTCATCCCGCGCTGGGAGCTTTGCTCGGGACTATAAAATTGGATTTATGACGCGGTGGGCATATGTGAAGAACCGGACCCACTCACTCCAACATTTGCAATGAAGCCGTTATCTTTGTACGTGTTCGTTGACTCCTGGCGATTTATGGAGTTTTTCAATTACTACGTACATCATCGCATTTATTCAAATATCTACTCCATTAGACAGACATTAAAGTCTTTCATGAAATTTAAACAAATGTATTTACACAGTTAACACCAAACTAAAGTAATTTTCGTGGTCTTGACGACCGTGACGTAAATTCATCCATAAAGTTAACGTCAATATTTGTTGATTCGCTCCATTATGATGTTTAATATTATCTGCGGGATAGCGATAGCTTTCTCGAGGTACTGCATGACATTTTTTAATGTTGTCGGAAAATGAAAAAGATATCTTAAATTCTCTATACAGTAAGTGAGATGGACCACACCCTAACTGCACAGTTGATCAATATATTTTAATGCAGGTTGCCATAAGGCTCAGTTCACAACGTCTCCGTTGAAAAATAGCACTCGTGTGTAATGAAACGAACTTAATTTGCCGATTCATAGTACCTCGAACAGCTGCGAAGTGCAGCCGACGCGTCGGGCGATATTTAGTTACGAGCCACTATCAATAAATCACCGCGCGGTTCTGTGAATGAGCAACTAGCCCCGTGTAACGGTAAAGCAATCCGCCGCCGCGGCCATAGACCACCGCCGCCTCTGGTGGTCCCGACCGTCCGGGTTTCCGCGTCCCCGCATCATCTGTGCCGGCCACCGCGCACGGGCCGTAAACTCACCGCATCGATATCGATACTGATGTAGTTTATCGATATTGACACTAGAGTACATATCGATAGGCTGGCTCGTTGGTCATCACGTCACGTAACGACGGGTGCCAACGTGTGTAGGGGGTTCGGGCGTCCCAAATTCCCATAGGCGATCGCTTATCGATACCGACGAAACGGCGTCGGCACAGCGTGTACTCACGAATTTTATAGCTTAGAGTGGAAACGTGCGCGCGGAATACGAATTGTCCCCTTTCCGGCTGTTTCGCGACATGATGTATGTGCAGAACGTGTTTATGGACTTTATTAGAATAAACAATAACATTTAATATCTTGCAATGGAAACGATCGACACGTATAAGCATTTGGGCATGTGTTTCAAAATAGACAACGCAGCTTTGTAGAATTATTCTACAAATTATTGTAATTTCATTAACATTCTGTTAATTAAAGTTGGTTTTGTTCGACATAAATAGAAGGCGAGCTGAGTATTCCAGTACTAAGAAACAATCTCAGTAGATCGGTATCGATCTGAGCGAGAACAAGCCACTGACAAACGTCACTCGGTCGCCCGTCTACTTAATTACAAGCAAAAACCGCTCGCTGACAAGACTGTGCGCGACATTCAGACGCCAGGCTTATCGTTTTATATATATAAACTAAGAACTAGTGGCTGATCTGATAGCGAACAATTGACGCTTTTTATAAATAGCCTATAACCAGATACGTTCTCAAAGTACACAAACCGCTACTTAAGGTCAACACACTAACTTAGTCGAGATTAAATGTTTAAATAGTACAAAGAAAAGTATACACATTATTATATTACAGCTTCAATTCATAGTCATAAATTTGAAATGATGTTCTCGTCTCAAATTAAAGCAAATTCACAAAGAGAATAAGTTTCTGTTCATTTTTTTAACGGACAAACAAGTCAACGTCTCATCCAACGGCAAGCGACTCGTTGCCGCCTATGGACTTTCAAAATACCAAGAGAACTAATTTTAAAACAACAATTTTCAAGTCCACAACGAAGTACGATCAAAACACGATCGCACCTATTCCGTTGATCGCAGTTGATCTCAAAAAAGAAACAAAAGAGACGAGCGTCTTGAAAGCCATCGCACATACTAATTCAAAATGTACCAACAAAGTCGACGCGCAATCAAGTCAACATGTACCAACCAAGTCGATGCACGATTAAGTCAACATTTACCAAACAAGTCGACGCACAATCAAGTCACGGCCTGGCAACTGCACCCCAAAGTAGCGAACCTCACCGGCCCGTTCAAGAGCCTATCGGCGACGCACCTGGCACGCGCGGCGATCACAAAGCGGGCAGTCGGCAATCCCGGTTGACGCCCGACGTAGGAACACAGTCACGACCGCAATCGCGGCACCTCCGCTTTGTAAAGTCCAATTTTAGTCGCTTGTTAACTTAGAACGCTACTTCCGTAACCGATAATATCCGTACGTCGCATTTTGAGAAATAGAAAATAGAGAGAATAAAAAATAGAGGGCTAGAAGAACAAAAACGTTTTAATCAGAACCGTAAATAGAACTCCTTACTTTTGTAAGGAGTTCTATTTACGGTTACTATTTGAGCACTGACTAATTGTCTATATAATTTGTACCCATTTCGTTCATGAATTATTGATTGCATTTGGACTATGTCACATGCCTACGTTACAGAGGGATTTATTGAATTTTGATCTATAATACTATCAATAAATTTGGCGTCTCATGTTCATGCGAATGCGCCATAAAATCCGCAAAGCGGTTTCGTTTGACAAGAAAAGGAGATATAAAAAAGATTGAACCAATTAAGCGAGTAAGGGCGAATTCGAAAGGCACAGGGAAGCGACCGATGTAAGTGGCAGATGTTCGCTTTCGACAAGTTTTCGACGGGCCGAATAATAATTCGGCAGCTGCGGTGAGCGGTACGATGGGAAGCTGACGGCGCCCCGGGAACGAGAAGTTTCTTGTCAACTCGATATAATCTCACTGACCTTTATAATGCAACCTAACCAAAAAAAGTTTTGTTGATCGCATTTAAAAAAATACTGGAAAATGTCATGTCATTTTATAGGCTATATTCCGAAATTTTACAAACAGTTTTAGTATAATAATGTATATAATCAACCAAGGCCACTAATAAACCACTGAATATTAACTAGTTTTTGCAGCAAAACTCCTGCACACAAAACGGTTAACACGGAATAGTTTACACGTAAATGTTCACAGCAGTCTAGAATATATGTTGCCTAGAACTAAATACGAAAAGATGCATCAATATCTTCAAAGGTCGTCGCAAAAATGCGGTCGTCTTGGCGGGGGCGCGGCGTCTGGTCCCGATGACCAGAATTTTAGAATACGCGGCCAAGTGTCGTATATAAATAAGCGAGATAACACCAACCGGGTCTGCAGAGCGAACCCATCGTAATGTAATGGATTAGAGGCGACCGACGTCGCGCGTAACCTAATTAAACATTCGAACGTTTCGTATATTCGCCGCGTCGGGACTGTGAAAAACGATCCGCTTTTTTTACAACTTTATATGTCATTGGATCGGAGAAATACATTAGTCGAATAAATCGTTTCTTATTTAAAATGCACGCTGTCTGTTCTTGTACACATAAAGTAGATAATGATCAGGAAAAGCACGGAATTATTGCTGATGCAACACTGGTATAATAAAAACTTATCGCGTTTTTTTTAATCCGAATTTGTTTACTTCAAAAACAGAATCGGGTCATTCACTGGCTGCCTAAGATTACTAAGCACCGTAAATATGTCGTAAATAAAATTTAAAATGAAGATGACTACACAACGCTAGCAAGACCTTTCTCGAAAAGATCACCGCCATTATTATACAATGCAACTAATTCGATAACTCATTCTAATTGTTACGATAATCGTTGTCTGCCACAGATTGCCACGGTGCAGCTTCCACTGTTGCATGAATGAATAGGTTCATCCGAGGAAGTTAGTTAGCACATTCGATGATATCTCGGATTACCTCCACGTTGCCACGCAACGTTCCTATTATATAAAACCCGAAGCTAGTTAGATTTAGAGTTATGTGGTATATTATATGATAACCCAATGTGGGGAAGTGTAAAAAAACATAAATTATCAGAAAAATGTTTTTACAACCAAACAACCAAAAGGTTTTAAGCGCGGTTAATAGTATTCGAACCCGTATATCCAACAACAAGATACTAGATGTTATAAGCTGAACTTTGTAAGTGGCACCACATTCGTGTAGAAGGAGAAGTTAGTCGTTCTTAATTTATAATTACATATTCACAATCGACAACACCCAAACAAATTAGATTAGTCGCGGGCCACTTGAGGAAGTGAAGCGAGCGTGTGCCGCCGCGGCCAACGCGGTTTTGTTACACCTAAATTCGTTGCAGGAAACCCTAAATGGTTCCAATCGCTATTATCCAAAGCATTAGTTACTTATACCTTAAATCCTTACTTTCTTACTAATATTATAAAGCAGAAAGTTTGTATGTATGGATGGATGTTTGATACTCTTTCACGCATTTGCGTGAAAGAGTAACAAACATCCGACCATACACACATATTTTCGCCTTTATTATCTGCATTTCAATCATTTATATATACTCATTTTTAACACATAGTTTAAAAAAGTGTAAATATTTTTTCTCCTTATAATAGTAAAAATAAACTTGCCATGAACGTTACTGGCCACATAGAAATAGCGCAATGGTCTAAATTGAAAGGTATGTTTGGCTGTATCGAAGCACTCTCCGCTCTAATAGAATGATTAGGGGGCAGCGGACCAAGGCGCGAAGCGTCACTGACAGAGCTAAGAGAACGCGCGCTTCTCTAGCACCGGACGAAGCGCGTCATAGAGCTTAATGGGCTTAAATCCCAACGCTATTGTTACGGACCGCTCGTATATCGCAATAAAGGCCCATTGATTCAGAAAACAAAAGGGCGAACAAATTTCAATTAACGTTAAGCTGTTTGTTATTGTGAACCGTGAAATAAATCGATCCGAAAGCTTTGCATTAGCTACCGAGACCGCATCACGGATTATCAGATAGCGAAGTATTTCTGCATTAAACTCATAAATTAAAGACATGGACTCCGTAAGTGATCACACAGCCGTGATAGCTAATTGTCCGGGCGCTCGCTATTAATTCAATATACTCGAGCAACCTGAGTTAAATCCTCGACCAATGAAATTGTTAATTTTAGCGGTGAAGGAAAACAACCTGCGTGGGATCACGCGGTGGACTATGTCCTAGCAGCTTCATTTATATGCTGTTATTTTTAATTTTAGTGATGCTAGCGACTGGGCATCTGTAGAGTGCGGAGGGACCAGAGCGGATCCACCCAACTTGCAAATCGGCTATTGGAACAGTGTAAAACAATGGACCCGGTTAGGGGATCGCCGAGAACGGACAGACTTATGCAAAAACACTGAATAATCACCGTTCGGCCGGAGCCATTGTGTTCAGTGAAAAGATTTAGTGCCGCAAGAAGTGAACAACGGAAACGTCCGACGTTACAAACGCACCGTGATCTAGCGGTAAGCCGTACGTCAGATCTCGACGGAGATTGATAAGCGAGCTCGCGAAGAAAAATTACAATGTTGCTCTGCCGAAATTGTCAATAACTTAACTGAATTGTCAAAAAAACCAAATATTATTTTTATTTGATAAACTTTCTTTTAAAAGTTGAATTAAAAATATCAATACGAATACTATAGACAAATGATATAAGATCAAAAAAATAAACAGTTCAGAATTAAATTAAGTTTATTTTGCATTTTAAGACAAACGATTGTGATGATCTTATAATACATACAACATATATGACGACTCGTGCTTAGTGATCAGGAACGTAATATAACATACATTACACGTTAATTTCTCTTTGCGTAACAGCCAGAAGATCAGCGAGGAACAATGGCTCTAAAGAAATTAATGATTAGACAATTAAAAACCTCAACGGTTTCCGTTGCCCAGCATTCGCGGCGTGAGGAGAGACCATTCAACTTTCGAAGCATCCGCACAGCTACCGGGGTGGTCGGCATAATGCAACGGCGGCGCCCCGGGCGCTCCCGACTTGAAATATCACGGCGCGTAGTCCAGATTAATGTGTGTATGTGTTTCTGGAGCGGCTGCCGTAAATAATACTTCATAAATATGGATCGGAATGCATCGATGATACAATCAATCACCTAGCTCGTCTTAGATAAATCCTTTTGCTTTGTCTTTGATGATGCGGAATCTAATGTATTGTTTGACAGTGATAAACTTGGCTGGGAGAATATCAGCCTGTCTTTCATTCCTGCTCTGCCTTAGGTAGTAATGCTTTATAATGTTGAATACGCTTTGATATAGTTTTAATCTGCCAACTCGTGTCTTTGATATATTTTAGCTAATGGTTGCGACAATAACGCCCACTCGTGCTATAAACTATCAAAAAAGCTCAAATAAACAAGGTACTCAGGATATTATAAACCATATTGTTTAAAAAAATATCTTAAACTTCTAGAACAAAACTCGGCTGGCGGTGAAGTGAACGGTCTCAACCTTTGGGGACACAATCGCCACTAATTGTGCATAAAAGTTGAGTAATGGAGGTAATTCTCGCCCACACGACACACGTGTCTCATTATTTGCGGTCCACTGAGACTAAAAAAGGCGAGGGTGCACCTTCGAATCGTAAACATTTCGGTTCTGTGAAACCCAAACGAAGCTTATATCAAAGGATAATGCATAATTGTGACTCGGTTTCCGAGACAATAAATAATACGGTCACAGCTTGTTTAAAACAGACGAATATATTTCAGTGTGTTCATGTGTTTGGATGGGGTTTACGCTTAAAGTGTTGTGGTTTCGGACGTCTACAGAAATAACTGACGCCCGATTTCCGGTGGGGAGGCGGCGATGGAACGCCGGAAGCGAATGTCTCTGTCCCACACGTCTTCAATTCGGTCCATCTGATACCATCGCCCGTGTTGAGCGGGGCGGTTATCTATCGAGGCATCGGACGTTCGTTTCGACGGATCGTAAACGTTTAGTCGGTACACGCAACACGTATGCAGCTGACGAGTGTTTCGCGTATCTCGGAAGTCGAGTGCGGACGTGCACGGAGTCCGTAGGCGTGATAGCTATCTGCGGAACTCTCGCCGCCATTGTGGGAAGCCGGCGCCGTGACGACGGCCGCCCTCTGAACTGCAACACGTCTGAATCGCAGCACACACGCCCGCCGCACAATGGTAACGGTGTCTAGACGCGGTACTAGGAAACGCACGTTCCGCTCCGTATTTCCATCTGGTAAAAGGTGAGAGTCGGCAAGGAGGTGTTGAGTTACGTGGTTTCCATTACGAGCGTCGACGTCGGCTGTGTAACTCGAACGGGGTGAAATTAAGGACGCCTCCCGTGACTGAGTCGCGAGGCTATCGCGAAACGCGGTATTGAAACGCAAATGTCGATCGATATTAATTTATAATGTTTCTACAAATAAAGATGATTTGATTTGATCTAGTGGATCATTATAACGAAAATAAAGCTAGAGTCGTAACAGGACAGTGTCCGGGCGCTCGTTTTTAATTAGATATACTCGAGTATTTTTGAGTTAACATACAATACTCGAGTATTGCTCAGCGGAGAAGTAAAACATCGCGAGCAAGTCTACTTATTTTTGAAATAATAGTGGCTGGGTTTGTGAGGGAGGGTATGTGAAATCTACTAATCCGCAGTGGAGTCGCGTGATGGACTATGCCCTAATTCCCTCTGTACTGATATTGGCCCAACAGTGGGACATATAAAGCCTGTCTACATCAATTTTTTCGATACGCTCGACACTTCGGAGTGCGACGCGTGTTGCTCGTGAACCACTTTTATCAGCGGTCGTTCGAGTTACGAGGGCCCTAGTGCGCATACCGATCGCAAAGGGCCGACCGTAGGAGTCACGCCGGCATAAAGCGTACGGGCGTACGATGCTATCTGGGCTGCGGGCACGCGCTGGGCCCGACCGAACTAGACAATAGCAGTCGCTTTTTAAAATGAACTGATGTTTCCTTGTACCAACTACTCCGTTTTATTTGTGTGCGTGGTTTACATAATATAAAGACAGTTGAAATATATTTACATTATTTTATTAGATTGTTAAATAAAATATAACACGCGAATTGTGAAAAATTAAATATAATGATTATTAAATCTGTTGATCACAACACAAATACCTGTGCCATGTAGGAATCGAACCCCCGACTCCGAAACTAATAGCCTAACAACTATGCCACCGAGTTATCTGTTGAAAAATATATTTTTTAAAGTAGATAATGGTATCGGCTGTAAGCCAAACTACTCGTGCCCCACAAACTGCTAATAAAAGATGTTCGATCTGTCACATTTAATAAAAACTTATCATAAGACACAACTAACCAAACCAAGTTTCCGAAATCGCTGCTTACGGCAGCAACCAGCAACCCAAATTAATCGAGGCATAAGCGTCCGTCGTTGGCGTGCCAGCGTCGAGACGTTGCATATTCATGAGCGACGGAGTGACCTTCGGCGTCGAACTTTTCCGATATCCAGCCAACGCGGATTGCACACGGCGCTGTGGCAACCGATCACCTGTTGCCCGTCCCTGCTGTATCTATGAAATACGCAACTCGCTTAAGAAGTCGATACATTGACGAAGAGAAATGTACGTAATCCGTGCAACGGCGTGGTCGTGACGTCACGCGGGGGGGCTACAGGCATACGGGAGTGATTCACCAGTGACCCGCCAAACCATCCGTGAGGCGCGCGGGCGCATGCCGATGAGGCACTGGATCGCCGGCTGACCACGGCTGAGGACTTTGACGCGACTGTGGCAACATTTACCGATTTCAACGCCCTCAAGTTTTATTGAGCTAAACATATTTGCAAAGTTATGATTAAGTGCGTTTGACCATGCAAATTTGTCGTTATTCTCGAATATTCTTGATCTTACCCTGGCTTGTCGCTTGGATCGTCTTTGTGCTTACCTGCGAAAGAGAAAGGAATATGTTATTAGACATGTGGCATATTGGTTGACACTACAAACTCTGTGTACATTTTTAATATAAGATTAACGAAATAAAATCAATTTATATAGTGAAGTACTATTTTTATGGTTGTGGTTTCGAATATAAAACGGGAAACGGCAACTCAACAGTTCCAAAGAAACGAAAGGGCCGACGCGTTTAGTGCGACAATTGTGAAATATGTAAACTAGAGCGGGCGCGATTGTTCCAAGGTTCGACGGCTTAAACGGCGCCGTAATGAATAAAAAGTAACCAATCGCACTTGTTAACAGCAAAAGATTATTCATTACTTGTAAGAGGTGTAAATTGCCTAATGTTCTGTAAAGTTCACCATAGAATTCAAGAGTATATTTCGTACTAATCACTGTTGATGCTTCCACCCGCTACTATTCATAATCTCCGTTTTCTTCCAAAAAACAAAACGGCGCTAAATTTTAAAAAAAAGACAATTAGGTTAAATAAACGCAAAATAATATTAACGCAGGATAATTTACTTCAAAGTTGTTGAATACAACATTTTACTATTAGTTTAAGCGGGAAAATTATCTGAACCGGGCTGGTACCAAGTGTTAAATACTTTGTCAATCGTTTTCTGGAACCTTGCTTCCCGATTAACAATCAAAAAGTTTCAGGCAATATTGAATAATAAAATGTTCCACGCCGATACAACTTGGAACGTTTATATTTATAAAGATATAATATTTATAATATAATAGATCCTAGCTCATTCGGATTAGAAAAAAAAATGCTGTTCCTCATAACATTTTTTAAGAAATATTTAAATCGTACAATACTTATCGAATGTGTAAATACAATATCTTTATTTAAGCCAACCCATTCATTTTTCAGATCGACCACGACTTTACTTTTATTACTTATACGCAATTATCATTATAGCTACTACCACCGTGTAGCTTGGTTGTGTCGTCGTCGTGCAGTGATAAAACGTTGTCGTAATTAGCGCGAGCTTCCAACACGAGACATGCTTGTCACGTTCGGCTGATTAAATTTATTGGTGCCGCATAGGTCGCCTATTATTGGGACAACATTGTTCGGCTGCTTCGAGAATGATCTTAGACTCTTAGACAATCGATCGACGCGGTAATCATAATGGGTGTTTTGCTTTGAATTTGGCTAAGAAATTGCTTGTAGTATCGCAGCTGTAAAACGGCTGAAAATAATAAAATCAGTCTTTAACCCGCCTAACCCCTTTATCATATCATTTATGAATGTTTTAGTTTAAGCAAAAAGAAATATTTTGGTTTTAAAATTATTCAGTCATGTTATTACTCAAGTCATTTATTGTTCGCGCTGTCAAAAATCCACAAGAGATACGAAAATTATCAACCTCATGCATGCAAAACATAAAAAGTGTGACAGCGTGTTATTACAATAATATTCTGAGCTGGAACTCAGTTTTGCCGTTACTCGACTAAAGTTAAATTAAGATTCAACTGTTTACGTATAATCCTTCCAAAAAATTTACAAAAGAAAAAAGTTCAAACAGAAACATGTACGTTTATAGAGGCACCTTGATATTAGCCGCGAAGCAAGCGCGTATTATATTGATAGGAGGATTAGGTAAAAGGAAGATGATCAGTTTTGATTTAAAAAAAAAATATTGTAGGGAAGAAAATGAATATATTAAACGATGGCAAGTGACAGCGCTCAAGCGAGTTGGTATTCAACATAATGACGGTGCATGAACCGAAGCAACGTCCACTTACATAAGTAAATAAAATTAGCACACTTTAAGATCTCAAAGGGCCTCGATCGCAATCCACTAGCCGGATCATTATAGGACCAAACAAGCGATGGCGCCACGGTCGAATACGCGTGCAACGAAACCAAACGTTGAAATTAAAGCAATCGTCGCGAGAGCGTTGAGAAAACGCAACGGAAGGCCGAAACGTGCGTTGCGCGGAGAAACGTGACGTCACGATGCCGCGTTCGATGCCGATAGTGAAGCGCTATATGTCAGATGGCACTTATAATTGAGATAGATAATGATGCCATCCTCTACCGCCCCCGCCGGTTCCATCATCTCTTCGAGTTCGTTAATTATTAAATGCCCGCCCATTAATCAGACGCGGCCGAGCTTCGATCGCATTCTCCGGCGATTTATTACGCCCTCGATATCGTTCCTGGCTGCGCTGTAATTGACGATTTATAATTCAGTAAGTACAATACACAAGAACCGCCAAGATTCAAGATCAATCTTTAAGTGATGTATTAAGATCAACGTGAACGACGTGATAACAGCGTGAAGCGTCATTATGCGCTTTACTACGTTACATTGAACCATAAATAAAAAGCATATTTTAACAAACAATTTATCACTATTTTTTTCAAGGATTTAAAATTTAATCAAGGATACTAAGATCGTCATAATTAACGCCCTTAACGGAAACATTTAATATTTACCGTCTGTTGTACAGCACTGACTACAACAGGTGATAGTTTCATAGTACAGAATGTATGACAATGAGATTTGTATTTATCAAACAGTAAAGAGGCACTCACGGCCCGGGCGGCGTACGCTTTTTTATGGGTTCGATAGCACGGCGCCCCTTCAGATCCACTCAATCGGAGAAGCTTGACGTTTCACCTCTCGAGTTATCCGATGGCGCCACTGAAAATCTTCGTGATACGCAGAAGAAACGAGTGGGCGCAGCCGGACCGGTGTGCAATAAAGATCCGAGGCGGTGTTGGCCTCACTTCCGCATGCATGCATGTTACATTCGTGATTTCAATTTCACCCGAGTGCGATAAAAGTGAAAATAAACAGTTAATGTCGCACCATCGCCGCATCCGCCCGGGCACCGAGTCTCGTCGCCGCTTCGCTTTCTAGGAAGAGCCCGGCGAAATGACGGACGAGCGGTGCCCGCTCTGAATATTAACAATCAAATTTTGCCGCCGTTTAATAACCAACCGATGGCGGTGCAAAACTCACGCCGCGGGGCTTAGTCATTAGCATTGCGCTAAAGCGCGACAAGTCGTGAGCGCGCAATAAGGTCACCATAACAATATATAGGACGTATAAACATCGATTTCGATATGTCAAACCTCGCCGTAAGCATAATGCTCCGTGTCAAGGTAATTCCTTTCGAAGGCATTAAATATGCAAACGGCAATACTTAGAATATTATGACATTGATCGAGATAAGATTGAAGAATGCCAAAAGATTTAAACAAAAACTCATGAGGCTATAATGCGAATCTGAATGAGCCACCGGATCATGCTCCTGGCTAAGAGAATTCCGCATCTTGTACACCGTGACAAACCCATTCAATTACACGCACCGATTCAATCTAGTAACCTAGAATTACATACCGAATCCATGCTAACGAAACATCAGAGCAGTCTGCCGTTAACCGACCCGGTAAGAGGAAATGATAAGAGGGCTGCCACATGTTGGAGATACGATCGAATGTGTACTAATTGGTACCAGGTTCAGAGGAGCGTTGACGTAGATATATGGTTGAAATTAGATTGTGTGAAGATTATCGGAAAGATTTACTAGACAACGTCGTTCGACAAAGGTAAAAAGGCCACTCTGAAGTGGTTTCATCCTGATATTCCATAAACAGAAAACAAAGACAGTGTGATGTATTTCGAAGATTTCTCTCCCGACACCATGGTCGATGAAGAAAAAGAAAAGACGGGCAGAAGCTACATAAGCATAGCCCATGGCTATTGTTTGTTCAGAGGACACTTTGACCCAGTCTTCCACGCGACAACACAACGGATTGACAGACTTCACAAAATTATGATGAAATTATTATCACTTTTAAAACGTACAATGGTAAAATGGTAATCGCACGAAGTTTTCATTCAACGATATGTTCGTGATAAGTAAACACTTAAAACTGCAAGCAACAATTTCATTTTGACCGGCACTGGGATTTGAACTGAGATTACTCGAGTATATTTAAGAACAAAGAGCGAGCGGCTGAATGCTACTATAACGACTCATTGCGAGCCGTGGGAGACTCCAGCAGGAGCCTACCCAAGGCTGTTGACGATAATGCGGTATCAGAAGCAAATTGAGGGTATATCCTCAAGCAAGCCAAGGTCTACATATATGTACCTTGGCTTGCATGATCTGTTTTGTTCGAATCGCGTCGTTTCCTCTCAATTCGGGTCAGTGCTGATCCGCGAGACCGTTGCCGTGCCATCGGGAGGGGGAGGGAGGTCGAGGTGACGTCAAACCGTGACAGCACCGTGCCACCGCCAGGGTCAAACGTCAAGAGGCTTTTTTGCCTCAGTGAACTCGAATGCCGTGGCCTCGCCTGCCACCGTGCACCACGCAGGCATTCCGCCCGTGGAATACAAATCGCGCCCGCCACAACAAAAGCCCCGTTTGTGTATACGGTAATGGCTTATTCTGTTATTGAATAGTTTTTCAGCCGAATGATGATTAGCAACGGCGGTTGCACAATCGCTCCCCCAAGGTTAGTTGCCGACGTTAGTGGAAATCTATTGTACCTACTGAGTTTCGATGCGTCCGTCTACGATTATCTCATTATATTTAATGGAGTGGCATTTACCTGTTCAAACGGTTACCCAATTATTTTCAATGGCCAATATTATTGATTTATCTCACACGATAAATCGAAGCATAGGCTTTAGACATAATTACAGATTACGTCTGAGCAGAGTCAATGTATAAACAGTTAAATCGCAGTACATAAAAGATCGTAGAGCGTTCACACGGGGAGCTGGCCCGTTGTTTCAGATACGATCGCGGGGAAGATAGTCGAAGCCACGAGATAGGGAGATTACTCGCGGCCGCAATAGTGAGGCGGTGTTTGAACTGGTCGCTATGGGAACGCCAAACATTTACCGAGCGCCGCGGAGCCTAGTCGTAAATACGTCTCGCGCATATCGATATGAGACGTTTCCGTATAGATAAGTCAAATTTAATGGCCGTAATTTTACTGGCCCGCACGCCTTCGGAAGCTATAAACATGGAAAGGCGGCGGGAGCGCCACGTTATTACAAAAATGCCGCGCGCTCGGATATCGTTCGAGCCGCCTCCACATGATAATTGTCATTTCGTCGCAATTTATAGCAGTGCTCGCGTCTACAGATGCATTACTTGCATATATACTCGTATGCAACCCCGACGTACTTCATCTTTTATTGACGTGCCGATGACAGAATAATTGTGGCGGGCTCGGGCACTCGAGACTATATTGTGTTGTGGGCTGTCTGTCGTGATTTGCGGCTCCGCGCCGCGCAATTAACCGGCCGCGAACGAGCCGCATATTTTAATCTCGACGACATTAAAATAGCCCGGAACTGAGCGCGCGAGGGCGCCGCGCGGCGCGCACCTCGCGCGGATTTCGGAAAACGTCCGCCCGAAGTCGTAATGTCAAAGCAGCAGGGGCCAAATTGGCTGACACGCACGTAACGCGTGCATTGAACCTAAAAGGTTGTGACAGTGGTATTACGGTAATTAAGTTAATTTGTGAAACACAAAAAAACGGCAGTCGCGTTTGACATAAGTCAAGTGGGCGAATCGTGGAGCGGTCGGTAGCCGTGGGACGGTGCGAATTTGCACATTGGAATGTTTACAAATGATCGTAAATCGCTAATTAACACTTATCTAAATGGACATTTTTCTTCTAATATTTCAACGTTTATTTACTAATTATGGTAATTTTGTAGCGAGATAACTAGTTTCGATGATGTTCTGGGACATAGAGGCGTCGTTTCGAGGCTAAAGAGAGCTGCACGTCGGTCCGGGAGGGTTCAGAAGGGCCCGCGCCTAACAGCCGTCTTAGCATATCGGCCGCCAGGATCTGCCCTTGACGGGCGGAGCGCGGAATGCGCCGGGGTGCGACGTGGCCGGTCGTTGACTGGGCGGGCGAACGAAACGGCGCGATTAGCGGCCAATGCAATTGTCCGCAAAGGAGGAACGTATCACAACACGCGTGAATCAGCGACGCCGCGCCATTTGCGGAAGGCCGTTTGCTAATACATGACCGGCCATGGATACGGGGAGTGGGGCGCACGAGGAAATCGCCTTATCGCCTCCGCCGGCTCGGGTCGGGCGTCGATTAAATACCGCCTTAAACGGTCGACCTTCGCGGGCGACGCGGAATCGACGATTCGGCGGCTCTCGAAACGGAACGCGGCTCGTTTATCAATTCATAACAATATAGAGAAACTTAGATTGCGAACATTGAGAAATCGGTGTCGCAACGCGAGATTTCTCGGATATCTGGGGAGCGCCTTGACTCCAAAATTGGTGTTACGCAGTTTCTGCGCGTCTCGGAGTAGTGTAGAGACGGTCAATAAACATTTATTGGGATAGATTTTATGGAACTCTGAAAACGGTGAACGTTTAGAGCGTCATTGAGTAATCTAGTTCCATCGTTGGGAATACGTTCACATTTCCTTTTGCTGATCGTCGTGGCGTTGGTCGCTGCTGGCGTTACCCGATTTAAGAGCAACATTGGCTTATGGCGGACAGGTGTAAAAAAAGTAAAGTATCAGCCTATACATGTCCCACTGCTGGGCAAAGGCCTCCTCTGTACAGAGGGACAGGTGTACTAGGTAATAATTGCGTCCCTCGGCGAACTGCAAACGATTGCCGCCTTCGGGTGATGATCGACGTCATTAGCGCGCAATGCAAAATACCCATCGTCTCTTATCTGTCGCTAGTACTTTACAAGATAGTGTGACAAACGACGCGATTCTTAAAGACAATTTCAAAATCGCTTTTGAAATAAACGTATATCTTCTACTTCTTTCTCCTGCCCTTATCCTACCTTGTTGGGGGTGGGTACAACATATGAATCGTGTTACCAGTGTTTAACCGAAACTGTTATCAGTGTTCACACAAATACTTATCCCGCGTCGGAATCGAACCTGCGATCCCAGGCGCCTAAGTCTAAAGCTTGGCAAGCGCGCAACCGAGTAATAAATAAACGTATATACTGAATATATTAGTCGATACGATCGTGACGTTTTCGTGCAAGTTCTTAAAGTAGGAGAAGTACGAATGTGTTCAGCTGTGAATTTTCCTGTGTTCGCGAATCCGACCTCAAGTTCAGCCCGATTAGTATTCGATCGGGGTGTCGGTCCAACATTGTGTGCCGTAAGCGGCCATTGGTATTGGTCGAATCACGCGTACGCACTTCGTACGGTGTACAAAATATAGAGACAATGCCATTAGTGGCTATCGTTTTTGACACGTCGGAGCTACGCTATATCATTTCTGTTTTGCTCTAGGTTATCAGTAAAGGGTTTACGATTTTACATACAATTACTTTTAAATTTGAAACTTCACGTTTAGATATAAAAGATCGTTCTGTAATATTTTCATCTAATTACATAATGGTAAAAGGGAGAGGCGAAATTTTACAGTCTTAATACGAGTAATGTATATTGTAATAATAAAGTAATATAAAATAATCCACTCGGTATTGATCAATTCGCAATAAGTCCCATGACATATTTAAAATAATTCAGTTGAATTATCAACATTTATTCTACCAAAAAGAAAGCGGGGTATCACATGAAATGCTACAAAAGTCTATATTGTACTTTCGACGAAAAGGACGATGAAGCGGCGGAAGAGAACCTTCCGGCGCACCGAGCTGCCACGGCATACGCGCTCTGCTAATTAGCACTGTACACACTGACATACATACATCCTCCAAAGATATATACGCGTAATAAGGCAATAGAGACATAAATATCGGTATTAGCAATATCATAAAACTTGCAACACGGAAAATACTTGAGCGACGACAGCTACGCGAAACGATCATCGTGAAATAATATGTAAATTGCATAAATCTAGTATAATGTTATGTTATATAACCATCATGAATATTAAAATTCAATAATCCGTCATCACGCTTTTCGGCTTCATTCGATAATAATATCGTGATGTCGAATTTCGATTATATTAGTTGCGCCTCGTATGCAAATGTCCGAGATGTGGATATCAACGGATGATATTTATCATTGGACCTATGGCAGAGCGAGACAGCATATATTCGATTCCAAATTAAAACAAAAGAGATGACGGTAACGAGATGTGATTCATTATTCATGTGAAGAACATTCATTAGCTAGCAGGCATATTCTCTATAAATGAATACATATAATATATTTTTACATAATCGTTTTGTAAATAGGAACGTAATGAATTAATAACTATGACACATCGCTGCGAACAGCGAATCCGTGTGGATCGAGCCGGAGGAAACTTGAACGCAGCCTACCGTTCATCCTTAGAAAAGTTATTGTGTGTAAATATAGATGAGTCACGGGGGGACACTCGTGGCGGCGGCGGTGAGTTCTTTCTGTGCGCGCCTTAGGGGTCAGGTGGTTCGACACGGTCTCATAAGCACACCGACCCGTAAGCGGAGGTACGACGCTCGGTTCCCACGTGCCTCTAGGGGCCCCTTCGGTCATGCGCCGGCGCCTCCTCGGGCCCTGGCCACGCTAATGGTCACGCCGCGGGCCACATTTACGATACAAGCGACTGCAACACGAACGGGTTTCATTACTCACGTAAGATGGTGGTGTGGTATCCGGAGAGATTCAAAATGCGATCGATTGACAAATTTTAACGTTTTCAATAGGTCAGACGGTGAACGCAGTTTAACATGTAGACAATGCAATCAAACATCGGCGAGCCCACGGCTCGTATACATAAGGTTTTAAGACTCTTGGGTATTTGTTACTTTACTAACGTCGCAAGAATAATTCGACGATGTTTCGACGGGGAAGTTTATTTCTTACGACTACGGTACGATGGATTACGGTGGATTTTGGCTACTCTGGTATCTAGAAACATCCAGTCAACCTTTTTTTTTTTATTAACTTTCCAAGCTGACAGGCCAGGAGGGGTTCCACCTGATGTTAAATGATCACCACCGCCCGTTGATTTCTACAGCACACATATGGTTCGATATTAATAGATAGTTTTTCTTTTTTGATGTTTAATAAGAGCTTAAGTTAAGTCTACATTGAATAAAAAGATTTTGACTTTCAACTTTAAATAGCGTTTCTATTCTTGCAACAGCAAAAGCTGGTACGTCGCCTAACCGCAGTTAAAAACGTGGTGTGAAATCAAAATGGAATACAAAAGTATAAGCAAAACTTTCAAACACCCAATGAACATTTCAGCGTGAAGTGCATTCTCGCATGTCAAGAAAGAAATTCATTTCGAATCGTCTGATAACAACTGACCGATTTTCGGTCGTCTGGGCGTACGTTTCGCATTTTCTTCGAGGCGTTAACAGGGGCGAGGGATGTGGGTGCGTAATGCGATCCGCAAATAGTAGCGTTTACTGGGTGCCCTTATCTCTGAACAGGAATGTGAGTGCATAATGCGATCCGCAACACGTAGCGTTTTCTGGGTGTCGTCAACAGGGAACAGGGATGTGAGTGCATAATGCGATTCGCGACGCGTAACGCGTTGCCCGCGTTAACATATCGAGAGCGTCTGGAGCATGGAGAGGGAAAGTGCGGCAGGTGCGCGTCGGCGAGGGGCGGAGGCCTGGAATGCGACTATTATTAGAGGAGCCGGCGCCGGCGGCACAGGGTGCCCCGTTTCTACGCGCCCGCACGTTTCACTGATCAATTTCTGTTCGCCGGAATTCCGAAGATCCGTGGCCGTTTCGAATTCCGTCACCGGGTTAAGGCGGAGCTCTTGTGATGTAATGGCTTCGACGACATGAAAGATACGAATAAATAGTTGATATCATCCTGTTCCTCTTTGAGGATTACGCATTAGGATCACGAAACAATAGAGTTATCTGATTATCGAATAGAAAGTCTTTGCATTGATGTTAATGTTTTCAGTAGTCTATGTGAAAAGAAAGTGGTATTGTATTGGACAGACCATTAGAAGGCCTGCCGACCACATCACTAAACAGGCCGTGACCTGGCAACCTGTAAGAAGTCATAGACGAAATATCATTGCCCACTGATGATTGCCTAGATGAATATAAACTATAAACTGACACATTTTGTGCTGATAAATGGTGTTGGACCGCTTTCATCTCGCTCACATCCCATAGGGCGCTATCGGAGCGGGCAGCGGCCGTCTCTGAGTTGTACTGGCGCCGATGCGAGTATTGTTACTTTTCTTTTCAGGAGATTTTATCAACACACCCCCGCAAACAGAGCGCTTTAGGCGCGAGAGTCTGTTGCTACGCCTATTCGATTTCCTAAAACGCCGCTAACCACGTGAACTGTTGATATCCGTACAGTTGAACGCTATAAATAGCTTCGCGCTTGTAAAGCAACGCTAAAAACTGAAGCAATTAGCGCAACCGGTTAACATTGCATAGTGCGCGGTCGGCAAACGGCGCGGGCAAATGTCCATACAGGAGCGGTCGTACGCCTTGGTATGACCTCAGCGCGCGGCAAAATGGTTCCGCAGAGATTAGAACCACTCCAAACGGACTGTACAAGAGTAATTATGTTAATTAATTACGAAGTACACTTAAATAGCTTGACAATGTGTAAAACGTTTACTTCCCTTATGCAGCGAGCAAAAGTTAGTTTGTAGGTACAGTGCAGTTCTTCATTACATATTACTACAATAACAAGAATACGGAATCAGTCCTACCATGAAAATTATATTTTTGAAGTTATACTTCTTTTGGCGCGTTTGGGAAATGTATGATATTAAAATTTTTACGATGCGCGCGCACACCGACTCTCAAACAGCGACATGATGCTTGGTAAACAATTCAATATTGGCCACCATCAACAACTTTTTGACATTTATTAATAATTTCAATTCAAGTCATTTAAATAAACCGTTATCAATTGCATTTAATGTCTTTACGTTAATGAAGTATAATTTCTTACGCGCGTACACATAAGTACACGCATACTTTTTTTTAAATTACTATTCGGTCTAACAACCCTGCAAGTAGAATTTTAACTATATTCTCTATCAATCCTCCTAACGACTTCATCGGGACTACTCGCCGCACAAATCCGTACCGAATGTCGATGCAAAATGAACACGTAGACGTCGCAATTCCAACTACTAATAATAAGCGAATTCTCGGCATTAAGTTCGCACCTCGGCTATCGCGTTACGGTCAGCGGTTAACGATACCATAAACACGGCTGCGAGGGGAACCATTCACGAAACGAATATACATCGGTGCTTGGGGCAATTGTTATTAATAACTCCGTTATCGATGCGGTAAAACTGACAACATTGACGCATTCATCTCTTTAGTAATCAGTCAATTCATCTTAAAAATAAACTCTTTCGATATCGAATCTTACGAAGATACATGTATAAATCACGTTACATTTCTTGATTTACTAACTTTCTTTATCTTTTCCGTAACATGCGATACTTCGAAGCGTTCAGAACGTGGAGAGTTTGAGAACAAAATTAAGTACTATTAAAAGTACATATTTCTAATTAGGATTAAGAACTGCATAATACACTTTATACGGCGAAACGTTCGGAACATTATCATCATTAAAATCGCAAAGCAATCTGATAATACGTTGTAACGGTCATAACATCATTAATACCAAAGTTGAAACAAAAAAGGCATAAATCATATTCAACCTAACTAAAAATGTTACGACCAAATGAGCCAATTTTTAAAAGGTGTCCAACCCGTTAAGTAAACTGTGCGTGTGAGCAAACGAAGCAGAATTCCCACCATTGCACGATGATTTTGTTATAAACGTGAATAATACAATTATCCGTGTAATAGTCGTTTGTTTTCGATAAACGCGATTAAGATACATCGTATTGAGTTTACGATGCAACTGTAATTTGTAAATAGAACGTCGTCTACGTTCTATTTACAAAAGCCAGACCCACTGTTGTTATTGAAATTACCAGAACTACATTTCTATGTGGCTAGCATTGTTTTAGTTTTATATTCAAAACTTAAACCATTCCATTGCAAAATCCAAAATACAATTCATATAAAACCTTTCATGGTTATGAATGTCCCGTAACACAGAGTACGTGCTAGAGATTACCGCTTGCAGAGCTTCTTACTTCTTTCATATGCATTTTTGGATAATTCGCAACAAACACTTCGTTAACGGGGCTTCCTATTTGTACTGTGATATACGTAACTGCTATAGGGCCAGGCAAGTCTTCGCTGTTGCACGGATGGTGGACTCATTCCCATTCTAGGTAACTCACAGAAGACCGGCGTGAAGCGGGACTTTTATACTCCCGCGTTTCGTCTAGTAAATGAGGTAGCCGGGGCCCACTTTATTAAATAAAAGTCTATGGGCGGTTTTCACTTAACGGCGACCTTGCTTGCCACCTTCTCAAATAAAAAAAATACATACATATCAAAGTTTAAAGTAAAAGTAATTTGTATTAATAAATAGAACAGTCTGTAAAGTGCTCTTCATATATGCGTACTGCTGTTAGTTATAGTTTATAATAGTATTAGGCTCAACTGTTGGGTAAGCCCATTAATGTCGTGCGGGGGAAATATTTTCGTCATATGCTCAAGAACGAAGCAATTAAACATCGGAATAGTGCGCGAGTAAATCCCGTAGCGCCAACATTTATAACTCAATTAATCATACTGTAATGGGGGAATTAGTTTTAGTGAAATTTCTCCAAGAACAATTATTGCGCTTGCTGCTAATTGGACGACATCCAGTGAGGAATTTGTTTAAGTACATAGTTTGACTATAAGTTCTATATAAAGATGCCTTAGCTTAGCAATTGGCAATTTGATCAAATTAAGGCGCAATAATCAACTACGACCCAATTGGCCTAATGGGGGGCAGTGACCCTGTCTCTTGCGCCAGTGGGTGTGGGTTCGAACCCCACAACTGGAAAAAAATTGTGTGATGATCAAAGCTTTTTTCCAGTGTCTGGCTGTTTTATATATTTATAGTTTGTATCTATTTACAGAAAAAAAACTATGTTTAAGTATGTTTATCAGTTATCTAGTACCCATAGTAAAAGCGTTGCTTAGTATGGGACTAGAAAATGTTGTGTAAAAATGTGTCCTAAAACAGACAACAGACTAACACATTAATTTTATTGTTATTGGACCTTGGAGTTACAGGAAACACTTCAAAATGAAAAAGAAAATGTATAGTGACGGAGATATTTGATGTCGACGATGTTTTTTATTAATAATAAAATGTACTTGTAACTATACCGTATTGACAGTGGAAACAAGAAAGGAAACGGACTTGACTAATGCAAAAATAATAGGACCTAACATAGTCATGCCTCGTGTCATGATTGGCAAAGCAAATAGGTGCAGCCTTACCTAGTTTTTTTTTTTTATCTTAGATGAACGTCCTCATCAGACGTCTGTTTTTCGGTCGGATTGGGAAGAAGCAAGTCTGTGTGTCAATAATCGCCAAGTAGAAAGGGTGACGGTCCGTAGGAGATACCGGAGTCCCTCTAAATGTACAGGGGGTTTTACTGAACCCCACATAACCCTGTCATGTAAGTTGACATGGTATCTTTTGAAGATTCTTTAAGAAACAACACGCCCTCATATTTGATGTGTGCTAAGCAACTAACTTACTTGTTAAAAAAATATATAAGCCGTTACGTAGTATTAGTGTAGTGGGAAATAAAATGAAAATATACAATGACACATACTGATTATTAAATAGATTAAAAACAGCATTCGAGGTTCGTGCTATACTTGTCTTTACGAAACTCAAACGCGTATGTTTACATAACGCGGATGCGGTAAGAACGTGAAACACGAAAAACTATAACTTAACATGTAAATGGGTAGGGTCGGCAGCGACACGGTTCCCTTTTGTTTTGTCCTACAACAGATTACCATAAAAGTTTACGTAATGTGGTCTGGTTGCTTTCTCATCTACGTTTAAAGTTGAATTTAAAGGACAGGTAAAATGAAGCTAAATCTTACTAATATTATAAAGGCGAAAGTTTGTATGTATGGATGTGATAATGAAATGTAGCTTTTGTACATTCTGTATCATAATACAAGATCCGTCAAATTCAAATATCTGCTATAACAACTAGTGTTTTAACGGTTTCCAACTAAACCAATTAAAACTTAACTAATTTAAACTTTTCTAAAAATAAAGGTTAACCATCTAATATCACAATTTCCAAACTGAAACTTTGCCCCCCATTACAGTAAACGTTCTCTCCGCCCTCCGATCTAGTATCCGATTTTTGGATGTGGACGGCCAGATTCATCATCAGATCGCGATTCCATTCCATCAGTGATGGAATGGAATCGGATCAGATAGGATCTGAAGGTATGGAACCTTCTTCGTCATACCGTGGTAGAGCCACGCAACAGTTGCTGTTGCACGAATGGGAAGGCTCGTCCGGGGAAGTACATACCACGGCCTCACCGAAAACCGGCACGAAGTGGAAGTGTATAATAACTTGCGCATTTCATGTTACCGGGGCCCACATTTCAAAGGCTGTCAAACAATCTGCAAGTTCCTTGTAACGTTGTTATAGGTGCTGTAGATATCCATAGGCGGCGGTATCCACTTAATATAAGGTGAGTAAGAGCTTGACAACTTTTCACATAAAAAAAACATAGATTGACAGCGACATTTATGTAAGTCGATAAAATGTTAATATGCAACGCTCGGTGTAACGGTTACGCGGGGCGGTTGCGTGCCGAGCCGCGCCGCGTTCAATGCTAGATCGGACGAGTGTTGAATATCGCGTGAGCGCACTATGTTGGCCGAATCGCGATGCAAATTGCACTGTTCTGTCTAAGAGTTGGCAAGGACTTTGCATGGATTTAAATCTGACTAACCCTTAGTTAGTCTAATGTTAGAACATCAATCCATAAATTCCATACTAATACTAATATTGTAAAATGCGAAAGTAAAATGGGCTCTGTAAATGAGAAAGTCTGTGTCTGTCTTGCTTTCACGCCAAAACTACTGAACCGATTTAAATGAAATTTGGTACACAGATAGCTAGAGCCTGAGAAAGGACATAGGCTATTTTTAATTGGAATTTTTTTATAAAAAAAGATATTTATTTAAGGGCTTCAACGCGAGCGAAGCCACGGGCGAAAGGCTAGTGAGTTATTAATTTAATATTATTGATTTAATATCAATAAAGTGTACTTGAACTTTACATGAAAGTATCTTGATCGGATTTCGAATATAAAAAGGATTCAAACAAACTGTAAAAATTGTTTTTTGTATTCGCACAAATACAGCAACAAATACAATCAGTTTTCCAGTCTAGTTGTTTTTGTTCATTGTTCAGTGAAGTTTTGAGTTTGAAAATACATAATCACTACATAGTATAAAATAAAGTCGTCCCGCTGTCTGTCTGTCCCTATGTATGCTTAGATCTTTAAAACTACGCTACGGATCTTGATGCGGTTTTTGTTTAACGATAGTGATTCAAGAGGAAGGTTTATATGTATAATACATTGCACCCGTGCGAAGCCGGGGCGGGTCGCTAGCTACATAACATACATAGTACATTTTTCAGAAACAGAAGATTATTATTAAATTCAGATATATATTTATCATCAATCCTAATCAAGAAATAAAAATACAACATTCGGCGAAATATCAACGAAAAAAAATACTCATGCGATTGCTTTAACTAAATCTTTAATAAATCCTTGAAGAGACGAAGAGAGACGCTTTGCTTTATCCGGAAGATAGTTAATGGCTGCATTATTAAGCCATCATGGGGCCAACGGTGGCTTATTAGGCGTATCATATCTTCGCTGAGCGTAATTAAGGTCAAGCCGCAGGCTTGTGGTGTGAACGAGACTGCGAGATACGTGACACTAGCTCCTCCTTGACATTCTTACGTATTCCGCGTGTTAAGCGACCGTCCGCACTCTTAATCCTTCGAAAAGGCAGTAGGCATTTGCGGATATAATATCTGTTTGATAATTAACCTTATTTTCAATGCTTTAAGGCGTATTTAAGTTTACTTCGACGAAAAAGTAAGATACACTTAATATTTGAAAATTCATTGGCAGCATGTTGCTGGTGGTTCATCATTTTTAGGTTATTGTATTAGCGAAAATTACAAACGGCCTCAAATGAAAGTAAACAATACAATTTTAGACCTCATTATTGAAAGTCGGTAGAAATGTATTGTAGTAGCAGTTATCGAATGTGCGTTTTCAAAATACCAATCATTTAAACGAACTATTTTATGCGAAAACGAGTCACTTGGTTTCGCTTCAGTTAAACGCGGCGCGTTACGCCGATCGAGCACAATATCCATCGAAGGAGAGCGGTGAACGGGAGACTAGCAAATCTCCGCTAAGCGTGTCATGGCCCGCGCGACAAATATCGGAGGCGGCGCCACCGACCCCAGATCCGTGGCGATTATAATGGAAATTACTTAATAGCACCCCGCCGACGTACTACCGAGCCGAAATATAGAGCCCCGCCTATCAGTAAGTTTTAGAGGAATGCGGTCCTAATTAGAATAAGCTGCCACTAAACAAGGTAGAGGTTAAACGGTCCGGCACGAGTTTTGTATAAAACTCCTATCAATCATTCATAAATATGTTGTACACTAAAACTGAAATTTCATAACACTTGACCGTTTTCATTTTTCGATATTATTAACTAGTTCATATAATAAAGACAAGTAGTTTGAAAAAGAAATTAAATACTATATTATGCATCGCATAAACAATTAAAATGCCATAAAATCGACACAGATGACTTGGCTTAGTGCAGAAAGCGAATTCAGGCGGGCCGGATCATTAAACAACATATTAACACAGATTGAAAAAATTTCCAACGACGTGATGAAATATGCATTCCAAATTCAAAATCACATTCCTCGGCGATATAGTAATTCGAACGCATCAAATCGTCACGGAAAAAACAAAAACGCACCGCATTCTGCTGACACAAACGCAGTGCGCGCGAAACTATTGCATCGACGACGTGGCAATCACGCTGGGAAATTAGTGCGTTCGGTTAGCACGTAAGCACTACAGAAGGCGGCACTGCGCGCGATACGACGGTAGGCGCACGTGTTATCTAACGCGGCGGGGCCACGCTGCCTGTGACACAGTGACACGGAACACTATGGGAAAATTAATAGATCCGTCGTGGGACACTTTCCACGCTTATGCAACGCTCTTATGTCTACTTAAACGCGACTCTGAATCGCAATTGACGTCAGATCGGTCCAGGGGTACATAAAGCGCGGCCTGCAAAGCATGGAAACGCGATCAACGCCAATCCATCACGTGTTTTTTAGTTCCAAAATTTAAAATAACCCTACGAAACGACAGTTATTTGACATCAGAAAATCTTGACATCGAATATCATCCCTAACGCCAAAAAGTTTGAAGTAACTTTCAAACTAATATAAAATATGTAATATATTTTAGATTAGCCGTAGGAGATAAAAAATGCAATAATTTCGTACGAAAATTTGTGATTATATAAGCTCTAAAAATCTAAATGTTACACTAGTATTTCAAACTCCTTTTAAGAATACTACATTAGTACTTTTTGAAATAAGATTGTACATGCTAATAAAATTAATGAAGCTGTGCTTAACCTACGATAATTATAGGCGTGCGTGAGTTCATGTACTTAATAAACACACCACAAAAGCGCTTAGACACGCTTTTTCCCGTTTACCAACACGGTTCACCTCGACCTGTCATTCGTAGCAGTTATAGGGTTGCCAATTTCATGTACAATTACTGTGTCTGTTCATTTATTTATTTAACCGTTTTATTATTCCTATTAAAACTTTGTTTTAGTCGGAAAACGTTCGATAATTCTACTACCCTGTCACATGTACAGTACACGTGTATGTACAAAAACTGTAAATACACATGCATAGTTTTTGATTCACATTAGAAATAAGATTCTCTGATGTTGGATTGAGATGATCCCACATACCTCACTTGCGACAATGCATATGGAAAACTTTTACAGTCGACAATATAAGCAATGTTCGTAGATGAACCCGTAACGGCGAAAGATACGAGAACGATCGCAGCCCTAACTGCTAGATGCATGGCGCCTGCGCTTGCGCAACACGCAGCGATGGAAAGCGACGAGCCGTGGCAGCGGGCGACCGCTGGAGAGAGCGGCTCCCCATCACAGCGGGGTCCCGTCTAATTGTGCACCGTTAATCTCGATCGCTTGTAACGTTAGCGACGCAACCATTTAATCGCAGTGTCCTTCGTCGATCGCCTTAGAAGCTCAAGGCTTTATTACTCTTGCCCATTTGCGATGTGTCAATTTTGGACATTGTGGACCAGAAAGCGGTGGCTGTCGATACGAGATTGAGGATTTTTGTTTTCGCAGTAGTTTATTATGAGACAGTTAATTTTCCATAGTGCAAAGCTAGGGCTAGGGCTTTGCACTATGGAAAATTAACTGTCTATATTGGCTAAAGGCATATAATCTGTCTCGATTTTCCATGCGGAAATATACGTGAAAGGATTAAAACATGTGAAATTTTTTTAATACACATGAGTGTCTTTCAATATAAAATATAAATCACCTTAGCAGTACCCCAACAACCTGCGCTGTTAAACAACTTTTCTGGCACAATTTAATATTGTGAATGTGGACACATATGCATATGAAAAAACTACGTTATCGGAGCTCGGGGCATTTGTTTTTGTCATGAGTTGACGTCATGGTTCGCACATGCGTGAGAAACGGCACACGATCAACGAGCGTATGTGCCAGTCATCGCAGTATTAAAAAAATAAAACTATGTTAAGTCTTCAATTTACGGCCAGGACTTTTCTAACACAAGGAGAGAATTCACTTTTCAACACAACAACCGCCCGTGCGTACCCAAGTGACGAAATGCATTACTTACTGAAAGTATCTATGCTTTTAGCAGATCTTTTGTCAATATATTATATTTCAACGACCTTATATGCAACATTAATAACGATTTAGAATTAGGAGAAAAAGCATGAGGCAGCGTAACAAAGAGTGTAAGTTGACTAGTAAATAATAATGGTTTCATAAACACGGCAGCACCCGTCTTACGAAACAAAACACAGCCAAGGAATGCAAACAGTAGCGAATGTGCAATGCAAACGAAGCATTTCTATTATATTATGAACTGTTGGACATTATCCCGCCAATTAAAATGTTATTAAGAACCACACGGAACCTTTTTTTGTTGTTCAGATGCGGTGATATGTTGACTTTAATCCATATTTTTAGCAAATTTAAATGTCAAAGTGAAAATTCAACAATTGCTTTTACTTTTTTGCTTATATGCATTTTGTTGTTGTTTATTATGTTCTTTATTTAAGTAAAAAGTTTTTTAGTTAAATATAAACGATATAAAGATAAACGGGCACCCAGGAAATTATTGATGGGTCATACGAAATAGTAGGTCATACGTTTTCCGGATGGGCCAACCCACGTGTATAGATTAGAAACTGAGTCTGCCGACCCAAAGACAAAACATTCGAAACGTGTTAATATTACACAAACAAATTTCGAAACGATTCCTCGCGTATTTCTCTAGGCTTAAATTAAAATTCACTTAGCTGTAACTTTAACACAAAACTGACACAATAATAATAGGCATAACAACCAGAGGCATAAGTTCACGCAGTAATGACCGCATAGGTGTCCGGTTGTCGCCATTACGTAAGTTAGCGTGCGATTATTTCGCACGGGACAACTCCTCGGGGTGGGCGGCGGGGAGGCGGCCGCGACTTGATCGACGTCGACTGCTGGCCCGCAAGCGTTGGCTTGATGGCTCGGCGACGGTGAAAGTGGCCTCGTGCGCGATGGGCAGCGCGCAACGTTTTCTAATCGGCGGTTCCGTCGCGGCGCCCGATCAGGGTGACGCGCGAGCGATTTGCGAAGGTTGCGTCACGTCCTGTCCCTTCGCCGGACGCGGATCGACGGCGACGGGCTGGTAACCTGTCACGCGGCTCGCAATATTATACCCGTTAAGTTGAACTAACGAGGGACATAGAAATTGTTGTCTCTTTAACGTCAAAATGATCCATGATAATTATCGCATATATTACCGTAGCCAGAGTATATTTTATATATACACTAGCTGACTCGGCAAACCTTGTTTTGCCATATAAATTATTTTTAGGGAATTTGTGAATCTGAACACATAGAAAAATAATTTCGGAACGCACCCATAAAATGTTTGACAGGTAGGAAGTTTGTATGGGAAAATAAAATCGTTGCTATTTCGATTTTCCATGCAATTTTTCCATAATTTCTCATCGTTTAAACCTTCCCTGGACTGCCACAAATATTTCAAAACCAAAATTAGCCAAATCGGTCCAGGCGTTCTCGAGTTTTAGCGAGACTAACGAACAGCAATCCATTTTTATATATAAGATTACAGTATTGAAGTGGAAACAAAACAAAAGGAATACACCACACTATGGTTGAAGCACAACGTTTGGAGAAATTTATAGAGAGAGTATTCTCTCCTGACGGGGAGCAAGATAACGTTATGCAAATGTACGCAAATATCAAGCAAACGGAAAATGGAAACAATGTCCGCCGTGTACGGCTTGAAGTTATGGTAATGGCGGATCAATTAATCGGATCAATAATCCGAATAATTACGGATCAGTAGAGACGCGTTCTCCTGTCTGAGCTCGATTTAGGTTACACGTCGCTTCGCCTGGTCTGGTGTCGATGGCTTACTACTACGAATACCTCGAGTGACGAGAGCAAACAGCGTCCTAGCCTGCTGATCGACCCAAGGGGTTATGTAAAGACAAACATGAGGTGCTAAGCGGCGGAACCTTGACATTCACCTCCATGTCCGATGCTCGTTTCCGGTCGCGCGCGAAAGCGGCCGCCCGCACTCGATCGATTGACGGCCGATTTCGATTCGGCTTGATGGACGGACTTAGGCTGCAGACAGACGGCGCGGTGAATTTTTAAAGTGCAAACGTAATTTATTTAAGTACTGATAAAATGCATGGAGGCTGAAACCCTAGCCGCTCCTAGGCTTATTTTGTTCCAGTGGACTGATGTGATGATGATACATTTCTCTCATATGAAACGTTCCATAATGTTCAACAAGTTCGACTATACATTGACCTTTAATAACGTTACAAATGCGTTAACGTTATTAATAACGTTATAAAGTCGGTCTGTCATCATCGGCTTATTAATTTACCATAGGACAAAACAACACGTCACAAACGCATTGATGGACGCGCATTCGTACGCCTCGTGCGTTTTCGGCCTTAGAATCGCCCGTCCGCGCAAGTTCACGACCACGGCTTTCGACCGAGGGAAAAGTCGACGCGTTCCGAAAACGCCGACTTATGACCCGCACCAAAAGAAACGTCCACGTAACGTCGAAAGTTGCGCCGAAACATCGCATTCGTTCCTCAATTACCGTCGCGCAATCGGCAATCGTGCCGGCTTATAAGGAAAGCTTTTCGAACGAGCACGGAAGTGTGTTAGCGTGCGACGTTTCCTAGTTCGCTCGGCCGATATTAGCGCCAATCACCCACGTGCATTGTTTCGCGGCCCGAGCCGGGATAATCCACGGGCGTCTTTGGAAGTTGACCGGTTCCGAACGCCGCGACAGCTCTTCGTGAAAGGCAGCGGCGACAAATAATTTAACGAGCCGCTGCGCCGCGATCGGAGAGAGTTCGGTGGCGATGAAATATAGCGGCGGCAGCAATTTAACTAACAGCTTACGTTTCGGTGTTGTAAAATTGGACATGGACATGGTCTTGCGCAATTTAGTAGCTAACAATGGAACCAAATATCCCTTACCTTTGACATTAAAGTCGTTATACTGTTTTAGAGTACGTCAATAAACTACTAACGACCTAAGAGTATTAGTATTAATTATACCAATAAATAATTATTATTTTAATGTACACGAGACGACTGATATTTGAACATGTCGTCTGCTAAGCTGAACTGGACGCTGCCACTGAGCGTCACTTATCTCAGCGAAACCTCAGCGGAAAAGGCTATGCGACGTTGCGGAGACCGAAATGGCGGGCGTCGCTCAGGAAAGAAGGCAAAGCAGCGCGGCACGTGGGGCGCGCGAAGGGCCATGAATATGCATGCCGCCGCTTGTCTCGACTTTCGATCCGCACAATGGCCGCCTCGCCACCGCACCAGAGCCCATAACTCTCCGCGAACGGCAGGTGGGACGGACCGAGCGGCGCCGGCTTATCGCTCAACTGGCTGCGAAGGGAACGCGCTCGGATTTATTGGGTCCAGCGAGGACCCGGCCCAGAACAAAGGCTACAATTGACATACTGCTGAAGGACATTGCAAAAATCCTGTTAAGTGCGAGCCGGACTCGAAGGGCTCCGTGCCATTATCTATAAAACGGCAAAAAAAATATCATGTTTGTTGTATGGGAGCCTCACTTAAATATTTTTTTTGTTTTTTTTTTTTTGTATTTGTTGTTATAGCGGCAACAGAAAGACATCATCTGTGAAAATTTTCGCCTGTCACGGTAAACTGTAACTATAATTTCAACTGTAACTATCACGGTTCATGTGATACAGCCTGGTGATAGACGGACAAATAGACAGACAGACAGACTAACAGACAGACAGACAGCAGAGTCTACGTAATAAGGTCTCGATGTACCCTTTGTGTACGGAATCCTAAAAAAACAGACTGTTCTGCAACAATAGTTCATAACAGCTAAGTTTTAAACACGAAAAGTCAAAACAAAATATTTTCATTGTGCCCGAGATCGCGTCGATGTTATGTCTATTATAGAAACGATAACAAATTGTGCCCTTTAAAGAACCGTTACCGAGAACAACGGGTTGCAATAAATAAGCAACGATAATTCCATTCGATCGCAATTGAAAAGGACATCGAGTGCGCGGGGCGAACCCATTTATTGCAGTGACAAAAGCTAGCAGATATCGCAAGCTAATAACAGGCTAGCCGAGCGAAGCGCACAGCCCAAGGCGGCTAAATTTAGATAATGCTAGCCTAGCCTATCTAATAAACCATCCCTTAACGAATACTTTGTTGTGACTCGACGACTGCGAAATTAATAAAGCCGGTTTCATTAGCTGGCGTTGCGCCGTGACGCGGTTTCTGGCACTTATTGCTGTTAGTCCAGCTCTTGGACAAGCGGCTGGGTCTGTTTCACCGCGTGACTTGTCCGATAACGGATATAGAGCGAACTAACAAAATGCGCGACCACGACAGCCGTGTGGGTGCTCCGGCTCTTTGTAAAAAGATTCCGCGCTAAGTTATGCATTATCCCGCCCAACAGCAATGTCAGAGTGAGATGCGTGAAAACCCACCATTTAAACGTGGTCGTAAAATGAAACGTTCGCAAATAATTCCAACCCGAGCGCTTATACGAACTTCGCACAATCCCTCGTCGGTGTGTCCTATGAGCCGCTGGTACAATGTCCAGTCCGCTCCAGAGAGCTAATGGGCGGAAGCCGAAGCCAAGCGAACCGGGTCACGGGGGCATCACGAAACCACTGTACCCAGAAATAGAAGCGGCGAGTGGCGGTTAAGTGCTCGATATCGGATAGACGCGACCTTCCGGAGCCACTGACTCTTTTATTGGTCGGAGTGAAAACTTAAAGTGTTGCACACCATGTTGCTATTTTAATTGAGATTTATATATCCGGTAACCAACTGTAAAGTAATACAGAAAAACCCTTTCCCGCCACAGAACTGCGATGCGATTCGTCTACAAAGTAAAAATACAAGAGAAAAAAAACATGACAGACAATAAAATTTCATATATTTCCCCCACTGTTGTCTTTTTCATCATGGATATAAACAGATTCATCAAACTAATAATGTCGTGTGTCGTCCGTTGGAAGATGTGCCGTTTGAGGACGACCCGAATGGCGTAGTGGGTAGTGTACCTGCGTATGAGGGTGTGGTTTCGATCCCCACTACTGGAAAATTATTGTGTTATGAACATAGTGAGTTTTCTAGTGTCTGGGTGTTTATACATTCTATAATATGTATTTATTTACAAAGGAAAAAAGTATGTTTAAGTATGTTTATCAGTTATCTAGTACCCATAGTACAAGCCTTGCATAGTTTTGGACTAGACTAGACTAGAACGTTGTGTAAAAATGTGCTCTAAAATATTATTATTATTTAGCTCAGCTTTAGTGGCTGAAGTATCCCTTTTATTTATAAAATTTTCTTTTAATTATTAATAATTTTTATTTATTAAACTATTAATTAGCTTTTCTAAATTTGCATTCCAATCGTTAATTATTTATTGACTTCCTTGCATAAGTATTTTTGTTTCTGAAGAATAAATGAATTATTCATTTATTCTTCAGAAACAAAAGTTTAACAGAAATATCCGTGTCACGAACTTTTTAATTCGATAATTAAATATTCCTACAATAGCTTCATCTCACTACCATTCGGCTCAAGGTTATTAAGTTTCAAACACCGTTAAGTGGAACGCCAATTTACAATTAACAATTACCGCCAAATTAGTTGTACTTTAACCGTGAAACCGTTATTGCTAGATGATGAAATAAAATAAATGAGTATAATGATGATACGTAAGTAATATTAACAATGTAGCATTAATTAAACACAATTATTCAAGTGTGAATTAAAACTACATTAAGTAGTAAAAGTTTCATTAACTTCAACAGTATAGTAACGGGATATACAAAATTAGACGAAATCATTCATTGTTTTTGTTAAACTATTTGACTGTAAAACTGAGTTTGGTAACAATAATAAATGTGATAAAATTCAAAAGCAAAAATTTCGGGAACCAAAATCAAAATTAAAACGAGTTAAAATCCATAAAATAGTTTCATTTAGTATTTATAATATTTGTGTAAATCAAAATACGGGAAAGGATTAATAAAACCCACAGTCTGTAATAATAAAGTAGTTGTGTATGTAATATATATCTTCGAATCGACCGAGCGGCTCGCGAATAGTGACATGGAACGTTCTCAATGCAGACTTGACCGAAGCCAAATGCCCGCGTGAAGGTCGAATCGTAGACGGGCTATAAGTTCTTTATTTTAATTAAACCCATAACTCGATCACGTATGTCACATTGATTGGTACTGGATATTGTCAGGTACGATATTTTTGGCATGTCCAATATAAGCCCACAAATATACAAAAAAAACGAACTACACTAAAGTTTAAACAAAAATGTTAACAGAAAAGCTGTGTTGAAGAGTTGTGTTACCTATAATTATTGCCTGTCGACAAATTTGAATTTCGAACCGAACGGATAACGTTGCTGGTCGATTTGTTCGTAAGGCCGACAACATCACGGCAATCGACGCACAGCAACACTCGCGGCAATTAGGACAATCGCCCCGCATAAAGCTGTATGCAGCGATGATAACAGAGCTGCAACGCTTTAAAGCGCTCAATGTAAAATGTAACGAGTGAAAGTCACGGCAACGGAGTCGCTCTCAATTATAAGTGTAGCGTTGTTTAACGATCGCCACTCGTTAATCGTTACGTCTTCGTCCTGACGTCAGAAGAACAATAAACGCGTATCGTCGTAACACGGCCGCTAATTAAAATGTCTCAAAAATGTGGTGCTTCAGGGAATGGAACTTTTTATCCCCTTCTCTACGGTTCCCATTGGCGGCAAATCCAATCCCTGGTTCCGTCGCTCCTGCAAATTGGCATCTCGCCATAAGCAGGAGAGTTATCGGGCCTGGACCGTTGCGGTGGCGTCTAGGGATGTAAATACCAGTCACTTTAAAAAGGAGTACAACTTTGCCTCTAGGTCCCTCAAAAGAGCAATCGCATCAGCAAGGTCAGAGCACATCGGCAAAATTGGCGAGAAATTAGTTAACCTTCCTTCGGGGACTCGTGCATTCTGGTCTCTCGCCAAGGCTGTTCAAGGAAACTTCTGTACGCCATCTTTTCCATCTTTGCACAGGCGAGATGATTCGTTGGCCCACACCGCTAATGAGAAAGCCGAACTTTTGGGCACCCTCTTCGCGTCTAACTCGACACTGGATGATAAGGGGAACACACCGCCGACCATCCCGCGGTGTGAGCACACAATGCCAGAAATAAGGTTTCTGCAGAGCACAGTACGTAAAGCACTCTTCTCCTTAGACATCCATAAGTCGAGCGGGCCAGACGGAATCCCTCCCATTGTGTTAAGGACGTGTGCTCCAGAGTTGGCACCGGTTTTAACGCGCCTTTTCCGGCACTCCTACTCTCTAGGCATTGTCCCAACTTCTTGGAAGACGGCTTTAGTGCACCCGATTCCAAAAAAAGGTGATCGTTCAGATCCGTCGAACTATAGGCCTATTGCCCTCACCTCTTTGTTCTCTAAAATCATGGAGTCCATCATAAACTGCCAGCTCCTTAGGTACCTTGAGGAGCACCAGCTCATTAGCGATCGTCAATATGGCTTTCGACGCGGGCGCTCAGCTGGTGACCTTTTAGTGTACCTAACGTATCGATGGGCGGAGGCAGTTGAGACAAAGGGTGAGGCCTTGGCGGTTAGTTTGGATGTAGCGAAAGCCTTCGATCGGGTTTGGCACAAAGCACTTCTTTCTAAGATTACATCTTACGGGCTTCCTGAGAAATTGTGCAACTGGATCACTAGTTTTCTCACTAGTCGGAGCATCAAGGTCGTTATTGACGGTGCTTGCTCCGACGCTAAATTCGTGAACTCTGGTGTCCCACAAGGCTGCGTCCTGTCCCCTACGTTGTTCCTCCTACATATCAATGATCTGTTGCATATTTGCAACATTCATTGCTATGCGGATGACACTACGGGTGACGCACTATATACCGGCCGGGCAAATATTTCTCAGGAGTACGTCGAAGAGTGCCGGAATAAACTTGTGTCTGAAGTCGAGGTTATGTTATGCAAAATCTCGGATTGGGGCAGACTTAATTTAGTCCAATTTAACCCCATGAAGACACAGGTTTGCGCGTTTACCGCGAAGAGAAAACCCTACGTCGTATCTCCCTTTTTTGAAGGCACTCCCCTTGTTGCCACCGATTCGATCGGAATTCTTGGGGTCGATATATCGAGCAGCGTTCAATTTCGCGGTCACTTGGAAGGAAAAGCCAAGCTGGCTTCTAAAAAACTCGGTGTCCTAAACCGAGCGAGACAGTATTTCCTGCCGACACATCGGTTGCAGCTTTATAAAGCACAGATTCGGCCTCACATGGAATACTGTTCTCACCTCTGGGCTGGGGCACCGAAATACCAGCTCCTTCTTTTTGACCGCATTCAACGAAGAGCTGCTCGAATCGTCGACGACCAAATCCTGTCCGATCGCCTCGATTCTTTGGCCTTGCGTAGGGATGTTGCATCCCTATGCATTTTCTATCGGATATATCATGGGGAGTGCTCTGAGGAATTGTTTGGGTTGATACCTGCTGGTGAATTTCACCATCGTACAACTCGTCAAACCGCCAAGTACCATCGACACCACCTTGATGGTTGGCGTTCCACCACAGTGCGTTTTTCACGAAACTTTCTACCCCGCACAACTACTTTGTGGAACGAGTTGTCGCCAGCGGTATTTCCAGACCGATACGACTTAGGGACCTTCAAGAAGAGAGCCTATTCCTTCCTTAAAGGCCGGCAACGCAATTGCGACTCAACCGATGTTGCAAATGTCCAAATGTCCATGGGCTGCGGTGATCGCTTATCACCAGGTGACCCACATGCTCGTTTGCCTCCTATTCCCATAAAAAAAAAAAAAAAAAAAAAAAAAAAAAAAATATATAAAATTAATTATTTATTGGTTGACTTAACCGCTCGCTGTTTCAGTGAGTGATCGCTTATGAGTGTGAAACCTTAATAACGGTTTCTTATATAATTTGATTGATTTAACCGTTAGTAAAGAAATAAAATATTACGTAGAAACGTCCTAAATGCGTGTCAATCAAATATACTCGTTCTGAAATCATCAAAGTGCACATTCCTGCACGCTCCAAACGCGAAACCGTAACGATTAAAATCAAGACGTGATAAACTAGTTATTTGATGAATTCCAAGATAAAGCCTTGTTACCTATAAAAGCTAAAACCACACTGAACAATTCCTTTTTTAAGTATTTTAAAAACATCTATTTCAGTTACGGTCAGAAACACACAATTCTCCTCACTCTGTGGTAGGCCCATCACATGTTGCAGTCTTCTCTGTTATAACTTCTGTGTTTCGTCTGGTAAGTGAGGTAACCAGGGCCCACTATATTGAAAATTGACAACTAATTTTTAATCCTCGAATGTTGTGTCCATGAGCGGCGGTTATCACTTGCCATCTCGCCAGCTCGCTTGCCATCTACATAAAAAAATCTAAATCTTTTGGAGGGCTACTAGTTCATCTAATGTCCCTAAGGGTTACAGCAATTATTACGTATAAGTACTCCTAATAAAAACACCTATTTCCAAGTAGCAGTCAACTCCTCAAATCAGTGTGCCCTTAATAGGTAGTGACATCTCATTAGGACAGAAAATATTTTAGTTGCCTATTGTTAATTGGCCTTAAACGAAGCAAAATTATACCGCAATACGTGTCGCAATACGTGTTAAAAAAGGACATTTTTGAAAACATTTCGATTAGTGAGATTATTTTACATTATTTTTATTCAAAATTTCTTAACAGCGATTTGCTGTAGGTATCCTTAATAGAAGATTAATTATTTACCCATTATCGTAGGAATGCTTGACTCCAGAAGTTTAATCTTTGCGGAGAAGTGAAAATATTGCAGTTACCTGTAACAAAAACAAAAATATTATTAATAATAAATTTAAGTATTGTTATATTCTGTATATTATTTTTGGAAGTAGCAGATTATTTCCATTTCAAGTGTCTATGACAACTTACTGGAAAACTCGGCAATACGTTATATCGAAGATAAAAGAAACAAATGAATTTTTATTTATTGTTAAAATATGTAGAAAAAGTACGAAAAGATTGTAGCCGCTGTGGGAATCGAACCCACGTTTTTCCATTCATCTTCCATTTCATCGCTTATTTTGTAATTTTTATTTACATTTACGCTAAAACTAATAAGAGAACGATTCTTTCCTATGTACTTTTATTTATATTGACTGACCTAGTACCCAAACAAAAAACCTGTGAATTTGCCTTCGGTACATACTTTATATTTGCACTCTTATAAACAATATAAGAATAACACGAGAAGTATATTATTCAGATAGGTATTATGCTTTATAATACGTATAACCACATAGAGACTGGTACGGCGGATGCGGCGGCACACGCGACGCTGACCCGCCGTCCAATCACGGCTAATAAACACAAATTAGCTTCTAATGGAACACATGGACAAACACACCATTTGTGCCATAGACAAGTGGGCCAATCTCTCGCCCGAGTAACCTCCACTGGGACACGAACTAATGAAACCAGCCGATTGTACAATAAGCGCTCAATCAGATTCATATACATATAATATCTAGGGCACCGTTGTAATAAAATTAATGTTACTACTTACATTAACTAAATATTTTTAATAATAACGTAATTAGATTCCTTAGTAGCAAAAATCACAATATCTCATTTATCACGTTTGCACTGATAATTTTAGAGCTCAGGTTCCCAATGAGCTATGGCAACCTGAGTTCGAACTCATCACGTGATCAAGGGTGAAGAGAAGGAAAGCATCGTGAGGAAAACTGCATATTTTCGAAATCAAAAAAATATTTCGAATATACATATATATATGTGAAGTCCGACAAACCGCAGTACTACTAGTACTAGTGTTAATAATTAAGTAGACATTCTTAATTACTAGATACCTATAGATTCCAATAGTAATTAGTAGATATCATAAAGTAGTTTCATCAACATTGTCCCGGCCCAGCATGGCAACTCAAAATTTTGTTCTCACATGCCTAACGCATCCAGAGCAGTTTCGCAACTAGCCGGAGGATGGAAGCGCGCGGACGAGTCGATAGCATTTCGATTCGGCACAACTTAGGCCCCGGCTTGCACAATAGAAGCTAATGGCGGCCAAGGTATCGAGGCGTCGCTTCTGACATCTCGTTTGTGCTTAGAGTGCTCTCGAGGGAATTCTCGACAGTTCACGGCCGATTGCCGTCGGAAGGTGGAGGCGCCGGGCGCGTCGTTCAGGCGGCGGCCGCTAGCGGATGAATTGGGTCGCTCTAGAATAATTCATCAAATAGCCGACAGCCCTTGTGCTGCGCCGGGCGTCCATTCAACGAATAGGACTGATTTTCGCATACCTGTTGCTCCTTTTAACAGCGACAGAAAGGGCCCCCATACAATCGGCCGCCATTACCTACCTAATCGCTCCGTTTCCGAGTAATAAACGCGTGATGTATGAATAAGGCGCAAATGCGATTCGAATGTGCGGTTTTCCCTGCCGTCTGACAGGTAGGCACCCTAAGCGTAACTAATTCATTATTAATAGCCGCCTCAAAATAAACTAGCACAATGCTTTAAACATTAATGCATATAAACATAAAACCGAACGCGTTCATGAAAAAATAGCTATAGAACAGCATTCATTGCTTTTTAATTTAGTTTGAGGCTAGCTTCAAGAATAAATTCAACCGATTCCTGTTTATTATTAACATTCAAAACATAAAACTAAATGATTACATATTATGCAGAGACAAGTCGGGAGGATGAAAATTGTGTAGTTGATTAATGTGACTACATTAATTTAATCTTAAACAAATTTTATTTGCCGTTGAACTAAGACAATCTACGGATAACTGTATATTCTTGCATATATACTAACGAAGTATTCTTACGCCACAAACAAAGCGGAACATACGAATAAATCACCCTGGCCGAGTGAAAACCAATTACGAGCGGCAATTAATCGAACGCTAATACGGTATCGATGACGTCGTAGTTTTATCGCCATCGGAAGCGGGGAACAAAAAGTTAACTTAGTTTGTCATATCGATTGCATCGGCTTGAGCGGAGCGGAGACTTTAATTACGCTCACGTACGATACTTTCATGCAGCGTGTTTGCACTTACCAAGATTAACGGCTTCTGTTTTAACGCTAAGGGTTAATATCTGACAACATAATAGTTTAATAGTGGGACTAACATAATATATTGTTATTACAGTAGCAAGTGAAATTAATAATTTATTATGAAGTCTAGTGAATGTATTTTATTAGCTTCATGGTATTTTTCAAGACCTTATAATTCTTATTACTCTATCTATAGCGGACGTTTATTCCAAGCAGTAGAACATACAAAACGTACTCTGTTTCTTTAACTTAATACTATAGAGATAATAGAAGAATTCGGGATATTAAGTCTGTTTCATGGATCTTTTTAAATTCTAAGGTATGCAGGAGCATAAAAAAGTAAAATAATCTATACCTAAGTTAATCTTGAACTTGCAACAGGGAACGGCCCTGATGGTATGGATATAAGCCCTGTTAAAATGTATACACATCAAATATGTTAACTGCATTTAAAGTTGGAAAGCAACACAATCAAACTTCAGAATAGCCTGCTTTGGCGAATAATTTATAAACTTCCTTGAAGATTAATATAAATGCGTTAAATTTTAAAAACCAATTTAAATAGCCGAATAGCACTGAGTGCATGAATTTCGCACAATCGATTAACGCCTGGTAAATTGCGTGTCACCGTCGTACGAGTAAAAATGTGTCAGTCTCAACGAATTTATTCGAGGCTTGAGCCGACTTGGATGAGATTGAGATGTGCGATTATTCGCTACGTGAATTCGATTTGCTCGAGCACGTCGTTATTGCTCATAGCTGGAATGCATTAAGAGGCGCATTCATCAGCAACATTGAAGGAGATTAAAATCAATCCGTAATTCCCCAAACTCATCCGATCGGTTGATACGTAATTAATAGTACATTATTTATTTCTCTTTTTATTTTTTGTCTTTATTTCGCTTTTTTGCCATTGAAAAAGCAATAATAACATAGTAGTATTACTTCAAGTAGGACTTCAAGAGGCAAATGGGTCTTTGAGCGGTGGTCACCTGGTAGAACAATGGCCTCATTAAAAATAGTTTATAGTGCAAAATTATAAGGTCGGCCCAAACGCGAGCCTTTATTAATAATCTATAACAATACTTAACGTCAATTTGATAGATAACTGTAGGTTGATATCTCGTACAATAATATGTTTATAACAAGTTATAAAATTAAAGCTAATTCACGCAATGATTAATTAGCCGTATAGGCTCGTTTTCAACACCGAGTGTCACCTTAACCGAATTGCTTATGAAATCGGGACAATCTCGACGCCGTGCGCGGCCTTGGCGGCTGGTTGGGCGCCGCCTAATCCCCCATGGATCGCACAAGCGCGATAATGCGCGGAGGCCGAACCGAAAGCCGAACCGAGCGCCGAACCGAGAGCCGAACCGTGAGCCGAACGGAGTGCCAAACTGAGAGACGGTCGTGAGCCGCGTGACTGCCGCGTCCTCGCGCCGGTCAGCTCGCTGATATTTTGACAAATATCGAACACGTTTCCCAACGAAAGGTATCGGCGCAGACAGATATTGTACCACCGCTCTGATCGATGCATTCACTTATTGCAATATTGTGGCATGCCACGATCACCACGCCGATCCAGGGGCGTAGGTACTTTTAGGTTGGTGCTAAATTTTATTGTAACGTTTGTATTGAGTGGCGCAATCTTTTGTGTAGAATTCAATTTCTGGTACAATTCAATATCTAACTACGATGACGAGAGTAGGTATATTAAAAATTTATGTTGTTGTACTATGTCCCGAAATTAAAACATTGAAAGAGTTCTTATTGTACAAGTAGTTTATCCAATAATGTTTGAAAATATAAATTTTTCGTCCATTGGAAAGTTCTTAACCATACCAAGTCTTCAAGTCTACATTGCACAGGCCTATTCAAATTAGTAATTGGGTGTGTTAGCAGTGGGTGGGCGCGGACTGCAGCACCGCTTACACTTTGTTTGTCCTACAATCCTTGAATTAATTAATTACCGCCGATAGTAAACTACAGCAAATCAGACTTAGTTGGGGCACGTGTACTAACGATCAAAGCCGGCATCGACGACAACAAATAGACCGTTAATAGCTACAAACCAAAATCGCGCAATGTAAATAGTTAGCCGCAAATAACGAAAACACATTAAATCCACAAGCGAACATAGTGTGAAAGGATTTAAAAGGCGTAAACGGATTTATATATATATTTTAAATCGAAACGAAAATTTACTGGACAATGTTGATGAGTAATCCACACATCCAATTACACAAACACACGACGCGTGTCAGAAGAAATAAAAACACGGAAGAGGAACTCTTTTTATACGAGAAAAAAAATAAAAAAAAAACTTAAGACTTTTGTGATCACGTTAAACATGGACATTTAAAAGCAATCAAGCCAAATTTAGGCGGTCGAGAATAAATTAAGCACGAATGCGGGACTTGTCAGCGCCGGGCTTTTGGTTTAACGTACAGGAACAAACACGGGATGACGTCATGACGGCGCCGTTTCAACGAGACCTTAAGATGTACGCGATACTACGACAATAAGCGGCACGGTGCTAACGTAGAATAAAGAAAACAAACGTGGCGAATGTCGCGCACGGGGACAAAGGCGGAGCGAGGCAAAGTCCTTGAGGCACGCCAGATGGCAGCGATAGCCAGCTAGTGGGGAACGAGCCGGGGACCCGCGCCGCAACACTTCCGCAATTACCGACCGGCGCCACTCGGGTACATCTGCGCCGGCTAAAGGTTAACCGGGCGACTGTTGGCGCATTTTTACCTCTCAAACGGTATACACAACGATGATAAGTTGGCGGGGCAACGGATTGCTTTGCCTCCTAGCGAACTCTGCTTTTGCTGCTGTTATGAAAGTGCAGTGTAATCGTTCTGTTAGTTTATCGCCTTACCGTGGTTTAAACTAAACAACGAAATTGATGCCATCGTCTGAATAATAGATTGTTTTTTCTTTGAAAGACGTCAAACAAATTTAATTATTTTTAATTATTGTTAATTTTTACGTTCCCATTGTATTCTATTACAATATCTACATAAACTTCACCTCCTTACATCCAACCTGTTTACATCGCCATCATGAAACTTACAGATCTGAGATCGAGACGATAGACGCGTCTAGTGAGGTTTCTGGTGTCTGTTACTTATGGAAGCCTTACTGGTTTGATGTAATTACATAGGATATTCTAAAAATGCAATGGAAATCTGCAACATCCATAGGATTGCAGATGCTTTGCCAACTTTTAATAAAGTGGTACCCGGTTACACACTTCCACTTCACGCTAGTTTTCTGTGAGATCGTGGTACTTCCCCGAATGGAGCTGCCCATGCAGACTGTTCCTTGGTCCTACCACTGTTCACCCGATGGCAACCCACAGTCTTCTAATTGTCGCAAGCGCGTTCCCAACTTTTGAGGCTTAGGACCTCACGCATTCAACAAAAACACCAATCTATACCGTTCGTCTATTAGGCCGGGGCGATCCCAATCATCGGCGGCTAGCCGACTCGCGACATCGCGCGCAAGCGGCCGCGCGGCGGGAACCGACCGGCGTTTACCGTAAGGGACCCGATTACGTCGCGAATAAATCGCGAACGAATACGACGCGCGGACTTCGCGACGAGGCCCGAATCAGCTCCAACGGGCCCGAATTCTGTCGGCAGTCGCGTCAATTAAGCGGCGCGCCGATTGACAGACGGGCGAGCGGCTGTAATAAATAACAAGGCTACCACCGCTATCCGTCCAGTGTAACTCAAATCGACCTTATCGGTGAATATAATGGGGAAGGAGTCGGTCGACATGGACCGTTTATTTTTCAAACGACGCGCAAATTGTATGTGCTATATATTCGGGACGACATGTATGTGTTTAACGGTGGTAGGGCTACGCAGCAGCCTCGGCTATTGCACGAATGGGCAGGCTTGCCCGGGTCAGTACCACGACCTAACAGAACACTAGCGTAAAGTGGAAGTATTAATACTTCCGCGTTTCGTCTGGTGAGTGAGGTGGCCAGAGCCCAATTTTCAAAAGGTTGTCAACGCATCTGCAACCCTCGAGTGTAGCGGATGTCCATGGGCGGCGGTATTCACTTAACATCAGGTGAACTGTCTGCTCGCTTGGCAACTTTTCACATAAAAAAATGTTGTATTGTAAGAAGTAGGTATATAAAAAAATGAAATAAACCAAAAACGTATACCGTTGGTCTTTGTACGATTAAACACGCGCAAAACAGAGAAATAATGCCTTCTTCCGATCTTCATTAGATCACAATTCACATAAACAAATAAGAATAACACACATTCACGTAAACAAATAAGTTTTAAACAGCGCGCCATAATCTCTCTGTAAATTTGTCATAATGTTTTGCTCGGGGATTTTGGTTTACCTATTTCGAAAGGTTAAAAAAATATTATAACAACAGTACCAACAACAAATGCACAACAATGTAACATTTAAAAACACGCCAACAAGTTTTCCATACATTAGCGCGAACTCCCATCGTTCTCCACGCTTTCGGCGCGTTTTCAACTGTAACGCGACCGGAGCTAACGGGCCGTCGCTTAATTAGAGGTCCGTACCCAAAGGGTAAAACGGGACCCTATTACTAAGACTGTCTGTATGTCTGTCTTTCTGTCACCAGGCTGTATCTCGTGAACCATGATAGTTAGAGAGTAGAAATTTTCACAGATTATGTATTTCTATTGCCGTTATCTCCCATACAACAGAAATGATTTTTCTGCTGTTTTTATAGATAATGGTACGGAACCTTTCGTGCGCAAGTTCGACTCGCACTTGGCCCGGTTTTTTCACATTTCCTCACATTTCAAGTGTACAAACAACCGCGTGGGAATCCCCGGCGGTACAATGAACAGGCACACGCCACGGGACTTTTCGCAGGCCATACGAAATCTTAAATCGCGCATGAAATCATCGCGATAACAAGTCACAAGCGCTGTTATGAGATCCGTTGATAACGTTGGCACTGTAACGCGTAACTGATAACGTACGCCCGTACTCTCTTTTACGACGAGAAAAATTTTTATGGTACTCGATTGGCCTTGGTTTTCGTAGTAAACATTCTGTTTTAAAAGAGGTTTAGACTAGATGACTTGATTTAAAGACACGATTTATTTTTCTAAACCAACAATTTCTCATTAGACAAGATTTGTCGTAGTGATAGTTTTTATACCGTTGCACTCATACAGGAGACAAATACACATATTTAGTTCGTGTTGTAAAGTTAAATTACTAAAGTTGATGGGATAATTGAGCACTGAAGACACACTAGACAGACAACTAGAAAAACAAAAACGCATCCTATTTACAACTACAACAAATGTGTGTGTACAATATAGAAAGGGTCCAGTTCAACAATGGTCCAATATAGAGTACGGCGGCCGATTCATTATCCGAGGCGGTAGCCCGAACGCCGTTAATTATTGTAACGATATTTTCATAACAAGCGGCTCTAGGAATGCGGCACAATGAGCCGTTCAGTGCGCGGATCACGCCCTTATCGGGCTCGGCTATTGCTCTAACGCGTTTTCGTTTTAAACATTTCTCACAAGGAGAAGGACCGTTAATTAAGTTTCTTTGTCCTCTTCACCGTGTGAAGTTTGATCTCTTGATATTAGTAAAATCATCGAACGCGGAAATAAGAACACAGCTGCATAATAAAAATATATAAGCGTGCTAATCTAATTCACCTTCGCAACAGTATCGGTAGGGTAGTTTTACTTGAGCAGGTGACAAACTAGTAGTACGAGGTCTCCCAGCTTATATGGTAAAATTATTACCGAATTTAGGGAATTCGCAACATAGAAATTTGCAAAATCCTCGCACGGAAGTCATAAAATGATCAAAAAGCAACTATAAACTCAAATTAACATAACAGACGTCCAGCAAAAACTTGGCACGTCCGCAATAAATTGCTACAAAACTGGGTTAGTCCGATTCGACGAAGAATTAAAATGCAGCGAATGGAAATTGGCGCAGAGGAGCATAAATAGGTCGCGTTACTCGCCCCGCATAACTATTAAAAACAAAGAGGGCGCTGTAAAAGCCTGATGAAGCCAGTAATGAGTAGACTCCGGAATAACAGTGGTGTAATTGCGAACCCTTTATGCAAAATGTTGCCAAGCTAAACGATAAGCCCAAGAAGACTGACGCGCGGTTTTAAGCGGGAAATGTGAGCTCAAAGTCAACAAAGTCTACACGTCTCAAAGTCAAACACAGCTTCGTATGCCGTGCCTTCGCGTTGCTCATTTGCCATAATATATTTTTAGCTCTCAACGTAATTTCCAACTTCATAACTTAATGCGTCCCGCGTCGTTATTGACGCATTGATGAATCCTTACTAATATTATAAACGCGAAAGTTTGTATGTTTGGATGGATGTTTGTTACACTTTCACCTAAATACTACTGAATGGATTTAATGAAACTTTACAATAATATAGCTTATACATCAGAATGAGACATAGGCTATAATTTATATACATATTTTATGTACATCTGTCTTTCTGTCTAAATGTTACGCCTTCAGCCTATTCTACGCAGACGTAGTCGCGGGCAGCAGCTAGTATTATTATAATTATTCATCCTCTCGATATCGTAGCCGTGGTACATTCGTAGTCGGCCGAGTAATTGCTTGCTGAAATTGTATGCAAATTGGTCCCGTCGCTCGGTGCGATTTTGGCTATTCCTTTGATGGATAAGTTATTAAGAATCAATTTGGCTCTTTTGAAAAATATTAAAGTGCATTAAAACTGTCGTCTTTTTTGCGCAGCCGCGGCATTAAAGGACGTTAAATTATTGAGTCGGGCCGAGACGTCCCATTGTTAAATGGATGCCGTTTCGAGATACTGATATGTCGCAGCAGCGGAGACTTCGTATTACACGACCTTTAGATTATTTTTCTCGAGGTGTTAAACACTGACTGCGGAATAATGAACAAAAGATTGCTATCGTATAAAAAATCAATTTAATTTGTATCCATACAAGAGGTTTTATTTCTTTGCGTTCATTATCTTTTCAATTTATTACTCGGCAGTCTTTTGACCAATTTTATTTGTTGTTAAGTACTCACAGGCACATCATTTATGGTCCAATAACTGAGACGTATCTGCGGTCGCGAGTCGTACATAATCGTCAATTCAATTTAATTACGTGCCCGGATAACGTCTGTGGGCTGTATACTTTTCTTCGGGGACTTGGCCACTCTGTGTCAACTAAATCCAATAGAATTATTCTAATACGCGGCGTTTACTGCAGTCCGAACGAGTATCGGAAGGCAACTTTATAACGGGACCCGACACGTTTATTCCCTCTAACAATGCCCGACCGAAACGAGCGAAAAGCGCTCGTCAATTGCAAATCGGCACCTGTCGATGACCTCGGGGCTAACGGGCGTCCCGCGAGCGAAACCGTCCAGTTACGCGAGAACCTCGTGAACGAGCCGAGTCCGACTGAGACGTGGCTGTAGTTGGTGTGGTGACGATCGAGCCGCGATGCTTTGAATAAAGGTCGGGGGGGTCGGCAGCGTCGCGGCTATCTCGCGCCGGGGGCCCGCATCCGAAACGCGCGAATGTATGCCGTCTAACTGTTCGCGCGAACGTCGCACGATGTTCGCGAAATTAAAAACGTCGAACGCGAGCCAGTCGGGCTTATCGCGCGTCTGTGTCGGCGCACGTGGGGCGATGCGTGCGCGCGTTCTCGGCTTTATGCGCGCATAATTAGCGCACCCTGTTTATGGAGCGAAAAGGAGAGAAAAATCCCGATGCGCATACGAAATACGGCACGGTCCAGAAGGGACGCTTTTAGCGTGAACACGACAGTCAGTCTAAAGAAAGTTACAGATGAACTTTCAGAATATTCGAGAGTATTCGAGATAATTCCATCTATACAATCGGGGGAAACTGGAATTTGAATCACGAATAGGTATGTTGAATGGATCGAAGTATAAGCAGTTCGAGTGGAGAGATATTTATGAGAATTTCAAATAGAGAAAACAGTCGATCCAGCAATCACGGCACGGCACAACTGCGCGGTGGAAGCGACAGGATCAATTAATTCTGAGTGGCGGACACCCACCTGCCAGAGCGCGGCCGAGATGAAAACTAGACGCCGGGCAATATTATGATAAACGACGGACTGCATTTCGCTGAATTTATAGATGACCGTCGGCGTCACGTACAGTGGTAATAGTAACAATGTTACTAAGTTTCGAGGCACACGTACAATTCTGAGAATTGTGGAATATCACTATAACGCTGCCGCTTCTCAGCGTGGTTCCAATAAATCTAATCAATTAACCTCTAAAGGGCACAATAGAACCGCATTATGGTGATATGCTGTTGATAGTGTTCCGTAAACTTGTGTACTCAACTATGGTACTTGTTGCACGGAGACATTTTATTTTAAATTTAATATATTGAATGGGCAACTAAAATTAAATACTCATCACAAAAGCAAATCATGAATTTAAATCAGAGAAAAATACGTCGTTAATGTCGAATCCGTAACTGGACTAGTGAATGTTTGAGTAGAATCATTTGCAGATAAATTACCGAGTCTTCTCAAACTCTTCGTCATAAAGCGCCTGAAGCGCTTCGTTTGCGTCGCAATTGAAAATTAACCGTCAACGGGACGCACGAGCATCGGGCAACGAGCGACGATTGCTGTTAAACAAAAACGCCGACTAAAACATCTAGACGCCCGAAGCGCTCACAAAACGATCCTCCCCTCGAAGGCCAGGAACAATCGTCCTCCGGCAAAAGGAGGCCCTCCTCAGAACGAAACTAACTTAGGCGACTTTAAGCTTGGAATATAGACTTAAATTAATTAACGGTGCCGCTGCCGTCATCCTTCTCGTAGGGGATATTGGATGGTTCATTCATATTGAATTGGCCGCGGAACGATGAAAATCCCGCCCCTTAGCATTTGTACGGGTCGCGCAATAAAGTTGTTGCTCCTACGCTGAATAAAACCGTCCATTGATCGTAATGTGGCTTGAAAAAGTAACGGCGGTAGTCATTAGTTCAGCAAAAGATTTTAATTTAAACTTAATACAAGATGGCGCCAAATAAATTAAAGTTCGTTTAACAAAAACGAAGGTCGATCATAAAAACAACTATAAGAAAACTACAAAAACCGTTGGATATTTCAAAATAGCAAAGACGAAAGATTTTTATAGTAGCAAAACACAAATTCAAAAAATTCCAAGGTCAAAAGCTCTTCCTGTTATTAACATAAATACGTCATTAACAGAAAACTAATTATTACAAATTGTATAATCGTTGCGACTACGAAATAATGGACTAGGAATTTAAATAGAAGTTGATTGGAGACGTAATAAAAAAACTTCTGTGACGGAATTCAGTCGGAAGCCAAAATACGTTACTTAATAACTAAGGCATCGGGTCAACCGAAAATATTTATGTTTCCCTTCAAAAGAAAAAACGTGGACTCTCGCAACCAAATATTTCATCATTAAGAATTTATCGAGGCGCTATGGAATCACAGGTTGAGTCGAGGCTAGGCTCATTCGATTTGGACCTTTACGGCCTAAACAATAAGCTACATATCATTCTAAAACCTTAAATATATTTAGCGATCAGCTCAAACCAGCTCCTGGTTTGTGTTATGGAATATATCAATTAGAAAACGTATCAGAATAACGACACGTCAATTTCACAAACCAAAAGTTCCCTCTCATTATTAACATTAACGACGTAGTCGGTTAACTTGCAAAAAAATGTATAAATGAACTTTTTAAGACCATTAATTCGTTTAAAAGCATACGATTGTATCAAGAATAATCACTACATAGTATAAAACAAAGTCGTCCCTGTTTGTCTGTCCCTATGTATGCTTAGATCTTTAAAACTACGCAACCGGATCTTGATTACGGTTTTTTTTTACTAAAACAGAGTGATTTAAGAGGAAGGTTTATATGTATAATGCATCCGTGCGAAACCAGGGCGGGTCGCTAGTAACTTATATTTTACCTACACGAACAAGCACTACAAGGTAAAATATCAATAATCAACGGCTACCTTACTTATCTCACTAAAAATTGATAAACATGTGTTATTATTAAGTTCAATGACACTCTCACAAGAGAACAACGGGGCTTTTTTTTAATGCCATATTATCGCACGCTCACACAGATCACGCTCACACATCACAGCTCAACTAATAAAATGGTACAGTCACTTAATAACGCATATGTGCTAAGTGCGGTTCGCGCGAAATTATCGCGTCTTCTGTCTAAAACGGCCCTACGCTGGAGGTCCTTAACGCTCGAATTAGTCAAGTGGTATTGAGGAGGATAAAAACTTAGCTCAAGCACCACCCACATTGTGTGGGGTCGATAGATTGCTCCTTTTTAATATGCGGAAGTGTGGAACAGTATGTTTGTTGTGATTACACTGTGTGATGTTTTAAGCGATCGTATTCCTAAGAGTTAAATAAGTAGGATTTAACTAATTATACTACGTATTGTACATAAATCTATCTTTCGAGTAGTGTTCACATAGCAATTTTTTGGGTTGTGTTGTTACAAAAAAGTTCCAAGGTTCTAACGTTGTAAATTTTTTGCCCTACACATTTTATTTGTTTACAATTACATTGTGAAACTGTAAAAATAAATATCATTTCAAAGTTACTAGTATTATAATACAAAAATAAAAACAAGAGTAATGCCATCTTAAACACCGATCAGAAAAAAATATTTCATTCCTCAAAAACAAACAAACTAATTAATCAAAATCATTCAGCGGGTAAAAGTAATTACTCTCCGATCGGGATTGTAATAAACGTGAACGATTTCACATGCCGTATTCGAAATCTGGCAGAGTTAACGAAACCGATTTTTGTTTAGCGGCTCACAGTTTCAAAACACATATCGAAAGTAGCGTTTCCTTTCACTGGGCTTTGAAACGACCGCGGAAAATGTCGGCACTGCATCGATGTGTATAAAATAAATGAAACTTTTAGTTCAATTTCGCAAATCGCTCGATTAATGTAGAAAGACATCGGCACGAATAAATTAATTTGAAAGTAAATTAAGTAAAACGATTTCATAGGGATAGGTTGGAAAATGAAAGTTAAACTTCACGTCTCAAGACAACTAAAGCAACTACGCGGTACGCACATTGGTTAATATACAAATTATAGGAGCCCTTCCAAAATAAGAAGTGGCTGTTGGCGGCGACGCAGCGCTTCTCTCCCAATAAATCATGTGAAAAATGCCCCACTTTCGCGACCGAGCGGATGAGTGGGTGAAAGCGATGGCAACACATCATATGCGTACCTCTTGGAACAAACAAATCTTTCGTGTACTACGCTACGAAACTTTATTACTCGCTCTCTCAGCTAAAACATATCGACGGCGGTCAGTTTTAAAAAGATAAACAATATAAAAATGTGGGCGCGATAAATGAGCAAAACTCAGACAAAAATAAAACTATAAATAGCACATTACTTTGGGGTCAAACTGCTTACACGTGGGCCATTTCGCTGCAGCTTACACAACATATGACGCTTATTGGTGTTGCCAGCGGACTTTTTTTATTTGGCAACGCTTAATACGTCACGCGTAAGGAGTGGATAACACGTGTCGCATTATGCGAATCGGCGATGGAGTGTGACGAATACGGTCCTCGCACCGATACGGGCAAAATCTTACATCTCCATCCGAAACAATGCCATATAAAAGCCTCTGCGCGGCTTGATTCATGCAGACATCGGTCTCGAGTTCCGCATAAACACAGAGTTGGTTCAAATTCGTTGCGTAAAAACATCGCAACATAGGCGATTGCCTAAACGCGTAGGATTCAAGTGAAACGCAGAGATAAGCTCTCCGACCGACACGATCCCACTTATCGCTGGAACAAAATAATGAGCAAGTCCTTTGTCTGTAATAGAACAGTGCATATCTTCTTATCTTGCCACAGTACATCAAAAATAAGCCAAGCTATAAAAATACACACGCAACAAAAACTCAAATTTTGTCGTGACTCAGTTCGAACGTAATTTATCGTATCGTTCACCGAATTAAGATGAGAGTCGTGTACCTCTCGGACTATTCCCTTTTGACAAATGTCGGTGGTGGCCGCGCGGCGTTCTATTGAATATTACATGAGCGGAACGCGCAATGTGGCAGTAAGTCATTGTCAAATCGGCATTCCCATTCAGCGCGGATCGGCGTTTATGCGGCATGCCTCTGCGAGCGGACCACTTGGCACCACTCCCGCGCAATTATGCCAAACCAACGGTGCAGCGTTGGGATTTCGTAATATTCGCACTGTTATGAGAGATATGTATTGATTGAGAGCGAACTGCATTCGCGGACGCGTTCACATCCGTCTGATTAAACGTTTAAAGAGCGCACGTTTGTTTGTCGTGACGAACTGTGGCGTCGCCACGCGGAGTCCAAATTCAATTATGAAATGCGATACAGTGATATTAATCTGCATCTGACGTCGAATGTCAATCCGCAGGACGCGTTGAAACCTCTCGGAGGCGGATCTCGCCGAGACGCCATGGAAAGTTACAAAACGAGCGACACGCCAACATGTTTCGAATTCGTTCGGTCGCGGCACGGGACTTGGTTAATTTAATAACGCGCAAACGTTAAATTTAACAAGCCTGACCCAGGAACATGAGGTTGTTCCATTTACTTTTTTGAACCAATTATTTGGTTTCATTTAACTGGATGTCTGTAGTCTTGTTGCTTCGAACATGTGCACGATTGTAAAGCGAGGTTTACTGATAAAAACGTATTAATTGTAATGTAGAAATAAAATAATCTATTCTGAGCAAACTATTAAATCCATATTACCTGTATATAGTTAGTAGGTATTTTTCATGTAATTCAATTTTATACTATAGGTATCTGAAATGAAAAATACCATATACGATAAGTAACATAATCTTATTTTGTTTCGGGCTTTCGAGCAAACTATAGTGTTGCTTCAAAGCCGGGTCACGACCGAAGTGAGGAATTTGTAACTAAGTGCAACATAGAAGTGAGAACTGTCTTTTTTTCTGGCGACATTGCGAAGTCGCGCAAGGATTGCGGTCTGCAGAAAGCTTGGGTGATTTATCGCGCGGCGGCTGCGTGGGCGCGGCCCACGTGCGTTCGCGTGTTTCATTTGTTTACTTGTCACCATTTGCATATTAATTAAATTAAGCCCCTGGCGCGATACGTTCCTGATCGATGATTGGGTAACAAATGGTCTGTCAATCCTTCGAACGTTACCTTTTGTAACTAAAGGGTTAACTGTAAACTTAGACAAATTATTTTAGAAATAAGCGTCGATGGCGGCAATTCTAACAAACAAGCGGCGGTCCAGAACGTTTTAAAAGTTTTGTTACAGGGCCAGCAAAACTCTTAAAACAACAAACTATACTACATCAAGGGCTCGGGATATTCTAAAGGGCTGCATAAAACATTCCCTTTCGATCAGTTTCCTCATATGCTGAATAAAAACTTTCTTTTCAGCTAGCCAGCAATGAGCAAAGAATTTCTCGGGCCCCGTGCCTGACATATCCTCATGTAATACCTCCTGCTGCTAAGTTAAAACATTAATTTGAAGATCGCATAAAAGATGTCGTTAAACCCTAGAATTCATTTCAACCCAAGAACTAAAGCTTGGCTACATAAAAAATCAACCCACCTCCCCTAGGAACGTCAGCAAAATCAATCCCGTACAGACCGATCACAATTCGTAACTATATCTCACAGACGGAGACGCAGAAACACGCTAATAACCGTTAATAAGCCCACGTGGACGTGTACGACGACAAAGGGATCGGCCACATCGCCAATTAGTCCTCATTGCGGGGCACAGCGTCAACGACACGGAACTGGACAGTGCGACTACTAAATAAGCACCAATTACGGGGCCGCCCGATAAACAAACGACACAGCGCTGTAACTGATAGGGTCGATCCAATAACGCGGTCGATTGTGCGTGCGCTCGAGTTGAATAACAACATGCCGCGCACGGAACGAAGAGGTAACGCGACCTAAGCCCCGCGTGGAATTTGCAAATTTCACAATGAACTAGTGCGTTCTGAACTTCATACTTCCACTTGTACAGGAATATGAGAAGTTATATTGTGAATGTACATATATCACGATTCCAAAATATTATTCACAATACACGCAAGCGATACCTATGAAACTTTAGCCTCTCACTTGGGTGATCGAAACCCCCAATCTAGGTTCCATCAATTTCGACCAAACCTCTATTGATGGAACAGCAACGCGTCCTTGTCGAGCAGACAAAGCAAGTCGCACTTGGTCACGAGAACCACTAATTAAACTCAAAGTGCGGAATGAGAATCGCAAAATGTCCGTGAGTTCACGGTGTTTCTCGCGGTGGTCGTTTTGCAACGACCTTGCGAACAGTGAGACGGCGAGCATCGGGCGTGCCTCACAAACGCATTCCTGATCCGACACGCCGAGCACACGTACGTCCACATCAGCTATACGTGACAGGGGTGCACCCCCACTAGGACGCTTTGTTCTGCTCAGAAACAGACTTAATGTACACAGACTTTCGCATCTCAAAAACTGTTGTAAACTGACGGGTGATGGTTTGTTTCGAGTACTAACACTATTTAAAATACATACATCGTTTGTTCTATACGCCTATATGGACTTTTTACTGCTCCAGAGCTGTCCGATTACGAGGACTTCACTCCAAACCTTCACCTTAAGTTGTACTGCAAAGTTCGCGTGAATTGAAAAATTAAACGCTGTCGAATCCGTGATAATTATTTTACACAATCTCAATTATGGAGCGAAAACCTCGAGAGGCGATGCAGTTTACAAAGCGAGATAGAACCAATTAGCGGAGGAAAAACGAGCGAAAGGAGAAAACCGAACAGACTCCGGCCATGCGCGGAATACGTACGCGGTCCGTTGTTACGTTTACGGTAGGGATTCCCGCTTGGAGTTCACGAAACGTGCCCATTCTCAGGCGGTTCGCTCGTAATGGCCGTGACCTCTTCTCCGGGAGATATCGGAGTGACCGCTCCGCCCCCGCCCCCCTCCTCGCCCCTCCATCGCTTTCTTCTGACCCGCTTTTCATAAACAATACTTCGGCAGCCGCACCGCCCAAGAGAGCGTCCGTCCGTGGCGTAGGCAACGTTTGACTTAATAGAACGAGCGAGCTTCGAATGAAACCGTTCGTGAACTATTGATTTGCATCTCCGATCGTGTTTTCGATTTTATTCACATTCGGAGCTATCAACGGTTATCGCGGTCGTAAACCGTCGCTAGTTTTTCACTTTTCGTAACTGTGTCCGGTTTCCCAATAGTTTTTGTAAGTTGCAACAATAAAAGAACGCCTCAGCAAAACAATATCAAATGCGTCTCATGGAAACATTATGTTTTAAGGGGTGGCACTTTAAGGCACTGTGAGGAATGCGGCAGACGCTACAGCTCCACCCTCTTATAACATCTGATAACACAAACGATTGCACAATCCGAACAAGAACATGCGACCCCAATATAACTAGACCCACACCCGTTATAGCAACAAACAGTTGATGCATTGTGGTGTACCGTATGGCGTATTAAAACAAACCATTGAAACGTTCCGGATCATCGGACGCGGCGGCGTCGGTGGCACTCTCCGACACAACATCGTAACAGCTCGGATATTAATCGGTGCAAGGAGTATTTAATCGAATGTGGACGCCCGTTATCTCGAACACAAAACAATGGAGGCCGTAAATCAGGGCTTCCTCCCGGCCGACGGTCGCATCCTACGGGCCGGGAGCTAAGCAGCGGCGATCCGGCGCGTCGGAATTGATGGCTTCCGGTGCATATTAGAGCGGCGGCTCTATCCGCGCATCTGTCTCCCCGCCGCGACACACTCGGTTCGCGGCGCGTGCGCCCGTAGAGAGTGACGCCTCATCGGAGGGCGCGCACGAATTCCCGCGAAAAGGCCGGCTGCAACGGGATCCGCTGAAGCGAGAGCGAGACGTGCGACTGTTGTGAAATGTCGCATTTTTGGTGCATGCACGTTCATGGATTGGTTGCTTGTTCGATCCCGATCGTTTGTAGCGCTCCCGAGGGACTAGAGCCGCCGCGCGGTAGATCCGACTGATCGGGGAGTGCGTTCGTCATTACGCAATGATCGAAGTGCCTGCTCGGCTCATCATCATTACTGAGTGAACCGCTATTGATCATTCAACTGTAATTTCCGGCCGCCTCTTTTTATGTAATTGCTTACTGTCGATTCGGTTAGACGTTAAATGCCTAGCTCGACCAACTTTTTATAGACATTATTAAATCAAAGCCCTTATGAATTCTAATTAAAATATGCAGATTCAAATGAAGCAATCTTGAAATAGCTATTCGGCGCAGGTTAGTGAAGGTGTGAATTGGGTAGGAAGTCAGAATTCCAGTTGTTTAAAACTCGTAATAATATCAGTAATTTAACAGTCACATTACCACAGCAATCTCCAAATGAAAGAGAAAGAGAAAATGTTCATGCATGAAATGTTTTTGTTCAGAGATGCGTAAAATTGTGCATAATGCTTGAACATAATGCGCACTAAGAACACTACGGAAACAAACCTCGACGATATGGTAGCTTTTGAACGACGGCAGTATCATTTTCATTCCCATGAATGAGCTAGCGATTCACCTGATTTTAAGTGATAACCGCCGCCCATTACATTTGCAACGTCCGTAGGGCTGCAGATACGTTGACACCATTTAATAAAGTGGGCCCAGCTAACTCACTCACTAGACAACGCAGAAATATGGACACCGGTCTTCTGTGAGGTCGTGGTGGTCTTACCCGGCCGGGCCTGCTCATTCGTGCAACAGAGAAGACTGTTGCGTTAGCCTACCACAGTCGGGCCAGACAAAAATAAGAAAATCCACTTTCCTGACAGCGGGCTGAGTAAGTCTAAGTGAGTTAATATAGCGCGTGGGCCGCTCAGAACGACACACGCGATCGTGTTACGTTCATTAATAAGGGACCAACTTCGCTTTCGTACCGAAGGGGTGATTTGTGACAAAACCACGTCGCGACAACCGATGGTAATGCGACACTGACGTGCTCTATATATACGACATGTTTATATTGAATTCCCATAACTTTAAAGGTATGTTCTAAAACCACAAAGATGAAAAAATTTTATGGAACATACAGCTTAACTTTTCGAGTATACCTACCTCAAATTTTCGTTTAATTATTATACAAAAAGTCACCAGTATGATGACCCGGCAAACGTTGTTTTGCCAAAATTTTTGCGAAAAATAAAAAAATTGTTTGAGATGGACCACCCTTATCACTTAGAGGTATGAAAAATAGATTACGACCGATTGTCAGACCTGCTAAATATAACATCATAAAAATCGATCATGCCGTTTCGGAGGAGTATGACAACTACCATTGTGACACGAGATATATTTTATAATTATGTATTAGATGTCTTATTGCCTCTTCTATATCTATCGATCGTGCTGTAACTTCAAGGAATATATGAAACATCAAATGAGTCACACAATAGACAGCGAAAGACAGGAGACCTTACAAACTACCGTGTCGCTCATTCCGATAGACGCCGCAAGATAGAGTTATGCGTGAAATTATTCATCGTGTCGAATTAGGGAAATGAATGGGGCCTTCCCTTGCTACTTATACCGCCCCGGCTTCGCACGGGTGAAATATATTATACATATAAACCTTCCTCTTGATTCACTCTATCTAATAAAAATAACCGCATCGAGATCCGTTGCGTTGTTTTAAAGATCTAATTATACATAGTGACAGATAGACAGCGGGACGACTTAGTTTTACACTATGTTCACTACATATACTCATATCGTGCGACCGCAGTGACCATTTACAAACGGAACGCGTCCTAATACCTAACTATGTTCTATCTTTATAGGTGTCGAGTTTTTACAACGGGCGATACGTTGACGACGCGCCGCGGTGCCGTTTTCAGCGCGTCACGTCTCAAGGACGTTGAACCCCGCGCCTTCAGCGGCCGCGGCCCGCCCGAGGAATGTCAGCGCGGTTCATTACCGCCGACGAGAAGACGACCCGCCGGGACACAGTATAGCTAATGGGACATATTTTAATTGTATTCAATGTTGTTATTCGCAATCATCTTGGTTACAAGGTCATAGGTTCAAGAAAAAAAAAATTTGATTTAGTTGATGAAATATCAAATAGTATTAAGTAAATAGCTGTATCATCATGTGCTCCTTCTATATATCTCATAACTAGGTACTCTTTCAATAATTTATAACTATTATGTATAAAAGTAATATGTATGTGTAATTTATAAATGTAGTTAATTCACTGTGAGAATAAAAAAAGATAACTTGAAAAATTGCTATGGTTAGTAATGTCTTGCGCGAGATGCGAAATGTTTTCGCAATTTCACTAAACTTGGGAACGACTTTAGACCAAGTATAGTTTACAGTTATTCATTTCCTGCATACGGAGTTCTTTACGAACTGCTTCAAGTGTTAGTGGTTCAGAAAACGGATAAAACGCAATACGATATTTTCTAAACTTCGAAAGCGATTCTAAATCTCGGCAAAGGTTACTCCGATGAATCAGCCACCGACCGCACTATCGGACAGATCGATTGCGTCAATCCGAGGATGGTGCGTGTTTTTATGTTTCGAACAAAGAGCTCCTGTCGGGACGTCGCGAAACATTGACAATCAAGCAGGCAGAGCCTCAGTCAGACAATAGAGCGCGCTTTGTGCGCAAAAAAAAAAAAACGAACACGTCGATACAGTTTTTATTCGATCGCAGACGAGCTAGGAGGCACCATACGCCCCCACAACATCCTATTGAATGTTCACAAATCTCATTCAAATGTTAATCAGAATCCGTTCAAATAGTTCAGATGTTAAAACAGTTTAACAAAAATATAAGAAATGTCCTCCGGTACCACAAGGCAACAAAATACGACTGAAAAACTTCATAGAATCTGTTAAATATATAATAAAACTCAAATTGAGAGTATCCTTTATTACAAGCGTGCTAAAAGCGTTAAAAGTCCTGCTAACAATCGACTTGAATTTACAAATGTCATTTACAAAAGGTCAATTGGATTACACACTAATAGCGAACAAAGAAAAGGTCAAGGCCACAATAGATATAACAAAAATGTGTTACGTAATAACTTAACAGCCCCCGTAAAACAAGATCAGCAATCTGGAAAATCCTAACGACTACATGATAATATAAAGTTTAAAATACATCATTAAACAATGTTTGCTTAAGCGTATCCAATATGGGGATTATGAGAGGATTTTTAACATTATACTGAATGAAGTCAAGAGCGAGGCACTTAACGAGGTCGAGTGTCATAAAACAAGGTGACATTGAGGGGACGTGATTTGCCGACTACAGGAACTCAAAACCGTTTTTCTAAGTTAGTAACAGTCACGTTTATATTAATAAAGTTCATACTTATATTAATAAACGTGACGGTTTAGACACTGACGTCCGGTTTCTGAAACACCGATCATCGTTGAAATTAACTAATCAGCTGTCAAATGGCTTCTCAAATGTCATTTGAGTTGCCAAAGGGATGGTTAAATAAGTTTCAGTTGTTCGGATTTCTTATGTTCAAATATCACTGTCACATTTCTTTCCAATACGGCGAAAGAGGACACCAACTTTGGTAACAAATGAGCGCGGCCAAATGTGGAGAGCACGTTAGGGTAAGTTGTAAAAGCTCGTAATGGTCGTTCTACATTCAATGTTGCTAATCATACAATAGCCAATTCATACAACCAATATGTAAATAGACTGTTTCGCATCTCGGGTGCTGACTTAATGGGCTACAGGGCCCGAAACGGCACCCTACGAGCTGGATGAATATTATAGTAAGATGTTTATAACGGCCTGACCGTTATAAACATCTTAGTAATAAAGGTCTTGGGAACTGTCATTTATTCAGCGAGATAAAATTTATTGAGTATGCTAATATAATTTCCGCTGTCTCATCAGAAAAATGAGTCACATAAATGAATGCAAAGTATACAACTTCACCAAAAAGGAGGACACTGAAATTCACCGTGTCGTTATAGATATTGTAGTAACCGATTGCCTCAACTACTTTTGAAAAATGTCCTACGCAAGGAATCGTGACACACGAACGTTTTAACTTCTAGAGCGGGCGCATACTAAATATGTATTCATGATACCAACCATGTTATGTAAATGGCAGTGACTAACGCCGCTTTACACTATTACAAAACGCGATGGCTTTTATAGGAATAATTCCTAAGTAGTATATATCCGATACAATGACGGAAACGATCGAAATGAAAGATTTGACCTAGAGAATTTTTTGGATTTAACAATATTTGTTTAATATTTCCACAAATTATGTCTCACAAAAAAAAACCTTGGGACTGTAAATATTTTTTAAGCTTTTGTTATTTCCTCATCACGTGCGAAACAGGCATGAGAACTCAAAGTTTAGCATAAAATAGGCAAACAATAAGATAGGCAAACAGCATATCCAGCCAGCTCGCATAGATCATAGCAAATTTAATAGGCACGGGTTCGAACATTCCCACGGTGAAAGGCGCATTAAGCGAACTCTATTATTACGGGGCACTGTGAGCTCGGTGCCGACCGGGCCAAGGGGCGGTGGACGACGCACGGTTTATGCAAATGCGTCGCGACCACCCCCAGGCTTTTCCGAACGCTCGCAGACCGCTAACGACTCATCCTCCGGGGCCCTCCTTCGTGTATGATTCGCGAATAGGCTTGAAGTATGCAACCGTATAACATTGAACGATACCACACTAAAACTATTGACTGCGGTAGAGAAAACGGAAAGATAAAGGGATTCGAATGTCAATAGCTCGGTTTCTAATCTCTTTCTTTCGTCAGATTTTTCTGCCCCTTCGAGAGAAATGAGCTCTAAAAAAAGTAGAGCTATCAGTTATATCTTGTATATGACAACTAACTACAAGACTTTCTCTTATTATAATCAGACCATATTTTATGTTCAATAACAAAATTCACCTTCAACGAAATGTCGAATAAGTCTATGCGGATTTGACAAATGCTATCAGCAAGCACAAGCGGCTCGTTAAGTTATGGCCGAGGATCTATTGCGATTGAGGTCACCACAGCCAGCATCGGCTTCTTGCTTCTTCTGAAAGCTCATCGCGGCCGTAAATTAGCCGAATGCCGCGTACTAATAAGCCCAATTCAGGAGAGGGTGCGGAGATCCGCCGGCGCGACATCCGCGTACAGCGTTTGATCCGCGCCCTCGCCCGCGACATTCCGCTCGCCCCGTCGGCGGATTGAGCCGTCGGGCGCGCGGCGAGATTAACGGCGGCGATAGCGAACGCCCCACCGCCGTGATAAACTGCCTCTCTAATTATATTTACGCAGCGCCGCTCGACGCGCGATAAATCCACGGGGGGAATGTTACAATAACGCGGCCGTTTACGGCCGATACCGTCTGCCGCTCGTAATGCATGCGCATCGTGTCTGGCGATCGTATTAGCACGGAATTAGACGCCCGGTGATAAATGAAACGCGGGGAATGAGTAATAAGAAAAATTGATGAACTCATAGACGCCATGGACGTGCATATCGGTTCGCTTTGAAATATAAAGAACCTCTCATGATGGTGCCAATAAACTTTATCGTTTTTATCTCCTGATGTATATGACAGCTACACAGATATGTAGACACAAGTAAAAAAGAAAACGGAAAGCTAGTTGATTTTTACGTAAACATTTTACGCTTCAATCGACCTTGTCAGCTTGTCTCATATAAAACATATTTGGACAAACATTTTTCGAAATTACCTTATTAAAAACCTTATTATCAAATGCAAAACATGCATCCATGCATGTGAAAATTAATGTCTTTACCTGTGCCGCATAGACATTGAAATTAATAGACGTCTGCAAAAGTTTCAGAGTTGTTAAAAGTACCTACAAAACAATTTAAACAGGCGACGCAACTTAAAAATGTGCGATGCTATCTATGGTAAACGCAATTCGTAGCGGAATACCTTCGGTGCGGATTTAGCTGATCGCCGTTCGTAGAGCCTGCCAACTGCAAGTAAAACATTCACCGGAAGCGGTGCGTTTGACGGGCGACGATGGCCGATCGCGCGAGCCACTGAACCCAGCTCAAGGTCGGCGCGTTCGCATAATCTCGACGTCGGGCCGCGTCCATCGAGCGAACAAACACAGCGATACGTGTCAATATTGGCGCGGATTTGCTAGGAAGCCCCACGGAACCCCGCGACAACCTTGACGTATCGAATTTGCAACGTAGATGGCGCATCATAAGAGGCGCCGTCCCCAATTACGACAATAGCGACGAGCTTTGAATATCGTAGATTTAAAAGGAAACTAATGTGCATTACATTGGATATAAATGCGGAACAGTGACTTGCAAGTGAAAAACCCAAAGAATGCATAATTCATACTCGCGCGATTATATCATGAGTATACGTCCAGGGCTATTAACTGTTGTAAGATTCGAAATCTATACAAGCGTCTCACGAACGGCCATGACGTGACGCTCGCTCCAACCTTTTCGCGTCATTTCGCCGCGTAAAGCGAGGCTCCGGGTTGCATCATTAACGGGCTCTCGTAACCCCGCTGAATCATGCGTCGCATTCAGGCTAACGCTTAATCAAACCCCGGCCCGTGCACGCCCATTGCCACTGATATGCTGACATACTGAGGTACGACGTTTATCGGGCCCCTGGCGGCGCCGTAACCATTTGCGACGACGATTAAAATTAACCCACTTGTTGCGAAAAAATTAAAAATAAATCGACAACACAATGAAGGGTATGAGAGACGCAGAATAAGTTCAAACACGCTACTCTAATTTTCGGATCTGGTCACATCTCTTGAGTGTACTGTGTTAGGACTTTGCAAATTATTCAGTGAATTTGCATACATTAAGCATATAACATTGCTCAAATATTTCAAGTAAATTAAACGATTAGAACAAAGGCAGCGTTTAAAGCTTTTGTGCTTTACTAGAATCTTTAAACGGTTGAGAACCGCACACAATCTCTTAACAAAGCTTTATAATGTCCAATATGATGATGTAGATATGAAGGCGAAATATTCTTGATTAAATAGTCGTAATTAGTCACTCAAACAGCTAATAAGATAGAATCTTATTGCGTAGTTTTTTTTGTTGCGTAGTTGCTTCAGTTACTTCGAAAAATATTGTCTACGCATAGCCACCGATTTTTAGTATCGACGAGGTAATTTAACGGCATGCGATTATTGCGTAAAAGCAATTATGAGCATTAAGCGACGACTGGAAGAGGCCATAAAATATGAACTGACGGGGATGATGTCCGAGCTTAAGTACAACGAAGTACAGTCAACGACCCAGTATTGATACGCGTTGGCCGAGAACGAACGTCGACATAACCATGTTTATCGCGAACGTATCTCGCTCGAATCTCGGAACGGGTGCGCCCAGCCCGTGTACCTACTCGGCCCGTATCTAGACGCCGAAGGTCGGCTAGACTTTCGCCGCTACCAGATTGTGCGCGTGGCCCAACCCGTCACGGGGGACTGGTCGCCTACGCGACCTCGCGAGCATTACCATAGAGACAATCGGATACGAAGACGGGAGACCGCGTTGACATTGGCCCACCGTTATGCGAGCTTTCAAAGCGACAAAGGGACGGGTAGCATACCAGCGCCCGCGACTATTCTGGCGTCGCCCACGTGCGCCGATGCGTTTGCACATACCGGCCGCAAATCTGGCAGCAGGTGACATGACAGCTCGCTACCGCGACCCATTCCCGAGTAACTGTATATTTTAACACACTTCTTTACGTAGACCGATGGCAATGGAACAATCAAAACCATCCACTGGATGTCAATCCGATCATTCGAGATGAAAACGGAACGAACGTGACAATGAACGGAAGCCGGGGAACTTGAAAAAAAGCAACCTATTTGTATATACGGAGAGGCGGACGGGCCGGCCTCGCAAGCTCCTCGCTGAGTACAGATCGGGTTACGTTCCGCAAAGTCGAGATAGCTGCACGTTGCGCCGCGGCTCATTCCATTGCATACTTGCACACTGACTTTGAAACTCGCATCTAACCTTATTGTGTCCACTTTTAGCCCTCGACGTATTTAAATAGACACGGCGAGGTTGCGCCGCTACCTAAATCGATCGACGGACGGACGGTTCCTCGTGCCGGCGGCGTTAGTCACGGTGGTACGCGACACTGAGGTGGCGGGAGGCCGGCGGCACTAAAAATGGCGCTCTAATAATCGACACACGCCATCTGAAATAGACGGGTGACAAACGAGACTGAAAGTGACGTGATGCAACAGGCCCGAATTTAGCCGCTTAGCCGGAGGTGGTACGCGGCGGTGCATCGGCCGCGCGGGAACGTGGCGGCGGCGCCGCCGGCTGCCAAGCGGCTGGCATTTCGCACTAATGACACGAATAAGATATTAGCGCGGATAGGCCGGCCTCGGAATCCGTGCACAGGTATTCGGGGCGCGTGTCGATGCTAATTTAAAACGCGAGCGCTTAACCCTGCGACGGATTCTGATGCGCCGTGCGTCGACCGCAACAGATGGGTATTGAGCGCGGTGAAGTATACAACTTTACCGTACCGAATTTAGGGTAGGTACCTGTTAGGACTTGCGCAGATCCTAGAAGTATCCTTCTGTGATCTGCGCTGTCATCATAAAGCCCTTTCAAACTACAACCAATGTGAAATAGTGGGTGGAGGTTTCGCACGCATCGCCTCAGTTAAAATGTTGCCTCGCGCCCTCGTGCAAAAGAGACGTGAGCGGTGAGCGACTGGGCGAAGGGCAGCGAGGGCGGGGAGGCGACACTCGAGGTCGGAGGTCCGGCCGCATTCCGCGGTCCGCCGCCGCCTCGAAAGTGAAAACGCAGCGCCCGCTCGGCCGTAGAAAGTCGGAGGCGCGCACGCATCTGGGCAGCGGGCGGCGGACGGAAAAAAACCGCTGTCGCGCCGCGATCCCGGGAAACGAGCCGCCCCGGGCGATGCGGTGAAATCACCACCGCACGGATCCCTACCATTCCGGCTGATGTACCTGCCTATGGCTGAATGATTGTGAGTTTCACTTAATCGCTTTGCGCCCACGCCGTTATTCGACTGAAATAGTGGAAGACTATAAAAAAACAATTAAAAGTTCCGTAAAAAAATTGCTATATTATAAGAAAAAGAAACAACCGTAATTTCATAAGGGACGAATGCCTATCTTTCAAACTGGGTCATAAAATATTTCCACAATTTTTAGAGTAAGTACAATCAAAAATAAATAAATTGTAACCTAAACTGGGTTATCGTTGCTTCAAATATTGTTTGCTTATGAAAATAAAGGGAGGTAATCTGTGCGTGTCTAGGTCAAAGAGACGAGTAACTATCTACTAATTTACTCAGCAATTGGTGTACGCCCTAAATTTCAGCCTACTCGAGCAACCTAATTTCATATCCTAGCGCCGGTACCAACGCACAACTAACTGTAATTATAAATGAGACAAAATGGGTTTACGTTCCAAAATAAAACTGGCTAAAACATTACATACTATCGTAAGTAAAGTAAAAAGTAAAGTAACAGCCTATTCATGTACCAAAGCTGGGCAAAGGCCTCCTCTATACAGAGGGTATCAGGGCATAGTCCACCACGCGGCCCCACTGCGGATTGGCGGACTTCACATATCCTCGAAATATTTTTTTTTGTTATTATTTCGAAAATATGCACGTTTTACTTCACCGCTGATAAGTCAGCTCTTAAAGTTAAAAACTTCATTTGTGCCGGCACCGGGGATCGAACTCAGGTTGCTCGAGTATATAGAATTAAAGGCGAGCGCCCGGACACTAAGCTATCAAGGCTATGATGTAGAGTAAATTACCGTATATTATACATATTACGGTAATCTATGACATATTACTATTGTCTGTAACTCGCACATAATAACAGGACGAAAAGGTAGTAGCCGATAAATTAAGGCTAATCTGATTAAACTCTACAGCCTATAATAATGCCAACAATGCGATATTGTGACGTAGAAGGCGGCACGCGCTAACCCAATTCGCTATCAGCCGAACAATAGTGTCAGTAGCTCGTCCGGCGTACTCTCCAGCCGACGAAGTAAATGGCAGATTCCGACAAAGGTTCAGAATAAATTGCGTAGGTATTTTACTGTAATAATGCGGAACTACAAAATAATCATGCGTACAGTGTACATACAGTAAACACCTGACACGAACTACAAAGGTTTTTGTCATGTAGCTAACAATGTTTATTCACCATTACGAACTTTCACTAATTAAGATTTGTTCAACACCACAAACATCTCCTATTTCGAGCGCATGAAGCTTAATTAATTTAGGGTATTACAGATAATCACTATATGTTATTTCTGTCGAGATGTTTTTTGTCGGTAAGCCATAAGTTCCATGATTCTTCATCAACTTAATTGATTCATACAGCATTTTGAAGCTTATACTTGCCGCTATTGACGAAAAACAAATAGAATAAAGTTGTTCAGCTAGTAAGTACAGCTTTTTGTAAATTATTTAAAGCATGAAAACAAAATTTTCCTATGAAATCATGAACTGTGAAGAGACAGACGATAAGTGTATCAAATTTGAAGGATTAATGGAATGATTTATTGCGAGGAAAAAAGGTTTACTGCATACATACATCCACCGAATTCAAAAGTAGCATACTAATGTTTTGTTCGCACCGACAGAGAGAATCTACACGAGACAATCTTAGGACTCACTCAAATTTCGAATGGGTCGAGATGATTCGACGAAACAATGACTCATACTATCCCAAGTCGGCATTTACAATCGGAATAGCTGAAAGAAAAAAAGCAGAGGCATTTTATTTCTATATATAGATATATTTCCAATGCTATTTAAAACGCGCCTAAACATGGGCCGGGATACTTTTTTTTTAAATTTATAACTAAACTTTTAGTACGAAGAAGGCTATTATGAATGAAAACTTAAACCTAGCAATCTTCATGTGAATGATTAAACCGTAAAAAAAGTTATTTGACGAACGCATCAGCCGTTGCCCGCGGCATCGTAATAATTAATGGCAATTAGTCGCTAACGTGGTTGTTCCACTGCTATTTAATTGGTGAATTGTACGTCATACGCCTAAGTGCACATCAGCGACGGAATGTTTGTAATTTCCGGCCAGAGTCTAATTTATTCTCATCAGAATAACTCGCAAAAACCTTTAATTAAAGACACTACGCGTCAAGATTACATTGCTTCTCTATTACAATCAAATGTTATTAGAAACTTTACTAAAACCGGTTGTAGAGTTAAAAGCACCTTACTTAATAATGTTTACATACTAAATACAGTTTCTAAATTTGAAATGACGTGTCCTCCGTGTACCGATCACGTACATACCTAGGGTTTTATAGCGATAGAATCGATTAAAATTACAACGCAATATTACTTTATCATAACGCCTTTAGATATGTTATCTGACGGTATTATGGCATGTACAAGGAAATTCAAATATATATATCTGTGCAGCTAAAATTTAAATTGACCGGGAAATGGGTCAAAACCTGAAAGGCTTCCTTTTTTGTTTAGCTAAAATACGATTTTAATAATATTAGGTGCGTGGTAATAAACAATTTATCAGACCTCTTTTGTGAATCATTTTCTCTATAAACCATTACGTCTTTCTAATTCGTAGTATATCACTAGAAGTAACTTCAAGTTTGTTATATTAACATTTTGGTTTTATATAATTATTACATAATATTAAAAGCAACAAACAGTCACACGCATTGATGTTTATACACGACACGTGTAATCGCGACGAGGTTATCGGCGTACTTCTAGAAAACGTCACAATTAATTACGTACAAAAGAAAACGGCAAGATAAAGGGAGCTCAAGTTTTTCTGGTCAAACGACCGGACTTTAGAGCTTCGGGGCTTCGTTCACGGACAAAAGGTTTACGTACGAAACGGCGAACCGACTCTCACCCAAAACGGCTTGTAACTTACGCACTAGAAACCAGCTCATTGTTCCACTCGCTATCCGTACAGATTTGGAATCGATTATTCGATACAATCGAGTGACGGCTCCATTTCTAGACTTATCGATGCATTTCACTTTCGTCGCGGTGCGCCTCACGACTGCGCTAGTTTCTTGTTCGGAGAGCAGAGAAAAAGACGACGACTCATGTTTGGTATCTAATTTATGGTAATCGAAATCGAAGTGATGTGAACTGTTCACTTTCGAAACCATAAATAGGGTGGGCCAACCATTAATATAACCCACTTCCTTATTGAACTATTAACTAAAAACCATAGTCATGAGGCCTTCCGATGTCCTGGCTATCTCTAGCTCTAATTTTTAATGTGATAACTTATGCAGGAACGCATTTTCAAGTGAGCGTATTTTTGTTCGTCTATATGGGAGGTTGCTTTTGGTCCAGCTTTCCAATCTCAGGCATTATGTCAAATTTTATCTGTAAAAGTCATGGTAAATCTAAAACGATTTGCAGGCGATTTTTGCTAAAGCTTGCGTTGGAGACTTAATAGCAGACACTTTTAAAAAGCACACCAGCTCATTAAGATAATGAGGCACCTTATTAAAGAAATTCATTAATTCATTATTTTAATTTTCATTAATTATTAAAGATATCAGTTTAGTGGGTAAAAACTTACACAATTGCTTTTTGCACAATAATTGACAAGGCATTTGTAATACCCTATATCCGGGTACTAGCTATAAAAGTTAAATATCTTTTGTTTACATCACATTAAAACAAGATTAGGTTAGACCTTCTTAATTATAACAATTTAAATTATGTTCAGGCAAACTAATTTGCTATAAGGTCAATTAATTGGAAGCACTCATTGGCATTTTCATATATAAATATTATATTATAATAAAAAATTATAGATAAAAATATATTCTTACTAAATATTGCAGACTTATATTTTTGTATATTAAAACAATGTAATTATGTAAATAATATGTATATGACTATGTATTTATTAGCAGCATATTATGTCATAATTTGTAGTTACCAATTATTTAGTTTAATACTTCCATCACTGAAATGTTTATTAAATGTATTAAGACTAGCTGTGTGGTGTTGACTAAAAAAATTATAATAATTTTGATAATTACATTCACATTGTTATTCCCGTTAAAAGATAATGAGGTTTAGACTTAAAAAAATATATAATGAGGCTAAGAGTTAAAAAAAAAAACGAAGTTTACACCAATAAACTTAATGTTAACTAAAATTTTACACCTTTATTTTTTGCTTGAGACATCGTTTCGAAAAGGTTATTTAAAGTTAGGTTTTATTTGATATTTATCTATTAAAATTTTGAAATTAAATAGATATTTTATTGTAATTCATAACCAAAACAGTGTTTTCAGGTGAACAAAATGGAAAAGTAATAAAAAAAAAGTATAGCCCTTTTATTTTTAATATTTTAAAGAACTATAAGAATAAAAGTATTTGTAATTAAAATATAACAAAGAAGTTTCCTACTTTGGTGTTATTCCTGCGAAGGCAAAAAACAGCCTTATCTAATATTATCAGAGTGCTCGACGCTCATCAGTCATGTTTATCTTGAACACCAAGATAAATGTTCTAGGTTCTTAATACTAAGTACACATATAGGTAGAATGCATTCCGCAACAAATCAAATGTATTCACACCTATCAACATATGCCAAGTGTTCACAACAGCTAACTATGACACATACTTCTTGAGCATGTTGATATTGGGTACATATGAAAGCAACATTGGCAATGAATGCTTAGTGCTACTAATCACAATTACTTAAAACTTTCCTGCTCATAACAATTTCTACAGCAGTTTATTGTACTAATAAAATAAGACTTGTAGCCACGTAAAATTATGATTTGTACAAAGTATTATTGGTCATTCTTTTCTGATATTTTTAAACTGTTTCGGTAATAAAAACACCAGTTTAAAAAGTGAACGTGTTATTTTTAAAAGTAACTTGTTGAAGTTCGATTTAACTGACCTTGCAAAGGGTGTCTGTTCGACATGGTAGACATCTGTTATGGGCTCTGAGCGCATGATGCTTCGGAGCCTCTCCTCCGAAAGCTCCAAAAGTCCATCACTAGCTGTCTTGAAGTCAGCCTTGTTCAAACCACTTAAAACACTCATTTTCAAACGTGTAGACGACTTATCGAGTCGAACCGAAAACCTTTCAAATGTCACCACAGTAGTCCTTAAATTATGAAAAACACTTATATTTAAAACTGAGGCATCAATTAGGCAATAAAAAACATTTTAAATGCCTCCGGTTTTTCTAAAGGTAACTGAGAGCTCTCCCTTGTCATTGCGAGAAGCAGTTACGGTTTCGAAGGCTTTAGCTCCACTACAGATTAACACGTTTTAAACAAACTCTTGTATCACTTCATCATTATTTGCAATGAAAAGTAATCAGTTGTTTATTTACACACGCGTTTCGAAAAAAAACTAAAAATTGACAAGCGCGAATGGACAGCTGCGCATCGACGAGTCGACCGCACTTCGCCGTACACGTTTCTGCCACACAAACTGGCGGCGCACACGGAGCAGCCGATACAATTCAAAATCTGAATCAGGCATGTTGATTTTCCGTTGCGCTAAGTTCGAAAGTTGTATGGCAACACTATACGTCATATCAAAACATTTTTAACAAGTTTGCAACTAGATGGCACTAGGTAGATTGCAAAATTTATTTTATTTATTTATAAAAATGTTACTTTTGTACTTGAAGTCTATAAATTATTTATTTATCATAATCATTCTAATGTTTAATTATTTTAAGATATTTTCAAGCGTCAATTGTAGAAAATTTACTTTTCGCTTATAAAAACTATTGTCATAATGGGTCAATACTGACATCTAGTCTTTACGAGTTTAAACTACATTTTTATGATATTAACGCATTCACGCATTAGAGTCAGTTGCGCTAAGATTTCTAAAGATGGCTCTTTAATAATTCACATCTTACAGTTATGTATTGTTTTAGATACTACATAGCTACTTTTTATTTCTCAACTTCATGGAAATCAATGGTGTTTAATATTATTGTAATTGTAATTAATATAATTAATGAAAATAGCTATAAAATTAATAAACTTATTTTTATTTTTTTTACCTCCGGTTTTATCTCTTCATAGACATAGTCATCATGGCATAATTGCTGGAGGATCTTGGTACTGTGACTGACCTTGTACTCAATGACCTTAACAGTGTCTCCCAACGGGTGTCCATGTCACACCTAAGCCGGTTGTTGTTGAGAACACTGTGCTTGAATTTGTTGACGTTGACGTTAGTCCGGTTAAGTAAGTCCAACTTCTACGCAAAGGTCAATCGACGTATCCAACTTGGATGGGTAACGTTTGCGAAACTTCGGTAAATCTTCTCGTCTAATATCCCTCACTATTTGAAGACCAAAGTCTTTAATCAATGTGTTGCCAGTGATGACATATAGAACAGAGATGTTGTCCTTAACTGTTGGCCGTATGATGAAGTTCAGAGTGCATCGTGGCAGTATGAGGGTGAGGCCTATGTTCAGCAGTGGACTCAAACACGCTGATTTGATGATGATGATTTCAAACAACATAAGACAAAAGCCAAAGACATTGGTAAGTTCCGCTACTTTCAGTCTCGTATTTACGTTTTAAGCATAGAATGTACCAAACTTCTAAAATATTCTACATGATAATCTGTCCCCGAACATGGTAGTTTTTTTATCTTTTTATTTAAACACAACTTCTACCAAATTCCCAATGACACATTATCATTTTGTTTTCTGAGACTTATGTGGTTAATTTTAAAATTAAATTTTATAATATTAATAAAATTAGTAAGTAACGTTTTTTTGGGACGAATTTTTATTTTAAACTTACGTTTTGAATTATTTACAGAATTCATGGTAATGGTAATTGTCCGTCTCGTTACGGGACGTAAACTATTTTTATTGAAATGTGTACCATCGCGCAAATAAAGAATCTGTTTTTGTGAGCACAGTGTGATGTTTTATTACCGGTGGTAACTTACGAACGTGTTAATTTCTTGTAAAATTTTGACGTTTCATAAGAACGCGCAAGCGTCTATGTGAATAAAGAGATTTTATTATTATTATTATTATGGGGTGATATTCATTTGTCTTCTCGTCTGGTTCGGTTTATAAATAAAAATAAAAATATAGATACATATTGCATATATGTATAAAATAAATATTATGAATAAAAATATTATTATTATTATTATTATTATTAAGAGCGTGCAGACGAGACTGTATTTTTAGCATGTTTATAGGTTCTTTGCTTGAGGATTTGTAAGCTTATCATCATATATTAAAAAACTTGATTTAAAAAATAACGACCACTCTAAAATAACTTATTTATTTAAATTTTTATTTCTTTTCCATCGAACATTTAACAGCTTATTCAGCAATGTCATTCCTGGTTCGGTGATTTTTTTAAAGGACTCTTCATTGGACATTCTAGAAAGCCAGTCCGCAGTACGTGGAAATCTGAAAAAAGAAACAAGAAATGTCTAAAAACTTTTTGATTTGCAATACTAGAATAGGGCCCATATTGTGATGTTGTTTATGAAATAATGTAAATATGAAATCAATTTACAAAGGGTAAACAAATCGTGACACATTATACCAAATATGATTATTTCACCATATTGAAAAACTTTTGGATACTGATATTAGCAATTCTGTGGGATCGTGGTTCAACCTACCTTAGTTTTGCATATTCATGCAAAATGTTGTTTATACCAATACCATAATGTACCTGTAATCCTTACAAAGGTCTAATGCCCGCTTTCTGAAACAAACACTGATTTCTGATATTTGAGTTGCCATAAAGATTATTAAACTCTCTGAATAGATCTGAATGATCTTCTAAATGATCAGAATGATCAATTCAAAGAGTTTAACAATCCTTTTGCAACTCAAATAACATTCGAAAAGCCATTTGACAGCTGATTAGTTAACTCCTACGATGATCAGTGTTTCACAAACCGGGCGTAAGCATCACGTACCTATGATTCCGTGGCGTTATGATTCCGTGGCGCAGTTGCTAAGGTATTGGCTTCAGCGCCGCGGGCGGCGGGTTCGATTCCCACACAAGACGACTGTTTGTGTTCCCCACAATTAGCTGTTTAGGTAAACGTGAATCTTCTGTATGTGAAACGTCCTTCCCGAGAAATTATGCAATTGGATCACCAGCTTTTTGGCTGATCGGAGCATCAAGGTCGTCGTCGACGGTGCATGCTCCGATCCCAAATTTGTCAATGCTGGTGTTCCACAAGGCTGCGTACTGTCTCCTATTCTATTTCTTCTGCATATCAATGACATGTTGCAAATCAGCAACGTCCATTGTTATGCAGACGATAGCACTGTGGATGTCTCGTACACTGGCCGAGCTAACATTTCTCGAGAAAACGTCTACGAGAGCCGGAACAAGCTTGTGTCTGAAGTCGAGACTTTGTTAATCAAAGTCTCAGACTGGGGTCGACTAAATTTAGTTCAATTCAACCCCAAAAAGACACAAGTTTGCGCGTTAACCGCTAAAAAATCACCATTTGTCATGACTCCTAATTTCGAGAACACTCCCCTATCTGCCACAACTAGTATCGGAATACTAGGCGTCGAAATATCGAGCAACGTCCAGTTCCGCGGTCAATTGGAAGGTAAGGCCAAATTGGCCTCAAAGAAACTTGGTGTGCTCAGCAAGGCGAGACTGTACTTCACGGCGGCTCAACGCTTAAAACTCTATAAGGCGCAAATTCGGCCCCACATGGAGTACTGTTCTCATCTCTGGGCGGGAGCCCCTCATTACCAGCTTCTTCCATTTGACCGCATTCAACGTGGGGCGGCTAGGGTTATCGACGATCAAAGTCTTTCCGATCAGCTTGATCCTTTGGCTCTGCGTAGAGATGTGGGATCACTCTGCATCTTCTACCGCATTTATCACGGGGAGTGTTCTGAGGAATTGTTTGGATTGATCCCGGCGGCTGAATTCCACTATCGGACATCGCGCCAAAAATTTCATCCACACCACCTCGATGTCCAGCGTTCCACAACAGCGCGATTTTCAAGGCATTTCTTGCCTCGCACAACCACTCTGTGGAACCAGCTGCCGCCGGCGGTCTTTCCGAACCGTTACGACCTGGGAACCTTCAAGAAGAGAGCATACTATTTTCTAAAAGGCCGGCAACGCATTTGTGAGCCCTCGGGTGTTGCAGGTGTTCATGGGCGGCGGTAATCACTTACCATCAGGTGAGCCTCCTGCTCGTTTGCCCCTTTTCCCCATAAAAAAAAAAAAAAAAACAGAATAATGTTATCCAGTAAGGGGACAATGTTTTCGAAGGTAAGACTGTTTTATACAATTCTAGGTCGCAGTGGTCGTTTGGTCTCACTACCCAGCCCCTTTCACGAAAGATACGAATACTTAATACCTGTTAGCGTCCAGATTATGAATGAGGTGGGCTGCTGCGGTAGTTGTACTTATAGAGAGGTCAGCCAAAGTCATATGGTCCGCAGCCACGTAGCTGTTCTTCTCCAAATACGCCTCCGTCACGGAGTACGCTTCCTCGATGCCTTCAAAGTCCTTTGACGTCGGCCCCGGCAAGCCGTGTAGCAACGTCGGCAGCTGCAAACGCCAAATCAACAATTTATATTTAAAAAAATATTAGAATTGTACGTTAGGTGAAGGAGTAGGGGCTTGACGTTGCATTATTTGCCGTACTCGTCACTGAAAAGGCAAAATTACTTAACCGCCAAATTAGGCATTTTGAGTTATATACATATTGTATTGGCGATGAAGCGGGGGGGAAAGTGCTTTCAACTCGCTATCGGAAAGAGCGATTCAACAGGAAGGCTTGGATGGTGAGCACAGGCCTATCTGGCGTGTTAAGGGCAAACAGCGTGTACAGCTAGCCGTTATTCTACACGTTGTTGATTGCCTATTTGTGTGACACGCACACAATTGTGTCGAATCTCGGTTCATGAGATAAATCCTGTTGACGGACGGACAGACAAACAGACAGACAGGTAGCGTAGTCTTAGCAATAGTATCGTTAGTTTCGTTTTACCCAAAGGGTAACCTAAAAAAGATAGCGATCGAAAGTTGGCAGCACCGACCGCAACGGACTTGACACGGTGGAACATGACGGACGCGTCGAAGTACAGGCACTGGTCGACGAGGGCGCGCGCGCGCACGTCGAGCGGGTACAACCGCTGCGCGTGGCGGCCGCCGTATTCCCCGACCAGGTACAGCATTATCGCGTGGCTGCAATGCGACGTGTCGGGGATATGCTGACTGCACATGCTCGTTTGCCACTTTCTAAATTACACATAAAAAAAAACAAACGAATACGGCGACATACAACAGTCAAAAACGAATATTCAGAGTACTAACTGATGGAATTGACTACTGAAAATATATTCACCTTTCAGACACCACAAAATCCCCATCTTGTAGAACCGGAACTGTACCCATAGGATTTATCTGCGAAAAATAAGTAAAAATACATTTAAGATATATTTTTTTTTACATACAGTAAAGATTAAAGTAAAACTTTGTGATATGTTACAGATGTGCGTGTCACGCGCCCATCCTTATTTTACGTCGGCTTGACACAACTCGATGTCATTCTGTATATTCTGACGCAGCAACAATTCAAGTTACAGGGACGCATGTAACGGTAGCAATGTGCATGTACCAGACTTTTATCATATATAGACAACTAGAAGCATTGCTGGTCTATAGGTTCTTCCAGAAGCTTAAATAATAAATATTTCAGGACACTTTTTACACAACGTTCACTAATCCCAAACTAAGCAATTTTTGTACTATGGATACCAGTTTACTGATTAACATACTTATCTTTTTTAAATAGGGAAAAAGACTATGCTCATCACACAATCATTTCCAAGTGGTGGATGGGGATCGGACCCACACCCTCCGGCTAAAAGGCAGTTTCACTACCTACTAGGTAATCGGGTCATCAAGATAAAGAAATGATTGCCCAAGGTTTGAAGACTACTACAAGGTGCCTTACGGGTTTTTCAATACCTACTGCAGGTACCAGGGATCCACAACTAAGCATGTTTTAAAAATATTTTTCAGAAAATTGTTTATCGTTAACTTTAAATATTTTAGTTGTGGTATGAAATAAATAATTTTTATCATGGGGGGATATTCATTTGTTTTCTTGTCATTTTCAAATAATTTTTATTATTATTATTATTTATTATGGAGTACACAAGGGTTCATATTATGTACCTTTAGTAGCAGTGGCTTAGCTAAACATGAACTGCACGTCGACGTAATCAATTTTGCGAGGACCTTTTCATATCTTAATTACGAGAACTCGTTAACGAAATCAAATTTAAATTACGAATGATTACATCCACAAATCATTCGATCAATATCCGTATAATAATAATAATATCTCAATATCGATTTATCAATGGTCGTCTTTACTTTTGCCATGAAACATTAAATGTTTTCACAGTATGTTATGTTAATTTTACAGACGGCGGATTGGCGATGAGGGAATAAAAATTTTCGTGGAATACAGAATTGAGCACAATTGCTAACCTTCCTGAAGTTGGGGGTCTTATGTTCCAAAGCGAGAAGTTTGGGTTCCTTGAAATCAAAGTGCAGACCGAGAATATCTCCCAGCATCCTGACTGCGCACGATGGTGGACTGGCGTCCGCTTTATACAGAAGTAACTGCGGCAGTTTTGAAGCTGAAACTTGATAGGAAATACTTTAGGGTTTAGTATTAATTTAAATTATTAAAAAAATAAGTCCGGACAGTTATTAGACATAATATTTGATTTTAGTACGGAAATATAGCCGGCATATCTTTATTTACAAACAAATCGGTGAAGTTATTTTCCGATTCTGAGAGCAACTTTTGAAGAAAAAAGGCGAAGAAAAAATTAATATAAACTTATTTTTAGATTCACTCCGATAATGCAATGACCGAATGTAGATCAGATGATCATATTGACACGATTTCTAGCCAGCGACTGGCCACTGTTGCAGCAATCTCCACTCTCAATGTTTATAATATTAGACTATTTGCACATATTGTTGTTAGAAAAAAGTTAGTTTTTACTTCCATGTAAATAAAACAAATATTATTAAGTCTAGCAGTAAAGCTTACATTGCTTCGCCATTCTTCAATAGCGGTTATAAATCAATCTTTAGATTAAATTTTACCACACCTGGAAAAAAGTACCTTAATAATTAAATAAAGTTCAATTCTATATTATGAACACTAGTACCTAGTCTGGTATTCCAAAAGGCGAGAATAGAAAGTAAATTTTTGTCTCAATTCCCAATAATACTCGTAAATTTCATCAATAAATGACCTTTTTGTAAACTAAAGCCTTAAAAGCAACAAGAAATTTATCATGAACTAGCTGCCGCCCGCGACTACGTGTGCGTAGTATAGGCTGAAGGCGTAACGTTCAGACAGAAACACAGATATACATAAAATATGTATATAAATTATAGTCTTTGTCTTATTCTGATGTATAAACTATACTATTGTAAAGTTTGATTAAAATCACAAACAAACATCCATCAATACATACAAACTTTCGCCTTTATAATATTAGTAAGGAAGTAAGGATGGTAATGTATCTCAGCTCGCACCGTTTCTATCGATGGTCCTCGCCTTTTGAAATGAGTAAGTATTTGCATCTGTTTAAATATTCTAGTTCTACGGGGGAATAGTAGGCAACTGCATGATACTTTGAGTTTGTGCCATCGACGATATTTAAGTGCAAATATTCTATTTAAATATGTATCGGACATTTGTTTAATAGACATAAAAAAAAAACTAAATCGAAATGACTATGCAGAAGTAGTTAGTGGTACACGGTCTACTAGAAATTTACAACCTTTAGGTACATTTTTTTAAGTGAAAAGTTGCCAAACGAGCAGACGGTTCTCCTGATGGTAAGTTAATACCGTCGCCCATGGAAATCTGCTACACCCGAGGGTTACGGATGCGTTGATAACCTTCTGAAAATTGGGCTCCGGCTACCTCACTCACCAGACGAAACGCGAAAGTATTTGTCATACTTCCACTTTACGCTGGTCTTCTGTGAGGTCGTGGTACTTACCCGGACGGGCCTGCCCATTCGTGCAACAGCCGAGGCTGCTGCGTGACCCTAACACCACATTATTATGGATTTACGCTAAATTTACACAGACACATTTTGCACTTGCACGATTATTAATTATTTCCAATAGTCTATTCGTAGTCATATACTAAGACAAAGACCTGGGAACAACAATATTCTGTATCTGCGCAGTCCAACATTGGATCGTACGTTAATGATTACTATACTTGTAAGTAAAATCTCTTAGTGCTAAGAATTTTGTTTATTACGCCTGCAGATTCGACGATACATATTATCTCTTCACAATATTTTTCATATAATTTCGAAAACATGCAGTTTTTCTCCTACATCGCTTAGCACGTGATAAATCAGCACTTAAAACTGCAATTAACAATTTCATTGGCGTCGGCACCGGGATTTGAACTGATGTCGCTCGAGTCTATTGTATTAAGACCGCCATTTTATTCAAATATGATTTCTAAAAGGGAGAATGATTTAATGCGAATTCATTACACTGCCCATAATCTTGTATCAAATGTACTGTTTAAATTTATAGTCCAAAATTTCATATCATTCACACGCATACGTATTAAAAGTTTCCAACACTTACGTAACATTTGCGACCTTGAAACACCGAAGACTAAAATAGATTGTATATTCCAATTATTATAAAGTAGCCTCATATGCTGCATACCGAATTAAGATTAAGAGTTTAATAGTCACAAAAGGAGAAAATATTTAAAACGATAACGTTATCATTTATTTGTAACCGTTATCGCTAGTTACGAATCATGTTGCGTCACAGAAAAGAGTATTACGAAGTCAGTAGTACCTTGAACTCTGTACATCACTCTAGTAGTAATTGATGATGGATTTCACTTTTATATGTAACATGACTATGATTTGTATGGAAGGGATTGGGAAGTAAGTCCCAACAAACACTGTGACCTAGATATATGTATAGTAGCCTATGTATGTGCAATAGGCATTTAAGAAGTTAATTCATGATTTACTTTAATAATTGGTTTTAGTCGCATCTACTAGCAAAAAATATGAATTTATGGTCCATGACCGAAAATATGGTTTTTTTTTGTGTACGTCAAATTTGTATGTGTAAAGCTTCGCACGGAGGAAATGATAATTAAACAATGTCAATATTTTGTGTAGTCACTAACTTTTTGATTTAATGGGGGTTGGCAATCATTGCATTTAAAAAAACATTCAAGCTACAATACAACGCAAAATTCAACAAATGTGTTATAATTTTATTGTGCAATATAAAATTAATGTACACACAAAATAAATCCATATTAAATAACAATGTTTGGAAATATCTCATTAACAATATCTATGATGTTACGAACAGCCTCCTCCGAAAGTCTTTCTTCACTTTCTTGAACAATCTGAAATAAAATGTAAAAAAATAATATTTGCTCCTCTTAGATTTTTTTGTTCCAACTCATAAACAATTCAGTATGCAAATTACATTTAAGTATTATAAACTGCAGATAAATAAGCAGGCTTGTCCAAGGAAGTAGAACGGGTTGTTCTACTTCTACTGTAATAGAAGCATGGTTTCAACTTTTTAAGTAGAATTCCATTTTTGTGTGGTCTTAAGGTAAATTGGGTCCTTATGTAACCTTTTTAATATTAAGTACAACTCTCAGGTGTTGAAGATGTCCATAGACCATATTCAATTGCAAAATTTTTATAAAAAGGAAAATGGGAGACTAGCTAACAATTATAGCATATATGTGACATAAATATCGACATAAAATGGATCAGTTAAAAATATCAGTTAAAAATAAAAGGGAGACTACCACCCTGGCGCAATTGCCAAAGTATTGGCTTCATCGACAAGTATTTGTGACCCACAGATAATGTTTTCAGATCTGGGTGTTTGTCCATGTGAAATTTATTCATGTAAAATGTCCTTACAACAAAGGATTATATTATCTTACAGTAAGGGGCCAAAGTTTTCTAAGGGAAAACTACAATAGAGCTTTCTAAGTCGGAGTTGTCGTTGGGGCTTACTATACAACCCACTCCATACGAAATATAAATATATGTATCTTCAGTCCTGACACAAAATATAATTACAGTATAAAATGTTGTTATAGCCAAGCGCCCGCACAATGACGGCTCATTGTTTCTGCGCTTACTTTTAAAACAGTATACTCTAGCAACCTTAGTTCAATCCCCAGTGCAGGTACCAATGAAATTGTTAATTTTAAGTGTTGATTTGCCACATGCTCTGCAGAGATGGAAAGCATTGTGAGGAAACCTGTGTACTTTCGAAATAATAACAAAAAAAATATTTCAAAGATAAAATATTTATATATAATTATTTATATATAAAATTTTTTCCTTAAATAGTTATTTAATTATCACTAGCGACTCGCCACGGCTTCGCACGAGTGGACTGTAGATTTACAGTTGCTTTTGGATGAGATGTTTGTTACTACATCACATTAAGAATTTCCCGGCTTTTCTCTATTTCAATACATATGTATACTACATATTGAACCTTCCTCTTGAATCACTCCGATCCGTTGCGTAGTTTAAAAGATCTAAGCTTAAGAACAGCGGGAGAGACTTTGCTTTATACTATGTAAAGATTAAGTTATCGAAACTCAATGATGTTGTAGTATAGTATGACCTAACACAATTAGGTTTCTGTTGAAAGTTTTTGACCGAAAACACCGTCTGCTACCTTTTCGACACTAACCTGTCTAGCCTAAACGACTTCTGGGCTCAATAAGACACTTGGAAAGGACTAGATACTTGACTATACACAATTAACTATCTTTAGAATACAAAAAGCAAAAAGATTGAAGGGGTCCAACTATGTGAAATTAAGTATAAAAAGTACAAATATTATTATACAATATGAGTTTCCATAATTTTTTTTAATATTGCAAAATTCATTTTAAAAGCTCATTAACTGAAGTATAAATAAGACTGCTTTTTTTATTATAATTAATCTTTGTAGTTGGGTAATGGGATTCAAAGTAGCATGTACCTGCCGTTTCATCAAATTCTTAAAGCTTTAAACCATTAACAAACTAACATTTTATACTGTAAAAATATTTTGTACCTGGATTCCCCATAGAGACAAACCAAATTACGAATAGTTTTTAATATAATTTAGAGTTTTTAAATTATAATAAGTAAGAAATTAATCACAAAGAGATTAATTTTTGAAAAGCACAAACTTACCAACTGTATTTCTAACTCTGTTCGTGGAGGCGTATTCACCATCATCAGTTTTTCCATCTTTGTTAATTTAAACTTTTTCATTGCTTCCAGAAATTTCTGTATTGATTCCTTACTTTGATTCTTGCACTCTGTATCTTGTAAGTAATGAACAGTCTGGCAATTAGTAAATTATTGAGAGATGTAAAACAAAAATTAACAAACAAGTATATCGATGAATATATCTCGTAATTGACATGTTTTACTGAGATTATCAAAATGTGTCTACTCTACTATAAGAGTAGTTTTATATTTAATGGCCATTCATTGCCATATGCCTCAAATTTGAGATAGTATTTTTGGCAATATAATTACAAACTCATTATTGAGTCTACTGAGATTTGAATCCAAAAACATGTTATTGATAATGCTTTTTAGTACTGCATGTGTTTGTAATCTTACCTCATATGTAACCGTGGCGAGTGAACCCTCCCTCTTATATTTTTTTTGTGTACTGTCTTTTAATTCTTGTAGAATTTGCATTACTTCAAAATTACTTAAGAAAGCAGCATGTGCGTTTATCCTAAAATAATAAAAAAGTTTTATAAGTAAATTATAAAATAATTAAATTGATATACATTGTAATAATTTTTAAATTATAGTTTACTTATTTCAGACCTATCTTTTACATGGTTATAATTACTTTTAAAGGTTGTCGATACACAAATCATGTTGATGGTTAATATTTAAAGATATTAATGCTAGGATTCGGGGAGGGGGCGATGTGGTGAATCCGCCGGGGGGGGGGGGGGGTTAAGTGGTCACCCCCCACTTAACCCCGCCCCCCCGGCGGAGACGCATAGTTTTTTATTATACAATTTTGAATTTTGTTCATTTAATAGAATTAGAATCTAATAAGAATGTCACGGGGAAGGGTTCCCCTCCTGCCTGTTGTCCTTAACAAGACTTAACAACAGAAGCGCTAATTGGTTTGGTAATTTGGTAACAACCAATTAGCGCTTCTGTTATTGCATACGGCAATGAATGGCCATTAAGGTTAAGGCAATGTGAATCTTCTAACCTAATCTGTCTAAGTCGTATTGATCTGTGTCGGATCAGCGACTCTATAAATAAAAAAAAAATCGAACAAACGATACGAGTATGAAGTCCCGGCTTCCTATATTAATCATGTTGGTGGTACTGTATTCAGTTTTATTAAAATTAATAAAATGTGCGTACTTTTTTAGTGAAAACAACAAGTTTTCAATATCTTTTTCTCGTAAACTGAATGCGACCGGAGAATTCTGCTTGTTGATTAATTAATTACTGATTTTCTCTATCGTTTAAATCATCGCATCTTCGAAAACACTGAAATTTATCAAAGTTAAGTTCCATTTCACGTTTCGTAAGATTTTTAAATTAAAAAAAAAATTGCTAATTATAGTGTTAAAATGCTTAATACGAACCTCCTAAACTACCCCCCCCCCAACCCCCAAACTTACAGTGTACTTACATTCGGGCGACTCAATTCAAAACCCAACCCAGATTTTATGTTATTTATGTGGTCTGTCACATGTTAATTAAATCTTCATCACCTATTAGCAACACTTTGCCCTTACTTATATGTTTAAAGCAAAATACAAAATATTTCTACTTCATTTGCAAAAGATGGAGTAAAACTGTATATTATATTACCGTAGGCCTATATATAATTGTAGTATCTGATATTACCGTATGTGATTTTTTTTAATTTATTTATTAAGTGAACAATACACCATAAAAATTTTATTCCCCAAATTGTGAAAACAATTTATCGGCGACACAATGCACTCTTACATAATTGTCACTTAAATAACAAAATAAAATTAGCATAGGGTACACTGGAGTTAAAAATAATAACTAAGCAATAAAAGAAAAATATGCTTTTATTTCTTAGGCAGTTATTATTATGTTTTAGCATTTTAAACTCTGACTTATCATATTCCTCTAGGGCTATTAACAATTAAACTTTTTCATGTATTGCTAATATATTACATTTTTTATATGATAACCCGTTACAATCTGATTTACTGCATTTAGTTGCAAAAAGTTTAATTAAACGCATTTGTAAATTTTTGATATTATCTAGATATGTGTGGCCATATGCAATCAATCCATAACTGAGTACACTATCAGCAAGAGTGTGATATAACAAATACATTGATTTTTTATCAACTAAATAATTAAGATATTTTAATTTGATTAATATCATTCTTAATTTATCACAAACATTATTAATGTGCAATCTCCAATTAAACTTACACTCTACAGTTACTCCTAAATACTTATAGGAAATAATAAACTCTAAACTATTGGATTTTCAATTTTAATCACCATAATGTAAGCATTTCTACATGTGACCAATAATTTTTAAACTATGATTTGGTTCATTTTTGTATGGGGAATGTATTATGGAACAATCTTTGATCACATTTCGCATGCTGTTCATATGCATTATACCTATAAGATTGGTCCATACACAGACCCAGTTGGCACGCCGTAGCTCACATTTCCTTCGTCCCCAAAGCATTCTTTTATTTTTGTTATTATTGTTCTTCCATGTAAATAGTTCCTTAACCCAAATACCACAGTCATCCATAGCTTGCAATAATAATTTGTGGTCTAAAGTTTCAAAGGCTTTTTCGAAGTCTATGAACAAAACAAGAACATACAGCTTGTTATTTAACTTTTCATTTACATTATCAGTGAACTGAGACAATGTTGTACTAGTACTCAAACCCCATAATTTGAATATTGAAAATGATCCCCATTTTTGTAAATTGGATGTAATAGAGTTTATCGGGGTGTATGCCTGTCTTAACACACAAGTTTACAAATTTGGCCAAGATGCGACTAACATCCTTTTTAATACATTTTAAATCTTGAACTCTAATTCTGTCAATTACTGGGGATTTTTTAACATTTAAGTTATATTTTGTTTTTGTTAGGGATTGTTTGGGATGTTAATTGTGTAGACACTTTGGCTGCCTCTCATCTAAGGGTCACTTCGCTCAGGACTGGGGAAGCATTGGAGTCAGCTGAAGTAAATGGAGCAAATATGAGTCTCTATGTTTAGATTATCTATTTGTGCCATTTCCTATTGAAACTTCGGGTCCGTGGGGTCCCCGCACATATTAATTTTTTAAAGGTTTATGTCCTAGGCTTAACACCATGGCTGGTGACAAGAGAACTCATTCTTTTCTTGCTCAAAGCAAGCTTTCACGGTGGTAGGGCCACGCAGCAGCCTCGGCTGTTGCACGAATGGGCAGGCCCGTCCGGGTAAGTACCACGACCTCACAGAAGACCAGCGTAAAGTGGAAGTATGATAAATACTTTCGCGTTTCGTGTGGTGAGTGAGGTTTCCGGAGCCCAATTTTTAAAAGGTTGTCAACACATCTGCAACCCTTGGGTGTGGCAGATGTCCATGGGCGGCGGTATTCACTTAACATCAGGTGAACCGTCTGCTCATTTGACAACTTTTCGCATAAAAAATAAAATAAAAAATAACTATTCAGAGAGGAAATGCAGCTAGGATTAGGTTTATTATATGTATAATATGTAATTTTAGATAGATTTATGCCCGGTTGCTGAAACACTGATCATTGTAGAAGTTGACTGATCATCTGTCAAAAGGCTTTCCAAACATCATTTGATCATTCTGATCAATTCAAAGAGTTTAACTATCCTTTTGGCTGGTGGCAACTTAAGTTACATGTGAAAAGATATTGGACTGCTGATTAGTTGATTTCTACGAAGATCAGTTGTAAATATAGGGCAAATTGATTTAAAATCAGAAATTTATTTAAAATATATAACTAATTGTCTATCACATTGACTTACATATGTCTTACTAATGCCATAATATGATAAATTTTTAAATGCCGTACAGTATGAATAATAAAACATTGTTTAACCATTTACGGAAGATTTGAAGAACGTAATTTGATTACATATTTGAATGACTTGAAAACATGAATATGAATAATATTTACTTACGTAATAAAGAATGAATATTTACTTACGTTTCCATTTTTTGATGGCAAATGAAGATTGTTTATTAAAAGTATTCAGAGCAAAAATTAAATCTGGCCACTTTTCTCTAAGCGTGAGCCTTATACAAATCTGATAGAAACTACTCTTTACTGATATAGCTATATGGATGGTCCGTGGTCGTTTTTCTAACAAGCTAACAACGATGCCGAATAATATGAATATTTCTTAAATTGTTTATTGTTTACCATCGGATACTATTACCAAAAAAGCAAACGAGAGCAGAAACCATAGAGTAAAGTAATACTACCATAGATAAGACATATATACTGAAATTACTGTATATTAGGGATTACGGAAACTTGACCATCCATTCAGCAGAGAGAATGTAACAGTGCTGCCAATATTATCAAGATTAAATACCCCTAAATCAGGCTTGTCAACTTAAGCCTTTTAGCCCCAAAAGGGCGCAACTACGACTTAATACTGGGCTTTACAGTTCAAAAACTTTATGGCCATTTTTAGTGACATGAATAAAATATTTCATAGACATCACTATATGTTGGCAATCCTCGAATGTAATCACTACGTTTGCCAATGCAAAACTAAAGTAAATATTATTTATTTTATTTAACAAGTCAAATAAAATAAAGGCCAATATAAATCAACTTTTTCCTTCCACATATTATAAACGCTTAGTTGGTGAAAACAATATAAAAGCTTATTTGGTGGCTTTGTAACCAAATAGGTTATTTAGTGGCGTTAAATAACTCTGTCTGTCTCGCTTTCACTTCAAAACTACTGAACCGATTTAAATGAAATTTATTAAAAGCTTCAACGCGAGCGAAGCCGCGGGCGAAAAGCTAGTCTTACATAAAATTAAGAAAAGTTAGTTAGATACTGCTTCGTCTGCCAGCAATATTAAGGCAACAATGAAATTTTCGCATCAGTAATATCTGATGTAGCTAGTACCAGCGCAAACATTGCTTCAGTTGCGGAAGACGGTATATTTTTCCTATTCATTGCGACCAAAGTCGTGATAGCTCGGCTAAAAATTGATAGAACAGGAAGGTGTTTATTACTGTTAATACATAAATAAAGAAGGTGGATAATATGCCTTTCTATATATTTCTGAAAACGCAATAAATACACTGAAAAGAAAAACGTATAATTTTCAGTCACCGAACATCACGAGCCATCTATGTCGAAGGAAGGTTCCTTACGAAAACAATTATTTCAGAAGTAAAGAAATTCAAAAGAAACCATATAAACGGCACTATTGTGTGTATGCTATGCTATGATAAGCTATAAATAGGGTAAGTATATTATTATAACTTTCGTCTGGCGGCGAGCGCGCTGTACATGTATTTTAGGGCGAATGTCGGGTGTGCCATGTTAAATGCGGTGGCTTATTATATGGCGGTCATAGACTGTTCGGTCTTCTATCTGAAGCCGTGCAATGTCTCGTGATCGGACTATATTGACATGGACGTTATAAATAAATACCATGAAAAACTCGGCATCTGCTTCAAATTCTTTATTTTGCATCCCAATTTTTGGCAGTCCTCCTGTTACATTTAATAATACTTGTTTATGTTAAGGATGAAAGAAGGACAGTAAATCTAGTAGACCTTGAATATCATTGGCAAACAAAAATTAAAAGCGAAAAAAAGTTTTGATCTCTGCCTATTTAGGGTAACTAATCTTGAATTATTATAACTGGTGTTTTTTAAAACGAGAAGTTACTAAAAACAAGTATACACAATGAGTTAAGTACACATTAAATGATGATATGAAGAACATTAAATTCTGACTATCAAGGTTTAAAAGTCAAATAAAGATATAACACCAGAAAGTAAAGAAAAATACAGTTATATTATTAAAAAAATACAATACAGTTTACTAAAATTTATCTACGACAAACTTTGAACAATTTACTACTTGCAAGCCCTGCCGCCGCTACCACCAGCTGGACCTAAACATGTCTCCAGCAATAATCCACAAACCAAATACGGATCACAATCGCCAGCTGGTCGTCGGTCTTCAAAAAAGCCTTTACCCTTCTTCTGAACTCCCCGTTGGATTCGAATGGATGCTTTTCTGTTGGCAACTCCCCATGAAAACTTCTCAAATGGAGCAGTTTCAAATTTACCCGATAGGCGCATTCTATTACCCATTTCATCAACACTATAATTTTTCATATGTTTCATATGATTAGCTTCAAGTTTTTTGACACATTCTTCAATAAATTTGTACCCACCATCTGAGCGCATTGTTTTTGTACTGAAGTTATGGTGCATACCTATCCCGGGATGTTTCGGACCCATGGGTTTTGGATGATATGTTACATCGACGCCAAAGTCTTCAGCAACTCGCGACATGATATATCGCGAAATCCATAAATCATCTGGAGCTTTGATGCCTACAGTTGTACCGATTTGAAATTCCCAAGAACAAAACATAACTTCGGCATTAGTACCTTCAAAATCACAACCAGCATAGAGACAAGATTTTGCGTGACACTCAGATATGTCACGTCCTACGGCATACTTTGCTCCAACTCCACAGTACGAAAACTCATACTTTACGGCAGGGAAACCACCGCCTTTAGGCCAACCTAAGCCCCAGCCATCGACATCCAACATGGTATATTCCTGCTCCAAACCAAACCAAGGTTCTTCAGCCTTGTGGAACTCACATAAGTCGTTGCAAAACTTCCTGTGGTTTGTAGCTACTGGTTTACCATCACTTGTATAGACGTCACATAAAACTAAAACATGGGGCTCCATTCTAAACGGATCTCTGAAAACGGCACACGGTTTAAGAACGGTGTCCGAGTTATCGGTCGTTGCTTGTCCGGTGGAACTGCCATCAAATGCCCAGTTTGGTGCAGATTCTGGGTTATAAGGAGTGCAACTTAATATTCTGTCCTTATTTCTCAAATTTATTCCGGAACCATCAATCCATACGTATGTCGCAAGAACTTTATTACAGGGCATCGGTAGTCTCATGTACCTATCCACCACTTTTTTACTTAAAATATGATTTATAGAACACTTCATCATATGTCTTTTAGGGACGGTGAAAGAATTGTTTAGTTTTAAAATTAAAGAAATTTTTCGCAAGGAATTCATTTTTATAATAATTGCAATATTATTTTTTCAAACAAAATGTTACTAAAATTTTTATAAGCAATAAAAATTACAAACACTAATGGAGAGCTGCTGAGAAATAAAATGGATATTGGATTCGGATAATAATTATAAAAAGAACATTTTCAATTCTAATTTTTTTAAGGCTTTATAGTTTTTCTATGTTACCTCTTTTTGCCTGATAGCACACAAACTTTTTAGATCAGCGAATATTGCAATGAATTCGTTTTCTTATAAAGTTATTTATTCATACGTTTGCGCAAGTAACGCACATACTCGATACGGGTCACAATCTCCAGCTGGACGCCTGTCTTCAAGAAAACCTTTCCGCTCTGCTGCTACCGTCTTTTGAAGCCTTATTGAAGCACTGCGATCTGCAACTCCCCACGTACATTTGTTATAGGATGCTGTTTCAAATTTACCCGTTAACCTTTTTTTGTTTTCTTGTCCATCTCCAAGTCCATAATGTTTTATAAATATTTCATGCTTATTACATAAAATTTTGCAAATTCTTTGAATTTCCGTTAGTCCCTCTTTTTCTCTCATTTTTTTAGTGCTAAAATTGTGATGACATCCAATTCCCGGTTGTTTCTTACCCATTGGCTTTGGATGATAACTAATAATCGATCCATAATGCTCTGCTATTCGGTTAAGTAAATATCTACCTATCCAAAGGTCATCAGCTGCTTTAATTCCTAAGCTAGGACCAACTTGAAATTCCCAAGAACCTTTCATAACTTCTGCATTGGACCCTCCGTAATCCATTCCAGAATAAATGCATGCTCTGGCATGACATTCGACAATTTCTCTTCCTGCTATGTGTTCTCCATTCCCACAATAAGAAAAAAAAGATTTAACACTTGGGAACCCTCTACATTTTGGCCATCCTAGTGGCCATAAATCAGTGTCAAATATTGTATATTCTTGCTCAATACCGAACCATGGTTCTAGCTTTGAAATCTTACTAAGATATTTGGCACATTGCGCTCTAAAGTTAGTGGGAGTAGGTTTTCCGTCACCATAAACAGTTTCACAAAGAATTAATATATGGGGACTTTTACGAAAAGGGTCTTTATAGATTGCAGATGGTATGAGCAATGTGTCAGACTCATCAGTTTTTGCTAGACCAGTTGAGCTTCCGTCAAATGACCATTTGGGTACCATACTTAAATCACTCGGAGCTTCATCTAAAACACGATCTTTAGAGCGCAAATTGATACCACTTCCATCAATCCAAATATAAGTAGCTAACACTTTATCACTCGGTAAAGGTAAATTTATGTAATGATTAAAATAAGCATTTATAGGACTTCTTATTTTCGTCAACCCAGAAGTGTCTTGATATAGTTTTCTTGATTTAATAAAATGTGTTTTGAACATTTTTAGTAACGATAATTGTTTATTATACGTGGATTTAAAAGAAAACATTTTAAATTTTTACACAATAAACTAATATAAGTAATATGTTTATATTAAGTTATAAATTTAAATCAGTAATAACAAAAAATATATAAAAAAATTAAATGTAAAACCGGTTGGTTGCGAATGTCGAAAGAATTTTTATTGTATTATTAGACTTGTAATTATATTATGTACTAGTATGTAGTAGGGTCAAATATTTCAATGAGGTTGCATTGGGATTCTAAAATATAATTATAGATTATTCAGTATTTTAATTTCATAAGTATTTATAACAAAAGTTCTATGGAATATAAAAGGTATCGTACTACAATACAATGGAAAAATTTGTTTATATTAGGAAATATATTATATATAACCCGAATTTTAAAACCTTTGTTGGTCAGATAATACATGAGGTACAAAGTTTAGAATTTAGAGCATGTGTACAAGTTACGTGTTTTATAAGATAAGCCGAATAAATTAAAAAAAGTAGAATATGGGAATTTAGTGGTGTTTTGTTTACATTAAATTCTCTAAGTACCATATGACTAACGGACCTATCATATAATTAAGTATTCTTAACAGTCAGTAAGATTGAGTAGTAACGAATAAATATAAAAAAATAACTCTATACTCTCAAATTATAATTTATTTGTTTTTGTGTTATACTATTATATCTGTCAAATGCATAATTTCATATTATTGCATGATGCATCTCCGCCCTATGATTCTCTCTAGCATAATCATAGACAACAAGGAAAATTTAAAAACTTAAGGCCTCCGCCATTCTCATTCTTTTCTCTATTCCTGCCGTCATATGGCGTATTAGTGTGTTCGTTTGTCCGCCATATTAAATGAAATCAATAAAATAAGACAAAATGTCGACTTACTAAAGTGCGTAAATTTATCCACCAACATCCAGTTTTTGTGTGATTGAATCATCAAGAGGATGACAATGGAGAATTCATACGGTGTGGGGATCGTGAACAGATACGCTCTTTTTTTGGACGATGAGTCCGATCCTCTTGATGCGTTAAAAGCCCGTGAGCAAGCCAAGGAGCTTAAAAAGAAGACCAAAGAAGCTGAAAAAGAGAATAAAGGGAAACCTGAGGTTAAGGCTAAGAGCGGCAGTGTAGTTCCTCGTAAAGGAATCAAGGAAACCCAAAATGTGAAGCCTCAAGAAAATAAGAGCGGTGAACAACAAAAGAGCAAAGGACCGGCTCGAACTGGTGAACGACCTAGCGAGCGTCCCCCGCCTAGGCGCCGCGAAGAAAGGCCCCAAAACGGTGCGGTAGACGGCAAGGAAACTGCGCCGAGGCCCCCTCGTCGTGAGTTCAGTGACCGTCGTCCTAACGTTGAGCGACGCAACTTCAGCGACAACCCTGAGGGCGGTGAACGTCGTGGGCCGCGACCGCCGCGTGAACCACGTGAGGGGCAGCGCGGTCCGAGGCCGGGATACGATAGTCGGGGCAAGCGTGAGTTTGACAGGCGGTCCGGTTCCGATAAGACCGGCGTGAAACCCGTCGACAAGCGCGAAGGGGGTGGTCCCCATAACTGGGGTACCATCAAAGACGACTTAGACGAGTTGCAGAAGACTGGATCGGAGGGTGAGGTTGCTGACGAGAAGGTTGCAGATGTTGCCGCCGCCGGAGATGGTCAACAGCCCGACGCTGAGCGTACGGTGCCTGCCGAAGAGGAGCCCCGCGAACTGACTCTGGACGAGTACAAGGCGTTGCGCAATGCACAGCGCATGGCGCCACAGTACAATCTGCGCAAGGCCGGCGAAGGTGAAGACCTGAGCCAGTGGAAGAACCTGGTTATGCTCGAGAAGAAGAAAGAGGGCGGAGAGGACGACGAAACTGACGAGGAATACGATATGTCTGACTATCCGCAGCGCGTGGGCCGTCAGAAGCGCGTTTTGGGTATCGAGTTCACGTTCAACGATACGGCGCGGCGCGGCGGCACGGGCGGGCGCGGGCGCGGACGCGGGCGCGGGCGCGGACGGGCCCCGCCGCGCGAGGAGCCGCAGCCCGAGGAGCGCCCGCTGCCGCGCAACCAGGTCGCGCCTCCCAAGGTCGACGACAGCAAGGATTTCCCCTCTCTCAGCTAGACTCGCAGTGAGTCCTCCTTCTCCCCTTTTGAAAGTACTATAGAAATACAAATTAATATTGTATGTACCGTTATTTTTGAAGTAAATATACAAAATATTTACACAAGTGTGTATTATATTACAAATTTTATTTGTTGGGGCATTGACTGTCTCCTCATCTTCTGATGCAGGGATCGCTAATTGAACTTCTTCAAGTCTTACTAATAGTTGTTTTATTTTGTGGTGCAATGAAGGGGGGAGGATACATTTAAGTTTTAAGTTTGAATTCACATAGCTGCATTAAAGCGTACGAATCTATCATAACAGTAGCTTTTATCATATTGTATTCACAGCTTTATGTTTTAACTTTTATGAGTTATAGATAAGGTTTTAACTTACAGACTGTGACACACTAATGAATTAACTCCGTCACAACTTAGCATAGAACATTGTGAAGAAATAACTCTTGTTGCATTTTGTATCATGAGTTTGTGTTGACAAATGCAGACTTTTGGAACTGTAAATAGTTATATATGTTTTAAAAGATAAGGTCATAAAAACAAGGTTGATTTTTGTTGTTACACAAACTTCTTGAAAAATAAAACATTTTGTATGTGTGAAATTTCTTAATTATTTTATATATAGACAAATCTTTTACATAAAATTTGTGTCCATTATGATTAACCTTTAATATTTCCTCCCCCTAACATTTTCTTAGAAAAGAGGTTTAGAGGTTCTTTCCTCCTGAGGCTGCCAAAATTCAGCCTTTATAAATTTTTGATTTAATCTATAGATGCACATATTCGGAATTGACATTATTACTGGCAGAGTTTTAGTCTTCATCAAATAGTTTGTTAATATATACTAGTTTCGATTATTAGGTTAACTTGATACAGTATACAAAATTTACTCTTATAAAGGTAGCCAACTAGTTCTCAAGGCCACAATTGGAATGGAGATTTAATTACTATTATAAGTTTGTCCTGTTAAGACCTTTGTACTCATTAACATCAATAGTGTTTGTGGTACATGATAACTGGTTTGTGGTTAACCAAGGAGATAATAGAAAAATCAAACAACTCTTTGTAAGTAATGTTGTATATTGACACATTTTATCACATTCACACAAAACAAATTACTTAAAATTTACACAATAAAATATTCAAAGTAGTTAAATATTCAACATAATAGAGCTATTACTTACAAAAATGAACATAAACTTACACCTTAAGTGTATATTACAAAAGCACAATAAATAATGTTTATATACAATTGCAACCAAAACCATCATAGCTTATAAAAACATCCCAATATATTGTTCATGTAGCCAATAGAACCACCAACTTAATTTTGAGCAGGAAGTTGAAATAAGTATTACATTTAAAGAGGAACATTTTCTACAACAGTAATCTTAAATCACATTCATAAGTTGACAATTTTATAATAGTACCTTAGAAATTATTTTTATGGTATATTGATGATGCATACAAGCAATTATTGATTAGCTGACTAGGTAGTATTTGTAAATTGAAGATTTTGGTAGCTTCTGTTTCAAGCAATAAAGATAATTTTTTAATACTTGGGTACTTAATACTTTTTGTATTTAGTTCTACCTTCAAGTTTATTTGTCATAAACAGCTGAACGTTATTATGGGGCAGATTTAATGGTTGAAAGCACAACAAAACATATAAATTAGTGATACATAAAAGCATAATATCTAAAACACGGACTTGAGCCCGCTTCACAGCCACAGTATAATATGTTACTTACAATAAAAGCTTTAATAAAGTACAAACTCGATAAATACATAACTAATAAGTGGCCTGAAGTTATAACGATGGACCCCTTGACATCTACCGCACTACAATCGTTATAATACAGGTGAAAGTTACACAACTATCTTTGTATGCTCGACTACACTATCAATTGACTACTATTTACACAGACCGTACAATAATTTACATTTTCCACGTCCGATATTACATAAGTGATTTGGTTTCTAAGCGGCACGCGCGGCGTGGACCGAGCGTTGGGCTCACTCGATGCCGAAGGTGTTCGTCTCCTCGACGGCTAGAAGCAGCTTCTCGTATAGCAGCTTGGCGGTGGGGTAGGAGGGCAGGTCGAGGCGGTTGAAGCAGGTGTGCGCGCGGGGCAGCGACTCGATGCGGCCCCAGCGCTCGATGCAGAACCGGCGCGGGCCCGTGGAGCCGCGCAGCGCGGCGAACCCCTCGTACGGCACCGATGACGTCCCCGTCACGAACTGCACCAGCCGCAGCCGCTGCTCGTTGCTGAACCTGCGCCGAGATAGATAGAACGTATAGCGCTTGGAAATATGTTCGGTTGCGCTGTTAAATATACGGATGTGATTTGACATCGAATGAAGATACTATAGTTGATGCTCTACTTTTGGCGCGTTTGGGAAAAATGAGAGTGGATTTTTACGATGCGACACTAACTTCGTGGTGTTACCAGGCAACTAATAACAAATTCCTTTACGGGCTTACATGCTACTTATAATTCCAAGTTATTTAACTAAACTGTTATCAATTGCATTTATTTTTTTTTCCACAAAGAAAGACAGGATCAAAATTTACTTTTTCTTTATTTACGCGAAAGAGTTAGAAATTCTTGCTTGTGTATATAAATACAATTGCTTTTCTTTTTGAGATAGGTCAGTGTTAGGAAATATAAACTAGGAAAATTTAATCAATCCAGTAGTTGTAGTTTTTCCGTGATGCGCGTTCAACATTCTCTACCATTTCATTTAAATGGAGAATAAAAAATGATAGAAGATAAATACTAGCAGGTGATTACCGCTCGCTCCTACTCAATACCACCTGTAAGACGGCAGATGGGTGGCTAACCTTTTAAAATAGCGAGTCCTGGTTATGTAATATAGTGCAGAAGCTGTAGAACATTTTTAATAGATTGCTTTGGTATTGGTAAAGTGAAGTGTTGTAGGATTTTTTTTCGTCTACACTCCTCTATAGTTGAACGGATTAGAATGTAATTAAGAAAATATACCCTATATTATCTGACCAAAAATAAATACGGCAAAGCCCCGTGTTACACTGGTTGAGACAATAATTTAATTATTTCTCAATGGATGTTAGGATATAACGATTGGCACAGTATGTCGACTCACGGATCTGAGGTCGAGTTTTAATGCCATTAAATTCTAGTAAGAGCTCTTCAGAACTCAAGTTACTTCATATGTTGCTATGGGCCGTGATACGATTTGCGCATGTTACATATTATCTACAATTGATAAAATACCTAAAAAAACTGACTAGCGTGGTAGCTGAAAGCCTTGATCCCGCGTTATCCGTGCATAACTTTGGAGGAAATAAGGAAGGAAGAAATATATTATTGTGTACTCGACGAGCAGATACCTTCTTGACCCTAAGTTGGCCCATAAATTGCTAGAAAGTGGATATTAGTTTAGTGCGATACCTACATAGTTTGTGCTGAACTTTCTCGACACAATATTGATATTACAATATTGATATTTTATTATATAATTATGTATTGGTTAATTGTAATGATGCTTGTTATCGCACGTCATTTAAAAATAATAGGAGGTAATTTTGAAATGCTTAACACAAGTTTTAAAAATAAACATAGGATGGCGGTTATAAAAATAGCAGTCTTGGGAGGCATCCACTGAAAAGCGATGACCGACGAAATATTTAATTTATGCAGTTCGTACTGTTGGGCAGAGGTTTATGGCGGAGAGTATTAATGTCACGTGGCACAGAAGCACAAATTTTGTTTTCTTGTCTACTAGTACTAGTACCAGTCTATATTATGTTCCACTGCTGGTCAAAGACCTTACTATAGGCACGCGACCCCACTATCGATAAGTAGAATTTACATATCTTCAAGATCTTTTATAATATTATCTAGAATACAAAGCGAAGCGGCTTTATTCAATTTGTCGTGACCGGGCCCTCTGCTTTTTTGGACACATTATGCGATCGTCAAGGCACAGTCTCGATAAGCGGTTTATTATAGGCCAGATTAACGGCAGACGTGCTCAAGGCAGGGCATAGACAAGATGGGCTGATATAATGAAGAAAGCGGTAGGGGGCAGCATGCAACGCGCAGTTCTCACCGCCAACGACCGCACGCAGTGGAAGAGAACGACATGATCATGAACCTCAGAATTGAGGGACTGAGCAAGAAGAAGAATAATATATTTGTATATCTTGACGACCCGAATGGCGTAATGGGCAGTGTACCTGCTTCCTCCGCCAGAGGGTGTGTGGGTTTATATTTTGACTTCAAATTTCTGTTATCAATTTAGTGTACACCGTTACTCTTTTACTACTATTTTTACTATCTTCCTTTACTAGGTTGTCTGGAAGAAATCGCTTTTTAGCGATGAGGCCACCTATTGTACAGTTTTGTATTATTTCTTGTTGATTATTCAATATCCGTTGTTTGTGTACAATCAAGTATATTTCATTCTTTAATTCCTTCGATTCCTACTAGTGGAAAAGTATATGTTGAACATAGTGTATTTCTAGTGTCAGGGTGTTTATATGTATATGGATAACATCTATTTACAAAAGAAAAGTATGTCCAAGTATGTCACTTATCTAGTACCCATAGTACAAGCGTCGCTTAGTATGGGACTAGAGAACGTTGTGTAAAAATGTGTCCTACAATGTCCTAAGGTTTTTTCGCGACTCTCTCCTTTCAAAACCTTGTGCATTACGCGTTACCTGTCGATGGCTTGCCAGAACCATATGATGACGGGGTGGCCGTCGTGGTACCCGCCGCGGTACTCCGTGTTCTCGCGCCAATCGGCCACGTCCAGCTCTGGCGCGCCGGCGATCACCAGCTCCAGCTCGCGCGCGTCGAACGCCGCCACCAGCCGCGGATCCACCACCTGTCGACACGCACTCGTTAAATATCTCGCCCTGTATTCATTTTATAATTGATTTTCAAGAGTTCCCTCCGTATCTCCGGAGCCCAAGATCCAATACCAATGAAATTAATATGGGATAATATGGGGAGCACCAGCTTTTAAACAAAAAAAGAATCATCGATATCGGTTCTCTCAGTATAAAGTTCTGAGTTAACAAACAAAAAAAAAATACAGTCCAATTGAGAACATCCTTTGTTTTTGAAGTCGTTTGAAAATGGACGAAGTTTCTCGCCGCAGCGGGAACGTTGTTGTTTTTAAAGACTAGTTTTTAAAGAGACGATATCCACGAATTGAGAATGACGTTAGGCCATCAAACGAAGTTCATGGATAATCAATACATTATTCGTTTTTCGGGCCTTTTAGTTTTATTTATTTAAAACAAATCATAACTAATGTTTTTTCAAAAGCTTTTATAGTGTCGAAACGTAGGTAATTGAAGGTGGAATGCGATGACGATTTTATCCAAATGGACCTTTCGTCCATTTTCAGACAATTCAATAGTTTTGTATTTTGTACACATTCAGAAAATCATGGGAAATAATCTTTCAGATTACTACTGTGACAAAAATTTACAACAATTAAATCAATTTAAATAACGCTCAAGTCCAAGGCTAATCGCAGTCTAGTGTAATCGCAATTGTCTAGTATTAGTATTACAACATACGAACTACTTTTTTTTGTTATTGAGTAACTTAAGAAATACCTATAGCAAGAAATGTTGCTATATTTTTCTGCTTTATGCTTTTTTGAGATATAAGTACCTACAAAAGGCTTAACATCTGACTTTGTATGTTTTTGGTAGTAGATGCCGGAAATTACGTTTACATCTGCTTAAAATTAAAATATATTTGACGTAAATTTTTGCGTAGTCATTTTATATTGTGGGCGATATAAACAACATTTTAATCGCGCGTCAGTTTTAATTATTATGACCCATTAAATTCCTATCAATGCCAAATCTTTAGGCAAGAATGGCATATCTTGAATGACATTTGGCTGGCTCAATTTTGGAATAGTGCTTGTATGATTTGCTTCAAAAAGTAATTAAATGAAGGGAATCGGCTAATGTGTCAGTCATTTGACTGGCGTGAGTTTCTTTACTTTGAAATTACAACACGTTATTTATGTATCCGTCAGTAGTTACCTAAGTGTTATTTTCTCAGCTCATTGTTTCGCTTTTTTTATTAACTGCTTGCGTGGCAATACGTGCCGTGTACTCAAGATGTACAATGAATAAATAAAAATATTTTTTTTGACTGAAAACAGATAAATAATAGATATCCAATGAGTAGTAGGTAAATAGTAAGGAAATATTCATATATTTTGTTGAAAGATGCATTCGGTGTTGCTCGCATTTACATTTACACCACCGACATGTATTGATATTTTTGGAATTTCTCCCAGCAGCACCACCGGATACGTTATTAATAGATTCTTGACACGTTTGGCTACTCTTGGATACTAAAAGTGGAGAATAAGTGTTTGTTGTGACTCGGTTTATTACGCACTGCGAAGTATCGTAAGCCACGTAATGTGGTAAAGAAATTAGCATAGTTTTGCTGTTTTGAAGGATGCTAGATTTTTCTGTTGCGTTATTTTTTTTTTTTTCATTTGGCAAAAACTAGCACGTTAACTACACTAACGTGATACCGCTAATGAGTACGAGCCCCACCACATGAATTGGTCGGCTCTGGCGAAATAGCGCGGAAGAACTTCGTGAAATGGAAGTGATATACTTTTACGTGTCCGAAACTGACTTAGGACCTAAGTCTAAGGTGAACGGAGTCGCACTCCTGAGGGTTGGCAACGCACTTCGCAACAGTGCTGTGGGCCCGTTTGCCTGCACATCTTATAAAAACTGGAGAAGCTGGGAACGAACGATCATATAGTTTGATGGAAAAAGAGGCAAACACGCAATGGGTTCACCTGTTCTTAAGAGACCTTCGGGGCGGCAGAAGCTTTGCCACTGAATTAGTAAATAAACAAAACTATTATCATGCATAAATCATATTATCGAATCCAAACGTTCCGCTGGTGATGTGAACTTATCACGGGCTGGTTATGTCTATGAGATATGTTCAAATTACATTTCGTCTTGTAGTATTGAAGCAATAATATTCTTGGTAACTTTATAGGTTACGTTTTTGTTATCTTTCTTCTTTATCTCGATATCAACAAGTTTGGTTTTTTTATTTTTATTGTAAAAAATGGGCGCCGGTCGCCTCACTCGAGTGTAGCCGCGTGAGAAGCTGTAAGAAAGGAATAGGAGAGTGGGCTACCTTAGCAGAAGCCGCACACGTGCGACCCTCTAAAAAAGTGGGTACCGACACCCGAGTACGTGTGCGTGCGTGAAGCGAGAATGGAAGCAGTGCCCACCTCGTACAAGTCTTCTAACTCGACTTTAGCCGTGTGAGAAAAGAAAAGAAGAGGATAGAACAGGAGGGGAGACGGCGTCCACCTAGTGGAAGGCGCGCACAAGCCGCCCTCAAACGCGCACCAGCGCTCAAGCGTAGCCGCGCGAGAAAGGGAAAGAAGATGGTAGAAGAGGACGGGAGATGGCTAACGGCCACCCACCTCGTGGAAGCCGCGCACCAGCCACTATAAAATGCAGCGGCACTCAAGCGTAGCCGCGCGAGAAAAGGAAAGAAGAGGATAGAAGAGGACGGGGGGATGGGTACCCACCTCGTGGAAGCCGCGCACCAGCCACTCGGTCTGCGCGGCGACGCCCCGCTGCACGCGCCAGCGCACCACGCGCTCGAGGTACTCGTGCCGGTTGCGCTCCGTGACGGGCGTGTCGCGCCCGCCCGGCTTCAGCTCGCGCTCGAGCACGCGCCCGTCCGCCAGCCGCTCCGACACCGCGAACGTCAGCTCCAGCGAGGACACGCACCGCGCCGACTGCCAGACACGCACAAACACACATAAGCGAATGCCAGTACAAAGATCTCTTTCAATATACCAAAGATTACGTCGCCGACTATGCAGCACACATACCAGCGACCGTCGGTTCATCGATCTCTTTTCGAACAACAATGATTTAGTTGCTAGCTTAGAGTTGCCAACTACGGAACACACACACACACACACACGAGCGACCATCAGTTCGACAACATCTTTTCACACCAATGATCGTCATACGTTGCTGGCTCGGAGTTGACGTCATATGGTCAATTATCTCTTTTAATTCTACGTATGGAAAACTAGCGGATTTGAATTCAACATGTTTTCCCATGGCGCATTTGCCAAGTTATTTCGATGGTTCGATTCTCACACGGAACAACTATTTGTCAACTCAGACCACACAGATAATTATCCCGGTTCAGGAAGATTGTCCATGTGAAATTCATGTATGTAAAACGTCCTTACAATACAAGATAATGATTTACTACAGTACTGTTTCGAAGTTTACGCCACAATCCTACAGACCATATAAAGCTTGACTGATAAACACGCCGCCCATGGAAATTTGCAACACCCGTAGAGTTGAAGGTGTGTTGCCACCTTATAATAAAGTGGACCCCGGCTACCTCACCCACAGGACGAAACGCAGAAGTATTCCACTTCACGCCGGCCTTCTGTGCGTTCGTGTTAGTTACCCGGACGGACCTGCCCGTTCTTTTAACTTTGGCCCTACCACAGTTGAAGGGCTACTAGAGGCTAAAGCTTCTACGGTCCGGGGTACACTGATGTATATGCCGGAAGCTATTCGCGTTTACCTGCAGCCAACGCAGCGAGGCGGCGAACTGGGCATCCAAGGCGTCGACGTCCTCCAAGGCCGGGGCCAGCCTGAGCAGAGCGCGGTACAGAGCCCGCGTGAACCAGGCCTCCAGCAGGTAGCCGTGCACCAGCGCCAGGCCGAGAACGCGCCCGGAGAAGCGAAACCTGCAAGAGAGCCCTCGAGTGAAACCGTTTCTCGTGCATCTGAGTGTTATCGTGAGTTTTCATGGAACAGACAAGCGGACGGATCGACAAGAAAACCTATTTTTGACTGATTTATTTGAGGAGGAGAAAAGAGTCGTTTCACTTGGGGAATCTCATTTATTACGTCGTTTAACAATTTATTCAATTTCTCACACACCATTACGATTTTTTGCCATCCCTTTCACACTCAGGCTCTTTTCTTTCGTTCGATGCGTTTCATGCATTATTAACTCGTTCATCCCACATGTATTCTAGAACGCGTTAGTACATTTTTGAAATATTTTCAGTAGGCCATATTCGGTTTAGATAGGTTTTTGAATCGGAGATGGTGGTCGACTATGTTTGTGATGTGAAGTCTTTTTATTACGCCGTAATTTGTCGTTAATATCGGATATCGATTTAATACACTGCTATCAAAAGTTCCTCTTTCAACACAGGGATGAAATAATTACCAGGTAACGTAAGAGGGTTTGAGGAACGTCACACGTCAATCCACAACAATATTAGGTTACCCGAACCCATTGTATAAAAAGAAATATACGCTCAGCTGTGTCCGCGAGTGCGTCGTCACTGTTTCTACGAAACTGGATATTCCGTGTAATTTGATCATCGAGAAACGTGTGCGTAGTAAGGGACTTGAATTCAGCAAAAAGGGCACAAAAAGTACATTTTGTTTGTGCTAGATAAAATTTAAGTTTCCCTACTGTAGCGCATATTAAATAAATTTAAATTATTATGCCACATCACATGGTTCATTGTTAAGTTTTAACGTACTATAATGTTAAAAATTGTTACGAGTTTCAACGTACTATATAGTTAAAAAATTGTCGAAATGATTCAATTTGCTAAATCGATCGGAACTTTTATTAATTTGAAAAGATAATATTTGATCACTTGAGACTTATTATTTTAAGTCCTCGTATAAATGAACCGCGAAGTTATAAATATTGATTTCTTGCTTTTACTCGAATATTATACATATTTAATGAATCATTGGAAAGGGTTCCAAACGTCCAGAATTAAAACGTGATAAAATTCGTAAAAAAACTTTCATTTAATAGCTATGTTATTATTTAGAATAGTTATAATGTAATTCATCGCACGCTTCCTTGTTTAGGGTGTATCGATCGATAAATTAATGCGGGAACACATTAGAAACGAACGACGATTACTATTGTTTGTCGTACAATAAAAATATTCATAGCCCAAATAGATACAAAGACAACGACTGCAATACAATTATCTGTAACAATCGACGGAAGCCAATACATTAGCGATGACAATTATATTGCATTAACGTTTTAGTGATGGATCCCTACAACGTTCGTGACAAGAACGGGTTTATGGACTGTGTACTACATTAAATACTGACTATTTTGCTTTGAATATTATAATAATATTTTTTTTCAATAATTATATGTTTTGTAAAGAAGGTGAAATGGTCTCTAACGGTTCAGATTTATTTTATGTCTTTATATTACTTATGGGAGTGAGTGTGCATTAAAAAAGTAGCTAGTTCCGAAATAAAATATGGGGATTAAATACTTTATGTTTGACAAGTATTTGTTTTGTTAGTTTTATACCTATAAATATTGAGTACCTATTATATTTTTATACTTGTAACACTTGGAAACATCAACTTCGACCCAAATACGTTTTTTTTTAAAATCTAATAAATTTAAATTGCATTTTTAGCTTCTTAATTTCTTAGATTTTCCGTTGGCGTCGTGGTACTGAGCGCCATCTCTGAAAAAACGCGTAAACACCGTAATGCTAATTGCTAATCATAGTAAAATTCTTGGCTCTGTTCAGGTCCTGCTATTGAAAGTGTCATGGAGGCAAGCCGTAACAGCGATGCCCTTCGCATGTCTCGCGGGTTCCGTGTCCGCCGCACGGAATCAAATCAGCGTTAACTTTGCCGCGATAATGCGTCGATTACACGCCATTACAGAAAATTATCTCTGTTACATTGGTTATGTTGGAGGTTTAAGTTAATCGGATGCCGTTGGTAGCGAAATATGGAGTGAGATGAATATATGGTCGTAATGAAATAGAAGTGATGAAGTATTTTAATAGTTTCTAAATGGAGTGTGAAACGGAGTGTTCATGCTAAAAAGAATTAATTCAAATTTATCATTACATCAGTGATCAGACATTAGATGGCTAATTTCGAAATTTATATTCTCGACATGTTAATGATTGGCGATCTCAACGTTCCCTTCCAATCTCAGTGGCAAGTGGCTGAAGAATCAGATGACCGATTTTTCGGATTCTATGTACAGTATACCGTGCCAAGGCTGTCGCGTTTGTAACTCGGGAGTTTGTTAACGAACTCGGAGAGGTGTTGGCAAATTACCCAACCCTTCCTATACCACTAGAATCAAGTCTCATGATGGTTTCCTCTACGATTCGTTACTTAGGCAAGTAGTGTTACTATTCGCAAAGACATGTTCTTCGATTAGTTCGACAAGTAGTTGCTATCCGCTCACCACTCCTGATGGTTGTCGACGAAGGCGGACATCGGCGACACGTGCACGGTGTAAGTGTCGTTCGCCGAGTACTCGAACAGACCGTAGTAGGGGTTGAACAGTTCGCGCGAAAGCAGGAAGAAGAACTCCCTGCTGGGGCCCCCGTAGTCGAGCCCCTCCTCGCCGTCCCACAGCACGCAGAGCTTCCCCTTCTGCAGCTCCTTCTTGCCGCAGGACATGATGCGGCGGAAGGCGTCCTCGAGTAAATGCTCGCGACGGATGTGCAGCCTGGAACACGCGAGGCGAGTTTGAACACTCAGATTGCGTACAACTACGTTTGTGCCGAAATAATAAATATTTGAGGGACAGTGAACGCAAATAGAACATGATAAAAATGAAATGGAATAAATGTTATAATTGCGTTCACCACTGAGGACAAATTTTTATATTATTCTCTAGTCCCAAACTAAGCAACGCTTGTATTAGGTAATAGAGAACTGATAAACATATTTAAACATGCTTTACTTTTGCTTTACAGTGGAAAAACATTTTGTTCAACATACATTATTTTTGCCATTAGTGGGTATCAAATCTGAGTTGGTTTTCATTGAGGGGAAATGATGGACTGACGACTTAAGAAAGGTGGCAGGCAGCGGATGCTTGCTGCTGCCCAGGACCAGGATAGTTGGCGCACTTTGGGGGAGGCTTACGTTCAGCAGTGGACGGTAATAGGCTGATATTGGGTATCAAACCCACATCTTCTAGCATAATAGGATGGTGGTTAGGTCAAATTACAGCCTAACTAAGTGTATGAATGATTTTTTTAAGAGGAGTGAAAACTCAGTCAAGTCACCCGAACGAATACTATAATGACATACAGATGACATACGTATCAATGATCAATTAAAATTATCGAAATGTTTTTGGCAAAACATGTAAATGACTTGTGTAAGAAGGGTTTTTGATGTGAGTTGAGGCTCTAGTCATTTTATTGAAATAAAACAATGACTGTTTACCTCGCAAAGGATACCTATTTCATTCAGTATTTTCAATTGGTCGACATCGACGGAGAATCACAAAACTATTCTTTTTTTAATTTGAAAAGGCTCCATTTCCAGTAAAGCCTGATGGTTCGCTATAAATTTTAAACCAAACCGATCCATTTTTGTATGCAGTGGATTACCAATGAGCAAGTAGAGTGGTCTTAATGGAGTTCAGATCTCAATTCATTTGCTAGTAAAAAATCTTATATAATCGTTTATCGTAAAACTCATTTCAGCGATCTATGGTTATAGATTTCAGTTTATAGTTTAAATGCTTTTCACCGACGAACTGCGCTTACGGTCATCGAGGCTCGTGCGTCGAAACGAGCTGTGTGCAAATACAATTGACGCTGCTACTCACTTCAGCTTCCCCGGGCCCTGTCCGTAGCCCTTGCTCTCCAGCTTGCGGTAGAAGGCGCGCAGCTTCGCCTCGAAGTCGCGGCGCTGCGGCGCCGGGGCGCGGGTGGAGCGGGCGGCCGCGGGCGAGGCGGCCGGCGAAGGGCACACGCCGCACCCACCGGCCGGCACGTAGCTCATTATCTCCTGCTCGAACAGGCTGCGACGGAAACGGACAGTTCTCATACAATGCCTGGACTGTACGCAGTGGCGGATTTATAGTCTTGGCCGCCCTAGGCCCCAGCCCATGTAGTATGTTCCAGCCGCCCCTTTCTCCAGCGCCAACGTATATCTTGTTATTATCAGTGAATTTCTTGTCACAAATGGCCGCCCCTAATATGTGGCCGCCGTAGGCCCGGGGCTATTGGGCCTTAGGGCAATCCGCCACTGACTGTACGCAACATCTAAGCTGTAGGAAACGTTATGTAAGAAGATGCCAAGCCAGCTAGTGGGTCACCTGATAAGGGCTAACCGCCGCCGATTCTCATATGCAACACCCGCATAGTTGCAGATGCGTTGTGACCTTTTAATAAGCGTTCCCCGGCTATAGCACTCACCAGACGAAACGCAGAAGTGTAATACTTCCAACTCACGCCCGCCTTTTGTGAGGTTGTGGTACTTCTCCGGACGGACCTGCCCGTTCGTGCAACAGCGAAATAAATAAATAAATAATGATATCGATTATGCTTGCCATAATCAGTCGAAACCTTTCTACCTACACCGCCTGGTGTGTACACTTTAGAAAACAACGTTCAGTTTGTAATTAGTTCGGTTTTAGACACGACGAACCCTGACTAAGTGATATCAATTATGGTCGTCTTATAATCAGTCCAAAGCTTTACACCGCCTATGAGGCTGAGACATAATAGTGAGAATGAAGGGCTGAACGACAATATAGCGAGCGACATTCATTGTTAAGAGAACCAGGGTTTATGGGCGTCAGATCTAGTTAACTCATGGCGTAAACGAATAATAAAACCTCTTGCAATAGAGAACGACCATACAAAGAAAATGTCGTGGACACTTCTTTAATGTAAAAACACAGGTTTAACAGGTTTTGAAGATCTTCTGATGATGGACAAGATTATAATGGACTAGATAGAATATTAAATGTCTGGATGAATTGTATGAAACTCTTAATTTCTCATTTAATCGTTTTCTTGAACTCAAAACACGTTTTTTTTTTCAATCCTTAAAGTGATAATATCTCATATATGTGATAGCACTACTAGTATTTGTGATAATTATTGCAAAATGTAAACTCGATGTTTCATGTGCACCAGACAAAGTATACCGGACGTAAGTGCATTTAAGTAATATCCGTTTGTTATCTTGGCTATCTGAAAAATTGTGCAAACAACCTTATTTTTAAAAGAGGCGAGCGCGAAAGTCCTCTCATCTGGTTAGTAGAGCGTTGTGTTAAAATTATGGTGTAGCATCGAGGCTGGCGCAGCAATGGACTATATTGTAGTAATGTAGTACTTTACGTGTATTGTATTTCGTACATAACATCAAATATTCTAGAAGTTCTTACAGTGTACACTGTAAGCTTGCTGAAATGATATACCAAGTGTCTCTTTCAAAAAGACGATGATTTTGTTCACTTAATTCGTGTCCTTTCGTAATGCTAGTTTTTCGATATCTAGCATAAGTTTACTCTTTAAATGTGTAGTCTTCTTTAATTTAAATATCAAATAGCAATGGCAACATTGGAAAGTCGAATCCCGTTCGAATTATCGTTGTAAAACGATATTTATTTTTAATAACGATAAAATTGTTTGCATGCTCTAAAGGATGTAAAAACAATGTAGGTAGAAGACGTTGATATTTTCGTCAGTGTGGCAATCAGCTTTAGCCAGTTCAGCTTAGTGGTTAAAGGGTCTTTGGGCGCGTATCCGGAAGACTTGGGTTCGATACCCGCAATGGCGAAAAACTTTTCATCCATAAAAAAAAAGTAAAGTTACAGCCTATACATGTCCCACTGCTGGGCAAAGGCCTCCTCTATACAGAGGGTATCAGGGCATAGACCACCACGCGGCCCCACTGCGGATTGGCGGACTTCACATATTTACGAAATATATTATTTCGAAAATATGCAGGTTTCCTCACGATGTTTTCCTTCACCGCGGAGCACGTGATAAGTCAGCACTTAAAGTTAAAAACTTCATTGGTGCCGGCACCGGGGTTCGAACTCAGGTTGCTCGAGTATATTGAATTAAAGGCGAGCGCCCGGACACTGAGCTATCACGGCTCCATCCATATTTCTACAAATTTTAATGTTTCATCAAATGCTGATATTAACACCATAAAATTTAAATTATCTTTCTCAATCAATATTTACCATATTTATTTTTAATAACTGCATTTTACCGATGTCTTATTTTCTAGGCATGCTATTAAGAATCACGTAGTAATGTAAGAAACACCATATCTATCCAATGTCATTAATTTTTGATACAAAGACAAAAGGAACATAGAAATCGTTAGTTTCTCGAAACAGCAGGAGATTTAAGACCGAACCTCGGATTTTGGTCACAGATCGTTTAACCGAACGACTTTGACTCGCTATTTTTAAACATTTCATTTATTGCTACACAAACTCTTAATATTTAACCTTTTTAAAACCATTTCATGCAAAGATGAAATAGTCATAAAATAAATATAGTATTAGATTTATATAAAATATGTATCAAAGTTGCCTTATTACTTAAGGATTATTTTTAAGTTGGAATGATGTTCGGAGTTTTTTATTTATTTTTAATTACCTCAATCCAATAATTTATTATAGCAATACGGTATGGGTGTGACTGGGCACGACTTTTATTATGTGATGGCATTTAAACGCTAATGATGGCGTTTGCGATAAATTTATTTTTTGTAAAAGGATATTATGTGTCTGTTTACTGTTACTTAAATATCAGTTAAGCGCGTCAACTAATAATAAAAAAATAAAGACTATATTTTTATTGTAACGTTGGAATCGGTAAGTTACAAAACACCTCTCAGATCATCTCCGATGGAAAATAGAGGATTTGCAGATCGAGTAACCTAACTTAGTTTATTCGTAAATATCGAAGTGATTTTTTTCTTTTTTTATGGAAAAGGAGTAAAACGAGCAGGCGGGCCATCGATGGTAAGTGTTCACCGCCTCATGGACACGCGGAACGCCGGTATGAAGGTCCTTATGTTGTATCGGAAATAATGCTGGCAACAAATGATTTCCTAACTTAGTTTTGCGTGGAAGAAAGTGACGTAAAAAACGCACAGTCAAGGACTGCCAACCATTGAGGTGGTCCCCATGGTCGTCTTCTATATCCCTTAAGAAGCCATTATGCCAATACAACTTTGTTCATAAACGATATTAAAATGTTAACAAAATAAAAATATATAGCTATGACGTATAAAATAACCAGGAACTTAGGGACACAAAACTGCAGAGATCTCTTTTCATTCAATCACTCTTGACTTCTTCAAATCGTAGTCGTTCGTAGTTAGTGTGTTGTTCCGCAGTACAATCAGAAACTTATTGGGGTAGCTTTGACAGGCTTTATTCCAAACCTACGTACGTCTACGAATCCGAGATGTATCGTCGTTAATTGCATATTAATCATCAAATTACTTGCTCAACGATTAGTTTGAGGCATAATTAATGAGCGCGCAATTTATTTACCGACGGCGTGGTGGCGATGCAACGGCAGATGTGGGAACTGGGACGATGCAAACGCGACAGAGGAAACGAGTCGCGATCTTTGGCGGAATTCGTAATTGTTTTGTAATTTGAAGAGATTTTCACTCGAAATACCATCATTTTAAAAGTCCGAGTACTGCTAATTAGAACATTTTGGAATCGAGGAATAATTGAAACTAAACCACCATGGACTTCCCTATTCGTCGTTAGACCGCGTGGCCTTTTGTAAAACGATCAATTTTTTTTTAACAATGAATGTCTTTTCGCAACATTTTCACACTTCGGGTTCGAGTTTCAACATAAACAGAGATGATAATTGTTTCGCAAGACATTATGTTACAGTAAAATGGATGCCGTAATGCCATGGCATTATATCATAACTTAGGTTGATTATTAAATATACACATAAATATTTTATTATTAACAAGTTAAAAATCGTGTTAAATATTTAAAGAAGTAATTTCAATCAAGTTGCGACTTAAATATCCAACAGGTTTAAAAGTATTCTTTGTTTTATTTCAAATATTCTTTGTCTTCTTTGTAACACAAAACACGGTAAAAGTAAAATTATTATAATAACAGAAATGCCCGTGAGGCGCATTTGAAAAAGTGTTTACCTGATTACCTGCCGGTGAACAGAGGTGAAGCGAGCGCCTAGACCGGTGTCGTTCTTCGACGTATTCATAAGCCTTCTTTATACACTGTTACAAAATAACCACGCGTTGACGATCCGACCACGTTAACTTTGCCATTTTCTAGTTTATTGCCCTAACATTATAAACACAAAAGTACTTATATGTGTCTGTATACTCACCATATCTGAACAAAGTCGAATGAAATTTAACATAAGAGGTTAAATGATTTTGTAGCACGTTTCAGATTATTTACCCTTTAAAAGTCAACTTTTTTATTCCAAAACAATTTGCAGGCAAAGCCGCTTATTATTCGCGTATTATTGTTGCACACGAAAGAATAAACATGTTTCAAACAAAGTGAGACACTAATCGCGAACAATCGGAAATATCCATAGTGTCAAAACTGAATTTGTAATGAAAACGACTTATTGAATCAAAGCATCAGACAATTAAAAACTTCATCGGGTCTAACGTTCGAAAACATAAAAACTAGTGGAACCGGTAGACGTTGTCCTGTAAACACGACTGAAATCCGAAAAGTCTAAAGCATCTAAGGCATCTAAAGCAGTAAATAAAAGAAAGCCGAAGAAAGAAAGAATTTAACACCAACAATAATTGTAGCAAATCTTTCAACGTTCCACCACTCGAGGCGTGTTTGGTATCGCGAAGACTTTAAACCGAGAGCGTAGACCGTAGACGAAACATACGTGACGTTTTTCGGCGAATTACCAACGGCATAGTTTTATGGTAGTTTCGATTATTAATTATATCTCGGAAACGGTCCGTTCGATTCACTAATAATTAAGTTTATAAAGGCATTTATTGATTATTTGGATTTTTGTACTTATATATTTCAATACTGCCGCAGCGTCTGGTTGAATCCCAACCCAAAGATCGAGTTAACACAAAAGTCCCTATTACAGTGGTAATAAATTTAATGCATTAGTATTTTATATCATATTTGGTACAATTGTTTAATAAGGCATATTTTTTTAAACTCCCACTGCTCAGCGATATCTATCGTAAAGTGAACGAAAAATAATTTTATATAATCACTAGCTATTCACCCGCGGCTTCGCTTGTGTTGAAGCCCATAAATAAATTACTTTCTTTTAAAAAATCCAAGTAAAAATAGCCTATGTCCTTTCTCAGGCTCTAGACTATCTGTGTACCAAATTTCATTTAAATCGGTTCAGGAGTTTTGGCGTGAAAGCAAGACAGACAGACAGACAGAGTTACTTTGGCATTTATAATATTAGTATGGATTTAGAACCGATGCTTAGTCTCCTTAGTTTCCTAGTAGGTAAAAAAAGGACGCTGGCACGTGTATTATCAGGCATTAGCTGGAATAAAATAAAAGATGAGACAACAAAAGCGATAAAGGAAACTCTCAGTTACGGCTGGCGCGAGGCCGTCTACTTTACGTCGTCTACGTTCGGATGGGATCGACGGAAGCGCGATCGTTTTGAAAACGGTGAATGTTTGTGAATGGAGAATCGTAGTGTCTATACGTAATAAAATTTTACGGACTCTCACAATAATTTCTTGTCCCTCTATTCATTTTAATTTCTTCTCTATCTTTCTATCTCCTGCGTTGATTGGTTGCTTTAATATTGTAATGCAGATGCCCCTGATTGCACTTTGACATTAAAGCAAACAACAAACCACACAAGTACAGCCTATCCCATAAAATGTGTGGAATCAGCGATATGAGAAATCTTAGCAGCATTCAACATCTGCAATGAATATTGTTCAGTAATGTTCGCAAAGATTAAGACTAGTAAGTATTATAATCCTAGCAATAATAATTATTGTAAGAAACACAAATATAAAGGTCGGAACCAATTTATATTCATCAAGGAAATGCTTAATATTGAATTGTTCTGCCTTATCATTGTTTATATCAGATCGGCTGTCAGCGAAGTCTACAAGTTCTTCGCGGGAGGCTGCTCCAAAGAAGCTCACACGCGTTTTTTTATCGTGAAAAGTTGTGAAGCGCGCAGTCGGTTCACCGCACTCGTATTTAATCGTATTAAATGATTACCGTCGCCCATAGACAACCTAAGGAGTTGTAGATGGGTTGACATCCTTTTAAATAGTGGGCCCCCGTCACTACACTCAACAGACGAAACGCGAATGTATAATATTACCACTTTACGCCGCTCTTCTGTAAGCCTTCATCAGACGAGGTTTCGCGTAGTAGTGGAAGCCTGCGTGGCACTAACACAGCTAGACATTTCGTAAGCGTCAAGCCCAGGGGCTGCCACGTCCGAGCGCCTAAACGAGCCTTCGCCGGAGTACGCCGCACGCATACATTTTCCCCGGTGATTAGGCGGCGTCCGGCGTGGGGGCATATATCATCGGGACGCCACCAGGGCCCGGAGTTAATGAACGTAGGAGGCATTCCCCCGGGGCGGGCGCACGCGCTCCGCTCACCTGCCCGCCAGGGTTGCCGCACGCGACTGATATGCAATACTGAACAATGCAATGAATGATCTGTGACGTCTATCGAGGTTTCATAGAGTTCATTGCATAGCTAGAGATACGGGTAGGGAGAGATTTATGACGTGGATCGCGCTTTGTGTTATTATGCAAGAACACCTTGAGCGACAGCCGAGCGGTTTATAATTAAAATAGAAATATAAAAGAATTATGATTATTGAGTCCCGATAAAGTAAACCCTTTTGATTCCAAAGACAACGGCGAAAGAAAAAAACGTACTCGCACGTTTTTTAGTCTTTATTTACATGAATCGTGTACATGTAGGAATCTTATAGAATATTAGGTTGGCATCGATAATCTTATAGAATATTAGGTTGGTACTCATTATTAAAAATATGTTAAAAATAAAGTGGTTATCAAATCCATCTAGGAACTTAGCACCTCTAGTTACCGTTTGGTTTGAAGTAAAAGAAAGTGTTCACATTGAACCCTTTAAGAATATGTTCTAACACTATAAAGGAGAAAAGAATTCTATGGGTCATATGTCTCATATATTAGAAAATGGTACTGATTTTTGTTTCTTGAGTACTCAAAAAATCTCCAGTACGATGAATCCTTATATAAATTTTCCTTCTGTAAAAAAAATACTATAAGTAACAATGACAATTGGGATATATTACTATTGTCATTTAGTGTTCACTGTAATAACGCGTGTCAGCCCTGTCGCGCGCCCATTAGAACAGGTGTGCCCGCGCGCGGGCCCGCCGAAACTCATCGGCCGATCTGGGATCGTAGTGGAGATAATAAAAGCCGTCCCGTTGCGTTAGCTTCGATGCCAACCCCCTCCGCCGCATTGTTTGCCCCTCGCCTATCAATTGGTCCAAAGTCTTGAACGGCCCTGACATCCGAACGCTAGTTTCCATATCGCTAAGTAAACTCCGCTTAACGGAACACTGTTTGCTATGCCGCGTGTTTAAACTGTTGATTAACATTACTAATCTCTCGATTAATAATGACCGTTCAAAATGTTAGCACTTATCAGGTGTTCGAGAAGTAAAATACCTTTAAATTGGTAACATTTGAATGTTTTTAAAAGTGATAATTTTATAAGTTTTTACACGATCAGAAAACAATATTTGTTATTATTTTTATTATAACTTATTCGTATTCTTATTCTCGTGAGCCGTGATAGGTCGGTGTCCGGGCGCTCGCCTTTAATTCAATATATTCGAGCAACCCGAGTTCGATTCCCGGTGCCGGCACTAATGAAGTTTTTAACTTTAAGTGCTGACTTATCACGTGCTCCGCGGTGAAGGAAAACATCGTGAGGAAACCTGCATATTTTCGAAATAATAACAAAAAAAATATTTTTCGAAGATATGTGAAGTCCGCCAATCCGCAGTGGGGCCGCGTGGTTGACTATGCCCTGATACCCTCTGTGTAGAGGAGGCCTTTGCCCAGCAGTGGGACATGTATAGGCTGTTACTTTACTTTTTTACTTTATAACTTATTCTTACCGGTACATGTAGGGATATACATATAGTAGCTCCCACAGACCTTATAATTTTATGTCTTTATAACGTACTAGCTGCTGCCTGCGACTACGTCTACGTAGGATAGGCTGAAGGCGTAACATTCAGCCAGAAAGATAGATAAACATAAAAAATGTATATAAATTATAGCCTTTGTCTTATTCTGATGTATAAGCTATATTATTGTACAGTTTCATTAAAATACATTCAGTAGTATTTGTGTGAAAGAGTAACAAACATCCATCCATACATACAAACTTTCGCCTTTATAATATTAGTAAGGAAGTAAGCATTAAACGACAACGTAAATAAAATACAAAACTTCAAAAGAAGCTCTGAGTCAGAGTTAACGACAAAGAAACAGTACTCCAAGCTTCGTCTCAAACATGCAGACGCTAAAATCGTAAGAATCTCCCAGATTCATGTGGCGTAATACCAAATAACCGCTGCCAAGGCGCCTATTGCGCAGTGATTAGGGATCCGTGTACATAATCTACGGTAATAAGATCACCTTGCCCCGGGGCACGGCGCGATAGAAGCCTCATTCAGAGGCAATGTGCCGACCAACGCCGGTGGAGACATTTGATCGATGCATTGCCACAAAAATAGAGCATCGGACACAAATAGATTGTTATTTTACGAATCTCTCGAATGAAATATCGATTTTAATTCCAGCCGAATAATTTAATTCCGAATTTAATTACTATATAATATAGTATAGATATATAACATAGTAGACGAGATGAAATACACATTAAATCTTATTAAGTATCTTTGTCTGTTAGGTGCCGTAGTACATGAAACTTTTTAAATTAGTTATCTGGCAAAGTTTTACAAACTTGTTTACATTAGATTTGATTAGGCACATAATTTATTAACGAAGACTATTGTAACTTATAGAAAACTTAAATATAATACCCGAGAGATTAATAATTTCTTTTTGAAAATTATTCCACGCGTGGAATTTAATGGAAAAAAACAGAGCGATTTAAGAACTTCAAAATTGTATTCGGGACGAATCTCGGGTTACCTTCACACCGTTATTAAGGTCCCGAAACCTTCAAAAGTATCGAGTTACGTCTTCTTGAGACCTTTCATCACGTTCTCGGATGTGACTATTGTTGAAGTTTGTCCCGTTATGTTTTTAATTCTGTTTTTTAACTATGTTAAGGTAAAAAGGAATTCTTTGTTTCAAGAAGCAGTTTATAACCACTTGTTTATGTTAAGAGTATACTCTCAGCTAATGGTATACGAGTTTCGTTGGGGTAATCGGTCGGAGGGTTTCAAATTTCGGGAATGTAAATTCGACTAGACGGTATAATTATAAACGAAGTGATTGTTGTTTTCAGACCATAACCGTATTAAATTTTGTGAAGGAGGCGACATTGAAGCGACCTCTCCGGCCAGCCACGTTACGTGTTCAATATTACGCCAAATTGCTTCCTAAAACGAAATGAGCGAACGCAACTGAACTACTAGAAAACAAAAGAACGCATTGTCGGCCGGCACACCGTTAAATAGTGAAATACCTTGGAACGCCGACGGGGCCAGTTTTCACGAGCGTTATTACTCCAAGTGTAATGAGATTTCTAACGTTAAAATATAAGGTTGGCAATATATTCATGTAGTAATCGATTTATTTAAACGTAACTAAAATGATTCGAGACCAAGCGAGCGATTAATGAGAGTTTAATGCCCGTTTTCACCATCGATCCCGAACTTTATGGGGCCCTAAAAAAATACTTAAGACTTTGGGCGACACTCAAGCGGTGGAAAACGAAAGTAGCACTAAACTTTTTAGGTGTCCCTTAAAGTTAGGGATCGATGGTGAAAACTCGACGGGCATGAGTCTATGTACATTTAGGAATTGTTTTTCAAAAATAAACTTTTATAAATTATAACGTTAAAAAAATATGGGATGTGGGGTAGATCACATACTTTTCTTCTACGCTCGCGTCCAAGATATTTGAAAAGATCAACTAGCAAAACGTAATCCTCTCAAATATCTTTTATTTTTCAGAGGAGGTTCTTCAAAACTTCAAAATCTTTTGAAAACCTTGTTTGTGGTAGAGCATAACGAAATCAGGCTGCTGCATAGCTCTAGTAGCATGATTTTCAACATGTAAGAATTCCGTGAATCAGAAAACACATTAGAAACTTCATTAGGTATTAACATTCGCACTCACGACCATAACACCAAAATTAAAACGACTCAACCATCGTTATCACTGCTTAGTTAACATGCTTTATCGTTATAATTTCTTGTATTTACGCGATTACACATTATAAATGAAATTAATTTTACGGATTTATTGCGTTTATTTTTTTCTTATTTTAATTCCCGACGTTTCGAACCCTTTACAGCGTTCATGGTCACGGGACAGACTTGCTTTATCGTTAGCAAAATTATTACGATTAGAAATGACATAAAAAATTGAGTTTGTTGATTCTTTTTACAATTTTTTTCCCTTTGCGTATAGTATTAGACCGCGTACGAAACGAAATATACGTAACAAATAACTCAATTATCATCCAAGCGCACGTCCCACTAAAACTTGCTCAAGGCTAGCGTAAAATTAACTCGCAGATAAAATAACAATCACATTTAACTGTGGACTATATAAAAACTTCAATTTCCTTCTGTGTTTGCGATATGCGTCATTAACTTGACTATATGGAAATAGTTGCAATCAAATTTGACTAAACCTTGATATTTATATTATTCTAGATTATTCTTCGTATGCATTATTCGTGGGGATTAAACTTTCTCTCTGGCCCAAAAAACAGGGTCCACTATGCTAATTGTTTGGCATAAAAGTTAAAAAGATTAGATGAACTCTACCTCCTAAGTTAACATACCTCGGTACAATAACTCTTGTACCGATCTAAATATACTTAATAATTTTACTTCACAGATAGCTCAATGGTTTGGGTGACTTTTCTAACCACAATTTCGAGCCCTGTTGTCTGTTCGATTAGTGCACGGGCCAAAAATTAGTTGTTACAGTCCGTGTATTACTTTATTTTCCTAATTTATCGTGTTCGAAACGATACAGGAATTATTATGTCGTTTAATTGAAGGTGTACTTTACAAATGTACTGTACAGTTTATACTTTATCACATGTACAGACGTTTCAAAAAAATGTCTCCTTAGTTCTTTTCGCAATTTTCTATTTTTAAAACTATATATTACGGCGCATCAGCATATTGTTTCTATTGCTCAGTTCCGATGGTGTTCAAAATTACAATAAGACCAAGTTGAAAGAAATATATATTAAATCTTTTTGATTAGATTTCCCTAATTTTACACCGTATTAGTGTGAGAATCTAATCTAATCCCGCGTTTTTTTTTTCCAACGATTTTGTAAATTGAATTTTGAGAATAGCCCTCTTAAACGATTAGATTGTCATCCATCATTTTCGCGTTGCGGGCGTTTAAGCCTTAGACGTCCGTTAAATTAATACATCATAAACATTAGGTCGCTTGCCTTTTAATATATGGTTTTTATAATATATATCGGGACTCGAAAGACTGAATAATTGTGTATTCTATATTAATCTGGTTAAATTTCACCACAATCTGTTTATACCATATGACAAATAACTTTAATAAATAATTAATTATAACTTTAATAGAAACATTTAACATAATATGCGAATTAATTCGTGATTACTTGGCTGCAACTTCTTCATACAGCTAATTTAAACAATAGGCGTCGAGTTTGAGCCAAGGTTCGCGCCAATTATCGTGCATTTAGTACCGCGAGAGCACAGCGTAGAGACAGACTGGCAACGTCACGCCAATTAGGACGTTACGAAGGACTTCCGGCGACGCCACAACCAAGGACCGGTACATTTTATTATGTATGCATGCGATTCACTCGTATAATAAGGCTGTATGCTATCCATAAAGGTGAGGACACACTAGCGCGCGTGCGTGTATCAGCCACAGAAATGTTGTATAAATTATGTTAAATTTACTAAAAAATATTTGATCTGCAGATTACAATTTAAAATCAGCTAGATTTGGTTCCATTCTCAGTTTACAAATGTTCACTTTGTTTCCACTGTGAAAGTATAAAATTTGAACAACAAACTGTTGCTTAGAAAAATGTTTCATAATAGAATAATTATAATTACTCCATAATCATAACACAATGTTTGGAAAAGTATGCCACGACTTTATAAATTTTAAAATAATGGTTATTAATATACTGAATTCTTTATGATATATGAGTGTTATAATTTCACCCCATAGAAGTATAACGATATTTTTAGATATTAGATTGTGGAATGTAATAATACAATTATTCTATCTAATTATTAAATCCCAATGTGCTATTGTATCATTCACTTATCATTGTATTCAACTAATAAGCTCTCGAAAGTTCAAGTAAGAGCTTTTTAAAAAAAACCACCTACTTTTTTACAGATTCAAAATTGTTTTTAAATAATTAGCTGTCATAACTACAAGTAAGAAGCGATTGCATTAAATACCTCGATTCAAATTCTTCCTTTAAAAAGTTTGTTTAACCTAATCGTTACATTTTTTATGTTATAAAACGGAAAATGCAAACGGCCACAATGGGGCGGACAAGTTAACACGGCGTGTCGTTAATAACGCATTAATTAAGTGCGTTTTACATACGCCGACATGGCGACGGGAAGTGGTGACAATGGCGCGAGGGGAACAAACGCGTCCCACCCGACCTGACCTCGGGTCGGTGCGCACAACGTTTAATTAAAATCCCCCTTAAATTTAACTTACAAAAGCGCCGAAAGCTAATCAACTGCTTAATGACATTGTCAGCACAACGCAATAACTACTTTTCCCTTTTTCAAACATTGCCCTTACAGTAGGATAATCCTTGATAACCTTACAATGTTTTACATACATTTATTTCACGTGGACAAATACTCAGGTGCGAAACAATCATCTGTGGGTCACACAAATAGTTGACCAGAGTGGGAATCGATCCCATGACCCACTGCACCGGAGCTAATACCTTGGCAACTGCGCTACGGAATCATCGTTCTCATTTTAATTGTTTTCTTGCTAATGTGAAGTGAAAGTATCAATATAATATCGTTTGGTGAACGAGGTGACCGAGGTCTTCTGCTTGGCGACGCATCGGCAACCCCTAACGCCCCGTTTCTGAAACATCGATCATCGTAGAAGTCAACTAATCAGCTGTCAAATGGCTTTTCAAATTTCATTTTAGTTCTCAAAACGATGGTTAAACTCTCTGAAATGACCAGAATGATCTTTTTTATGATCAGAATGAACATCTACTATGATCAGTGTTTCAGAAACCAGGCGTAAGTGTTGGAGATGAACGTGGGCGGCTCAACATAAGGAGAGTCGTCTGCTATTTTGGCAATTTTCTAAAAAGAAGTAAAATTGTGGACCACAACAACGATATCCCGATAGACAGACAAAAAAATTATGTTAATATGTGCGCGTAAAGTTCAGTTACATATTGACATTTTTCTTTACACAGATGTTAATAAAAATACATGAGGTTTATTTATCACCACAATCATTAACTATTATCAAAACTTGACAATCTAATCCCATTATCATGATATGATGACTTAATTTTTCTCCAGTTGCAGAACTTTTAAACCGGATGAAGGGGTTTTGATGATTTATTATGTTCTCAAAAAATTAGCATATGGTGAACATTATAAGCTTAAAGAAACCTTTGAAAACGTACAAGTTAACAGAAAACCTTGAATAGACATTTACCAAAAAGTGTGTATAATATATCGTGTACCGATTACACTGGCAAAATAAAAAAAAACAGGTTCAATGACCGATTGGTCGACCACTCCCGCGCATAAAACAATAAAGTGACTAACGTCAGAACGGTCGGGTGTTGGTCGCCAACTAACAAAGTACCCTCCAAAGATAAACCCATGGCGTGATAATACAGAACACGAGTAGGCAAGCGATTATTCAGCCTGTCCGTTTTTCTGCTAATAACCGTGCCATGGTATAGCATCCGGAATGTCAAATTGCTTTAAGATGCTCTAAGTACATATAAATGTAATATTGCCCGTGTAAACAAGTAGTGTATAATTTTTGCTAATTGGTTTAATTGATTTCTAACGTTTTGACACTGAGCTTCAGTGTCGAAAATGTTAGAAAATGTGATTATGAATGATATGAATTTATTAAACTTGTGCCAATTTGAATTATGTTTCACTAGTTGACTCTTGCGAAATTTTCGCACAGTGCAGTGATCAGACACCGAATAACGTGTTAATAAGTATTTATCAACGAAAGGCTCTAATTTTGAAAAACATTGTTAATGATATTTAATCTATTTTGTTATATTTCTTTCAAAGAAAAATTGTCGTATGATATTCCGCGTGCAATTAATTCGATAACACACAAACTAATTCACATGATCTATTTGTGTTCTCAATAATGGAGTCCGTAATGAAATCTCATGCGTTGCTAAGTATTTAAAAATAAGCTCAAACGACCATAGTCGTCGGTGGGAAGCGCAAACCAGTGGTGACCAGTATGTAATTGGATGTCCTGTTGCGGTGCGGTCCAGTTGGTCGGATGCTATTCTATAAATGTGACGGGACAGGTCCCCTGTGGTCCACCTTGGTGCCATCGTCACGCCACGGCGGCCGCTCGGCTTTGTTAGACGCACCACGGACAAATCCAGTCTTGCACCGCGAACACTAGTTGGTGTGCATTTCTCTATTATACAAGACGCGATACTTACAGATTTCAATTTGTCGTTAGCTCTTACCACCGAATAAGGTTCTGTGTCTCTTTAAGTAACGAAATAGTTTATTTTATTTTTACGCCGTAAAGAGTCAAACGTTCAATTCAAATGCGCTCAGTCGAGTCTAATTGTTTTTTGTTTGATAAAGACTACTACGCAAAGGTAACTTGAAACTGAGTTGAAATACTAGTTTTGAACGTTTATTTTTTTTTTCAATAATTTCTTTTTACGTCTTTCTTCCACGACGATGTACAGAGAGATCTAATTACCTTAGTGATTCTCAAAGGACGGAAAATTTACTCTTGAGGTGGTAAGAGCTTTGAAGTCGTAGTATATAAACGCAAATCATGCGAACAATGAAAATTGGAAATAAGTAGAAAGTTATAAATAATACGAAGTAAAAAAAAAGCTAAATAAAAGATGTCAAGTTGTTTACGACTTTTGGATGTGATTTAAGGCTCTAATGCACTACAATAACAAAATAAGAACATTTAGCAGAGCGGGCTGTTTTTTCAGCGGCTTTTTTGGATTCAAAGCGCTTTCAAAATACGCTTTGAAGCATGTAAATTAAACGGGAGGAAGTCGTTAGTGCGTACGAACCGACCGTGGCGAAAGTAGGGGGCTTTGCGAATCGACCATTCGCGCGCCGAACCATAACTCATCTACAAACACAAATATATACAAACACAACGCTCCGAGTTAACTAGTCACTGCTTGTGGCACTGCGTTCGCATATGCGACCCTGCTTGTTATACCATACATGTGAAGCTTGTCATAGAAATATTAACTAGTCACTAGGCAAGAATAATATTGGCTGAAAGAACCAGGACAAAAAAGAATTAAACCTGATAGCCTTTTTCCTTTTTGATTTGGTTCCTATATTTTATCCAAGATAACGATTTGTTCAAGTCGACATTGCTAATTTTTGGGAAAGGTAAATGTGTCATGATTGACGCGTTGGATGCAGGCCGCTAACGACCGGTTGAAGTGGAAGTCAATGGGGGAGGCCTATGTTCAGCAGTGGACGCCTAAGGCTGATATGATGATGATGATGAAATGTGTCATTATAACAAATTAGTGTGATTGTAGAATCGCGGTCTAAAATAAATGTAATTTTGATTGGGCAACATCGCACTGCTTCATTATTAACGCTAAAGATTTTGAATTAATCGGTGCTTACTGACCACGGAAACGTCCACGGAAACATAGCATCGATGGAGTTGCTGTTGCGTTACCAACATCATTATGAAGAGAAGATAAACTCATACACCAGAAGTCGGTCTTCTGTGAGGTGATAGGTACCTTCCTATACAAACCGAACCGGGCCATTAACGAACAGCGAAAGCTTCTGATAATTTTTACTACAGTAAGTTTAATCAGAAGTGTCATTAAGTAGGCTTACTTAGGCGTAGGAGACACTAAAAGTTTAGTAGCCGCCGTATCGAGCCCGATCTCCGACGGTCGCGTAGATAACGGGCCAGCCACCGTCTTACCAGCGTTTGGTTGGAGCCCGACTCATGGGAGCGCGAACGGCTCGCATCCTCGATTTACGGCCGTCATTAAATTTTAGGTCGCGCTGCGGCCTAACGACAGTTTAAAACAAATAAGGACAGATTCGACCGCCACAACCACCCGGATCAGCGGCGCGCGTTTAAACTTAATGGTTATTTTTGAGCAAGCCGTTGTTAAAGGTCGTGTTTTTTTTTTCGACACTATTGGTTTCGGCTGGTTTTAGGGCAGGATACTGTTTAGTTTATTGTTGCGTCAGTATCACCGTAAATACGCAATCAGACATTTGGATAATTATACATATGACGACTATTCCTAACCGTACTTGGCAAAGAATATCGGATACACAATTTATAAATATTCACATTGGCCACCTCTGGGGATACGTACTTCATAGCAGGTCCCGATTATATTAAGTTGTCTGAAATTAAAAGAATATCTAATATAGATATGTTCTCATTAGCATTCGCATTTGAAATTAACACGTATTGAAGCAGGAGGTACGTATATTTTCGTCAGAAATCGGCCGATATCGAACCAATGAGCCGAGGCATCGGAGCCTGTGTTCAAAATAGTACAAGGAACAGTGTGCGAAAATATTTATCATTACAAAAGGAACCTGTCATTGTATCCCAGTTGCCACGTGCATGTTAATATAGTTATGTTAGTATAGTTTAGTTAAAATAATCTTATTATTCTTGAGCTTCCTAGAAGAATCGACATGCTTGGCTGTGAAGGAACAATCAAAAGAAAGCAGTTCGGCGGACTGTCTTGATCTTCTTAAAACGCAAAACGTATAGCTAAGACGTACATCTTATACATCCACACTAGCACTCACGTCTTAACGTAACTTTATACTCGAGACGACGACGAGCGAATTAAAAAAGCACCGCTAATTACTTTACTAACAAGACCATCCTTACTAGACGGACAAATCAACTACATTTAACCGAAAAGTTCCGAATGAACAACTAATAGCGGAGCCATTGCGGATATTTGACGTTCGCTCACCGGAAAGACTTCAAAGACTGCCGTAAAACTGTGCACGGATAGAAAATGAATGCAACTAAATGTCAAGACTCCCTTCAAGAGAAGGCGCTCGGCAAAAGCGTGACGTAGAGGATCGGGGTTATTCGTGGAAACGTCTCCTTTCGCTATCCTACGCGAAGTGCAATCACGTCGAAAGCGGGATTAAAACGGTTGGTTACGTACTGCCGACTACCTACCTCCATTGTTGAAAGCGGCGTTTCTAACGCACAAAGAGCCTTTCACCGGGGTGCAAGCAAACCCCTACAATAAACTCGAACTCTTTATATATTACTCTTGAGTGTATATTTGTACAGATTTTATATACATGATAACAGGTGGATGTGGATAGATACGCCTATCACTTCTCAATAGCATTTAAAAACTTGTTAAGATTCTCATTGTTAATCTAAAATCTAAGGTGGCAATATATGCGATGCCCAAATATTCCCATATACTCGAGTATGAATCAATACAAAAAAATACTACAGTTTAATACTTTATGTAATGGAATCGGAAAAAAATAGTTCTGTTTATGGTAAAAAAAGTAATATAAAGTGCCATTTATCAAGTCTTCTAATCTTAGTTGAAATATTCTACGTGATATATAAAGATGTAACCAGTCATTCTTAAAGCATATTCTTATAGAGCATTGTTTTTTTTTAGAAAAATTTATTGCAGACATTAAAGACACAAATCGACAACTTAAAGAAACTGAATATATAATGTTTCGCTTATCGTTGGGAGTCGTAGTAACACCAATGAATATATATTATCTGGGTTATAAACATTACTTAACTTTGGTCAAATGGGGTTATAGTATTTGTAACAATTGACCACCTGGATCTAGATCCAGGTGGTCAATTGTTACAAATACTAGATGTATACAATACATCTAGATGTAGGGCTAACTTTGAAATTTACAAGTGTCTCAAGGCGATATTTCGCCACGTTAAGAGGTTATGAACAGTCCACTTGATATTAATGGGCGCACACCGACAGTCAAAGTATTTGTGTCCAGATATATTCGCGATAGGCGCAAATATTTACTCTAAATTCGGATTAAAGCGGTAGATTTATTATTATTGCCACTGTGTTACGAAATAGTTTATCTTCGTGTGAAGCAGATTAAAAACAAATACAGAGAAAACGATAGTAACGATTGAGTCTAAGAATCTGATACGATATCACGACACCTAAGAATACAAAACAAGTGACTGTATAATTATCTTCTTAAAGGAGACACATTGTTAATTCAGAACCTGGAACCGCCTTTAAAACTTTGCTTTGCAAATTATACGTTGCCGAAAATTATGAAAATGTAAAACAATACGGAGAACTAACACGCCGTGAAGACGGTGTGTTCGTGTAAAAGAATAAAATTTAATTTAATTTTAAACGTCACTTTCACTTTTCATAATTGTGAGAACGATTCTCTAATTAAAAAAGAAAAAAAGAGCATTCCATTGTTCCAAATTCGAAAAAGAGACGCGTGTGGCAGCGGAGTATTATAGATGTGGCGTAATTTTTGCATAACCCAATTGTGGAAGACATTAAACGCATGCGAGAGAGCCGGAAACTTCTATTAAACGAATAAAGGCACACGCGGTACGATTAGGTTACGAGAGCGACCGAAACTCGAAAGCCCGCGCTTTTACCGACGTGCGAATAGGAGCGGTTGCATAAAGGCGCCGCGGCGCTATTGCGCGGGAAGTCGCTTGGCGAAGCGTGCGATAGACAAAAGCCATAGACAAAAAGAGCGTGTTACAACTTAATTTATCATTGCACGCGCTCGTCTACAGCCGAGAATCTTACTTTGAGGTAACAATCGCGCATTTCGAGGGCCATTATTACATCCGATTTGCGTTTGTTACAACACTTAATACATTAGTTTTAGCTTTTTAGACTAATGCTATAGTGCGAGAAGAAGTCTTTGCGTGCCGATAACAAGTTAGATCATTCCGGCCCAGAACTTAGCCACTTCGATCATAATAACAAAACAAAACGAAACGACGGAAATTATGCAGCCACGCAGCAACGTTAGCGCATTCACTACAAAACTCATTTAAATGTAATAATAATTGACCTTAACTACGAAAAATATGATTAATGCCAACTGGAAGTGGGTCAATTGTTGCACGGATGTGCGTAAAACAGTCTCTGTAATTCTTATTGTACACGAATAACATACAAAGTACGCTTAATGGGAAATATATTACAATAGTAGTTCTCGTTCACCAATTTTATCTCTTTTTCGTTTGTTTTCCATCCTTTAAGCGTACGCCGTAAATAGCAACGGTATTAAATGTTCGATATTCATCGTACCAATTTGTATCGAAGTTATCACTAATGGACTTAAAGCTTCCATTTGTTTTATTTTATTAGGTCATAAATCGCTAAACTTGTGACAAGAAATGAATAAAACCGTTGAAAAGACAATAGGTATTTAGTTCAACGTCACCGAACTCACTATACACATACGTATATACAAATAAGTAGGCAATATCTTTTAATTAATTTATGTTCTTCAGACTTACAAACTTACACAATTCTGAGCTTTAAATATTTTATTATTAACGTTAACCAAACAACTCACAGACTGAAAACGACGCCGAAGGTCTTGGAGATGACTCCCATCGTCTTTTTCCAGCCCTTGATGAACTGGCGACGACGCGCCCCACGGGGCGGCCGTGCCTCCAGCTCCTCGTAACAGTTAATCTTGCCGCCTCCTCAGCACTTTGGCACAATCCATCACTGTTCCAGCTCTTCAGACAACGCAGCGAGTACGCTTTCCGCTATGGTTTGTTAGTACGAAATTTATTTCCTTGCCGTCAATATCATAATAATATATTCGAATCGAAAATCCGCGTGCTAAAAGTTTCCTATTATTTAACACAGTCGTATTTATTCCCGCATAAGCTTATTTTCTGCTGAAGCGGGAGCGAGCAACGATACGTCCATTCGCCGTCGCGTCACAACATGCACTGATCATTATTTAAGCGTAGACGAGCTACGCCCGCTACGAGGGATGGGTGTAACTTTTAAGCTCTCCGTGAATCACAGCTTGTTCCGGTGATAGAGACGTTGTTTGTGAGCTGTGAACCGTCACTACGCTTGCTTATAATTATTCCCGTATATAATTATTTAATCTCGAATCTTCCATTGTAGTTAAGGGTGTCGCGACAATTATGCAAGGAGTAATGATTTGAGATCATTATAAAACATATTTAAATATGTTAATTTTCCGAAAATACCTTTTATTGAAATATGCTGGTTAAAATTTTTAACAGTGAAAGCGACGCTATCGCATGCCACATGCGATACTCGCAATTTGTGACTGCAGCTCGCTTCTAAAGTGGGATCGAACCCTAAGGGTAAACATTGCGTGTCGTGATGGATGCCATTGCACCTTTATTGGATGTCAACGAACTTATTTTTGAGGAAATTATTATAATTTTAAATTATATGCATTGTTGTAAGACTTTATAAGGATATGTTATAATAAGGTTGGGATTTTATAGGTTCACGTTTTGGAATCGGATGGCATTGTTTCATTTTAGGCCTTACGTGAATTTAACGAAACCTATATGCAACTAGTATTTTTAGCATTGTCTTACACGATAATAGTTATCGTATTGATTCAATATAAAACCCGAACAACTGTTGTTCGGAGTTTTTTATATGTGGGTATTTATTACGTGGTCAATTAGGCTTTGGTTTAATCTGGGGCGGCGTGTCATAAGGTGCTTAATGGTTTGTGATGTGCTCTCTCAAGGACGAAGGTTGTTATAAATGATTTAAACCCCAAACCCGTGGGTTCTGGCTAGCCCACCGGTTCTGCGTCAGATGAAGCTTTAATAGTCTCGGGAATGAAAGCAAAAACATCAGTTAATACAAGATACAAGAAATGATTTAAAGCTTTTCCAACATTCTTTATGGTGTTCGTGATTAGTGAGAATTTTCGCTGTCTTATAGTTCAGATACATACATTTGCTTATTTGATGTAGACATGCAGATCAAAGTTTTCGAAATCTACGAAACTAAAATTACACGTGTTTCTTAATGGATGACTCTTTCACTTCGGAGAATTATAGCCACGTCGCTCTTAAAGGCTGTGGAAATGCGAGTTTTCATTTTCCATTCCATTCATTCCTTACACCATGGTGTAGGGAATGAATGGAATGGAATGGAATGCGTACACCTACTGGTGCACCAGTAGGTGTACGCATATAGAAATGAGTGCATTAAAAAGAGGAGAATATGGCTACGGTCTAATCGATTGGTCATGTCGACGGAAATAATAGTGCCCATATAGCAAAGAAGCAGCAAAACTAACAATAAGACAAGAAAAAAAAATCCACAGCGGAAAATTCGAACAGCTGATTATCCTATTAAGTGCACAGTCACAGTATGCTATAGAAGAGTAAACTCTACTACTGTCGCGTTAGACATACATTGGCTAATGCAAACCACTGCATAGTTGCGAAGTACGCGAATCCTTAGTAAGTAGTGATAGTTAATTGAGCTAGTCTGACATCAGAATGACTCACGGCCCTTACCTGCCTCACTGTGACCTCCTACACGAGTATTGTTCACGCAGCTTTTATCTCTAATAATCCCCTTTGGTTGATAACGCTGTATGATAAGTTTTAATACAAGGTTAACGAAAAGATTGGCTAAGCCACAGATGTTTTACACCGATGGTGTTTATTGTTATTGTTATAATTAGGATGGTAAATGTCATATAATATTTATTACTATTGTCGACCGCCATTAGACGAAAGGTCGACTCTTTTTTTATGTGAGAAGGTGACAAGCGAGCTGACAGTTCACTTGATGTTAACCCCAACTTTCAAAAGGTTGTCAACGCATCTGATGTAGCAGATGTCCATGGGCGGTGGTATTCACTTAACATCAGGTGAATCGTCTGCTCGCTTGGCAACTTTTCACATAAAAAAAGTGTTAGCCTCCACCCATGGACATTTGCGTTGCCACCTTGTAATAAAATGGGCCACGGCTACCTCATTCACCAGACGAAAACTTCCACTTCACGCCACTCTTTGTGGTCGAGGTCGAGGTCGTGGTACTTCCCCAAACGGAGCTGCCCATTCATGCACCAGCGAACTGCCCTACCACAGTCTTCTTCGTATATGAGCAGAAAGAATCCCTATATGAGTTTCCATGTTGGAGATAGAGTAGCCAAGGCTGTCAAAGAAGTGACCAGATGACTTCGAAATGTGAACTACACTGAGCTATTCGTATTTAACGGCTTTAAGCGAGCGATGACTTGAAAACTTCATTATTAAGTCACTCGATGTTGATGAATATTACTTAATATTATGCTTGTAATACTGATAATGCAAAATGCGATTCGTAAACTACAGTGCTAGTAGGCTGTATTACACAGGTCACGTCGAAAAATAATCAGGGCTGGCAACTTTGTCGTATCACCTAATAAATCTCATAACACTGTGTGATAGACTTACGCTTGAATGGGCGACCATTCGAGGGGTCTCAAAGTAGAACAATTTAACATGGCCAAATGAAATAATTTTACGGATTTTATCGCGTTTTAATTTGATTTTAAATTGCCGACGTTTTGAATCCTTTCCAGCTTTCATTCTCATTGGAACGCTATAAAAAAAATTGTGAATTTGTTTCATTTAACCATGTACCTATAATATTCGCTTAGAAATAAAAAAATCAATATAGAACTATTTTATTTTAATATTTTGTTTGGGGCAGACCCACATAAAAGTGGACGGATTTGGTGGATTTGTATTTGGGACGTTAACTATTTAACATGAGACATGTGCTCGGTTGCTGCCGACTCTACCCAAACAAAAATATCCACATTGTGTGGTAAAAATAATGAGTTACAGTTAAAAAGTTTCAAAAACTGACGACAAAAAAGTTAGTGGCACAATTATTAAATCTTGGAACTAGATAACCATTAATCTTAGTTTTACTTCAGCTATTTATTTTCAATTACTCTATCATTGTCCGTTAGTTTATTGTTTTTCATAACCTTCACACCATTTAATCAAATGTCAGAGTTAGATTTTATATAAATTGCCAATTTAATTTGATGCTATGAAAGTATTATTTCAGAGAGTGTCTGTATAGTGCATTCGATATGATATGAGGTCACGAATTCGAATGCCAGTGTGTTCTCTAATAAGTAGAGCACTGGTACAAGTCCCAGGTCCTAGTTGTCTTTGGGACTAAGCGAGATTTGATGGCGGCGATCTCAGCCATCCCACTAGCAATGTGAGTAAGTTTTAATTTTTATAATTACACAGAAATATTTATGTAGTGAGTCCGTACGCAACCTTGTATTGGCTTAAATGATCATACTTATATAATTTCCAACAATGGGGCCCATTATCTAGCCATTGCTGCGTTGCGTGCGGATGATCGCTAGCTTTAGCAGGTAGGTACAAAAACAAAGTTTTCTTCGATCCGAGAATTGAAGACCGGTGTTTTTTTTTAATAAACAAAATATTAATTTGTTTTTTTATTCAATAATTAACAGATTAATAATACCGATCGTTTTCTTAGCTTTGTAACGAAGACGATACTGTATGCACACTTCTTAAATTATACTGCAAGAATTATGTAAGTTTCAACAGCACGGCAGCATGCGTAAGTACCACAACCTGACAGAAGACCAATATCTAAGTTTCGTCTGGTGAGTGAGGTAGCCGGGGCTCACTTTATTATAAGTGGCAATGCATCTGCAACCCTACGGGTGTTACATATGTCCATCGGCAGCGGTTATAACTTAATATCAGGTAACAACTAACCCGCTTGACACCTTCTTACAATAATAATAATTAAACCTTATTTGAACACACTCTGCCCTAAAGGAGAATTAAAAAACAATACTGCATTTATTTAACTAGATTACTTTTGTTACTTATAATAGAAAAGTCTTCGCCAATTCCCTTTTTCAGTGATTTAATTTTAATTCCAACTGACAGCTTGATATTAAAGTTTCTTAGTTAAAGTAAGGTGAGTGGCGGAAAACTCATTAGTCCGCTCCGGTGCAGGGAACAAACCGGAAATTGGGCAACTCGACCTTACGCCCACATGGCGTCCCAGCTTTATATTAAGAAAATAAAAAAGATACTCCATAAGGGTGTTATTTCGATGCGAAAATATTTATATACATACGTCAAAAGAGACATTTTTATAGTTCTTAGTTATACTTCTTTTGACGTCAATTAGTGTGAAAAATATTATGAGTAACATTTTTAGGATGCGCGCGCACACCGACGTGCCAAAAAGCCAATGTCAGCCAATAATAACTTTTTGACCTATAATTCCAAGCTATTTCATTAAACCGTTATCAATTGCATTTAATGTATTCTTGTTAAGAGCAAAGGGGGTTGAATTTTTAGTTATTTTTCTTTTCTTACGCTAAAGACGTGCGACTTCTTCCGTGCCTACACGTCGTTTTTAAATTAGGAACAACCTGAACAGCCTATATATAGTCTATTTATCAAGTAATCTTTGAGGCTATCAGTCAAATCCTTATTCCTAAACACCCATATAAGCTCACGCAATGGTACGCACGTACCAACTCGTGCAATACCGAAAAGTTATACCGTATTTATATGCAGGGGGGGGCGATCTAAATACGGTACGTTGTCGCAGTCTAAACGACGTTTCCAGCGCCAAGGTTTTTCTATTGTACCCACGGAATGCGTAACCAAAAAAAAAAAACTGATAAATGGCGTATTGTGATTCAAATTTCGTCTCCTCTCGACACAACGTCGGAGGCAGGGCACACGTGCGAGAC